GGGACGGTATCATCATCAGTGAAGCAACTGTAGATGGTGGTCATCATCAGTGGAAGTTAGCTGTAGGATGGTGGTCATCAGTAGAAGTTAGCGCAGGACAGTGGCCATCATCAGTGGAAGTTGGGGCTGTGTGGATGGTGGCCATCACCGTGAAGTTAACTGTAGGACAAAAATACCATCAAAGTATGGTAGTTGAAGCTTGCAGGGATTGAAAGTGGGCCATCATCAGTAGAAGCTAACTGTAGACAGTGGTCATCATCAGTGTAGTTAGCCGTAGGGATGGTGGTCATCATCAGTAGAAGTTAACCGTAGACAGTGGTCATCATCAGTGAAGTTAGCTGTAGGACAGTGGCCATCATCGCAGTTGGGGCTGTAGGACAGTGGTCATCATCAGTAGAAGTTAGCTGTAGGACAGTGGTCATCATCAGTAGAAGTTAACTGTAGGACGCGGTCATCATCAGAAGTTAGCTGTAGATGGTGGCCATCATCAGTAGAAGTTAACTGTAGGACAGTGGCCATCATCAGTAGAAGTTAACTGTAGGACGGTGGTCATCATCAGTAGAAGTTAGCTGTGGATGGTGGCCATCATCAGTAGAAGTTAGCTGTAGGACAGTGCATCAGTAGAAGTTAATCAGGGACAGTGGGCCATCATCAGTAGAAGTTAGCTGTAGGACAGTGGTCATCATCAGTGGAAGTTAGCTGTAGGGACAGGGTCATCATCAGTGGAAGCTAGCTGTAGGGACGGTGGTCATCATCAGTGGGAAGTTAGCTAGGACAGTGGTCATCATCAGAAGTTAGCCAGTAGGGACGGTGGTCATCGCCAGTGTGGAAGTTAGCTATAGGACAGTGGTCATCATCAGTGGATGTTAGCTGTAGGACAGTGGCCATCATCAGTGGATGTTAGCTGTAGAGACAGTGGCCATCATCTGTGAAGTTAGCTGTAGGACAAAAATATCATCTGTGGAAAGTTGGGGCTGTAGAGCCACCACATATTCGTGGAAATTAGCTGTAGGACAGTGGCCATCATCTGTGGAAATTAGCTGTAGGACAGTGGCCATCATCTGTGGAAGTTAGCTGTAGGGACAGTGGCCATCATCTGTGGAAAGAACTGTAGACAGTGGCCATCATCTGTGGAAGTTAGCTGTAGGACAGTGGCCATCATCTGTGAAAGTTAGCTGTGGTGCTTCAATGGCCATTATCTGTGAAGATAGCTGTAGGACAGTGGCCATCATCTGTGGAAGTTAGTTGCAGACAATGGGCCATTATCTGTGGAAATTAGCTGTAGGACAGTGGCCATCATCTGTGGAAGTTAGCTGTAGGGACAGTGGCCATCATCTGTGGGAAGTTAGTTGTAGGGACAGTGGCCATCATCTGTGGTGTTAGCTGTAGGGACAGTACATCATCTGTGGAAGTTAGCTGTAGACAATGGCCATCATCTGTGGAAGCTGTAGGACAGTGGCCATCATCTGTGGAAGCTAGCTGTAGGAATAGTGGCCATCATCCAGGAAGTTAGCTGCAGAGCCAATGGGGCCATTCGTGGAAATTAGCTGTAGGGACAGTACACATCATCTGTGGAAGCATTAGGACAGTGGCCATCATCTGTGGAAATTAATCAGACAGTGGCCATCATCTGTGGAAGTTAGCTGTAGGACAAAAATATCATCTGTGAAAGTTAGCTGTAGAGCCAATGGCCATTATCTGTGGAAGATAGCTGTAGGGACAGTGGCCACCACTGTGGAAGTTAGCTGTAGAGCCACACATTATCTGTGAAATTAGCTGTAGGACAGTGGCCATCATCTGTGGAAGTTAGCTGTAGGACAAAAGCCATCATCTGTGGGAAGTTAGGCTGTAGGACAGTGGCCATCATCTGTGGAAGTTGGGGCTGTAGGGACAGCGGCCAACACCTGTGGAAGCTAGCTGTAGGACAATGGCCATCATCTGTGGAAGTTAGCTGTAGGACAGTGGCCACCTACCAGAAGTTAGCTGTAGGACAGTGGCCAACATCTCAGGAAGCTAGCTGTAGACAATGGCCATCATCTGTGAAGTTAGCTGTAGGACAGTGGCCATCACTGTGAAGTTGGGGCTGTAGGGACAGTGGCCATCATCTGTGTGAAGTTAGCTGTAGGACAATGGCCATCATCTGTGGAAGAAGCTGTAGGACAGTGGCCATCATCTGTGGAAGTAGCTGTAGGGACACAGTGGCCATCATCTGTGGGAAGTTGGGGGCTGTAGAGCCAATGGCCATTATCTGTGAAATTAGCTGTAGGACAGTGGCCATCATCTGTGGGAAGTTAGCTGTAGGACAGTGGCCATCATCTGTGGAAGTAGCCAGGGACAGTGGCCATCATCTGTGGAAGTAGCTGTAGGGACAGTGGCCATCATCTGTGGAAATTAACTGTAGGACAGTGGCCATCATCTGTGGAAGTTGGGGCTGTAGGACAAAGTGGGCCATCATCTGTGGAAGTTAGCTGTAGAGCCCACGGCCATTATCTGTGGAAGTTAGCTGTAGGGACTGGCCATCATCTGTGGAAGTTAGCTGTAGGACAGTGGCCATCATCTGTGTGAAGCTGTAGACAGGCCACTATCTGTGGAAGTAGCCAGACAGTGGCCATCATCTGTGGAAGTTAGCCAGGGACAGTGGCCATCATCTGTGGAAGAAGGTAGGACAACAGTGGCCATCATCTGTGGAAGTTAGCCAGGGACAGTGGCCATCATCTGTGAAGGCTGTAGGACAATGGCCATCATCTGTGGAAGTTAGCTGTAGGGACAGTGGCCATCATCTGTAAGTTGTAGACGAAAAAATACCATCTGTGGAAGAAGCTAGGACAATGGCCATCATCTCGGAAGTTAGCTGTAGGACAAAAAATACTCACCGTGGAAGTTAGCTGTAGGACAGTGGCCATCATCTGTGAAGTTAGCTGTAGGGACACGTAATATCATCTGTGGAAGCTAGCTGTAGGGACAGTGGCCATCTGTGGAAGTTAGCTGTAGGACAGTACATCATCCAGGAAGTTAGCTGTAGGACAATGGCCATCATCTGTGGAAGTTAGCTGTAGGACAGTGGCCATCATCTGTAGCTAGCTTTCAGGACAATGGCCATCATCTGTGGAAGTTAGCCGTAGATGGTGGCCATCATCTGTGAAGCATTGGGAGACAGCCATCATCTGTGGAAGTTAGCTGTTGAGACAGTGGCCACTATCTGTGGAAGTTAGCTGTAGGGACAGTGGCCATCATCTGTGGAAGTTAGCTGTAGGGACAGTGGCCATCATCTGTGGAAGTTAGCTGTAGGGACAGTGGCCATCATCTGTGGAAATTAGCTGTAGAGACAATGGCCATTATCTGTGGAAGTTAGCTGTAGGGACTGGCCATCATCTGTGGAAATTAGCTGTAGAGACAATGGCAATTATCTGTGGAAGTTAGCTGTAGGGACAGTGGCCATTATCTGTGGAAGTTGAACTCAAGAAACAGCACAGAATGTGGCAAACTGGTGATGACTGTGGCTGTACTCCCAACATACCAATACCTCACCACCCGACACACCTCCTCCTACACCTGTTATTGCTATGGAGACAATAACTTAAAGCAAATACTTGTGTCAACAACTGTTTGCTGGCAAGTTTCCACTGCCACACGTGAAGTCCAAGATGCAGAACCTCCTGTCTCACCAGCAATGCAATTACTGTGGTGGTGACGTACAACTGTTGATCAAAGCTAACTCCATAAACACCACCTTGACTGCCATCTGTCCTGACTGTAACATGACATGGAGCATGGGACCAAGTGCTAGTAGCAAATTTTTTTATTTTAAAACCTATAATCCCATAAGACTTGTGTTTATTTTCGCAGATTACCTTTACTTACAATAAAATGAGGTACTGTATAGTGACAGGTATCACACAATAACCTTACAGCACTTCTGCAAAGAATTGCCTGTAACACAAAGCTAAAGCTGCTGTTATTTGAATAAACTGATTAATTTTCATCCAAATTTAAAATATATACTGCATATATTTATGAGTGTATAGGGCAGTGACTGGAACATTTTGGTCGAGAATATTTTTGATATCCCGATTAGGTATGGAACAGCAAAATTTTATTTTTAATTTTATGCAAAAAAGTATTGCTAATATTCTGACACTGTACAGTACTGTATTGTATAATTCAACACTACTCCTTTGTTTTACTTGAAATGTGTTTCAAACATGGTCCTCGTAATAAGGATAGGTAATTGCTACAATATGGTAGAGCAAATTTTAATGTATCTTTTTTGGTTACAGAGATAAAAATAATAATAATTATGGGAACACTGTAAAACAAAAAAATATTAATATTTTTTTTAAAGACTATTTGGCAGTTATCACTCATACTTACACATTCTTTGATTTATATGATCCACATAACATATTTAAAAGTCAGGTATATCCATAGAAAAGGAGTTGCACCTCCAAAAGTAAATGGCAGACAAACCCCTTAAATCATGTTGTAGATAAGCCTGCCTAGTGCAAGAAGGCCCAGTTGGTGATGGTGGTACAGCGCTAATACACATATCTCTCACTGTTGTGTCCTGTGTTCAAACCCTGGCTTGGGACAGATGTGAGAAGGGTGTTGTCTAGTGTCAGCCCCACCAAACAGCAGGTCAGGTACCACAGTTTCCTCCTGTATTACACTAGACAATAAAGGTCACATTAATGCAACATAGAACAGAACAACTGCCTGAATGGTGAGTAAGATAGTAAGTGGTGAAATGATAAATAAAAAAATTAATACAATATATCATAAACAACAGGATACACTTTATAGAGTTCCCTTTGATCCATTGGTTGAGGTAAGGGCCATAGAGTTTTCAGCCCTGGACGTGAAACCCACAATAGACTCGTGTGATCTGAACTACTTTGGTCACAAAAGAAAGTTCATACTCTTCCCTTCTCAGTTCCAATTGATTTATATCTCTCTTTTTTTTCTTTTTAAATGATAAACTAGAATGCTCTTTATATTTTCAGGCTAATGGTGGCATCGTTTGCGGGTTTGAATTCTTGTGAGTCAATGGTGATCCTGCGTAACACCACCTTGATGCCCCCCATCCCTGGCCTCTTGTCTCTCTGTCTCCTCCTCTTTTGTCCTGTAGCTGAATTAAGGTAAAGTTGGGTGTTGGTTGGTAGTATTAAAGAGAGTGTGTTACTGTAAGCAGAAGCCATTTTTAAATTAAAGGCAAAGGTTGATGCTAGTTAGTACAATAAAATATTAAATTGAAGACTATCTGGGCTTTTACCATCATGTGAGGCACAGTGGTGAGAGATAAGAGTATTATTGCTTTAGCACCTGACATCCCAAGTCTCTATTTGTCACATTATTACCTTCACTAAAATTTATTAGGCAAAATCTAATGTTATGAGCCCTTTTGGCCATCTTGGCCATCATGTCCTAAGAGTACAGATATACTAATGCTATCTCCCTAACTTCACAAGTTGTAATCAGGTGATACTTGAGGAGCTTGTCAGTAACTCAACACATACAGCATCCTTAAAAAATCTGAAGAGTAGTTTTAGAGATCAACCAGGAAAATATATTATTTTTTTAGATAAGCACACACTTAATCTTTAACCTTATAAAATATATTATCTTTGTGCTTAAAAGTGCCTAGCTGTAAATGGTTTAACACTGTAGTACAGTTATCTCTCCATTAGCCGGAATAATTGGTGTAGAGTGGTTTCCGGGTATTGTATTGAGACGACTTTTCTCATCCCCAGAATTTTTTATGGGCACTGGTGAATGTTTCCAGTCAAGCAGACACAGCTGTATTTATTTATCCAAACACTACTGTACATGTACAGTAGCTAAAAAGGAGTATCTAACAGGGTGGGTCCGATGACTTGTTACATTATATGTACATGCAACTCGTGTTGTCTCGGGAGGGTTGGTGTGCGTGTCTTCACCCACCGCCATTCAGTAGCCAACACGGAGCGAGTTGGCATAGAGGAATGAAATAAATGGGACGAAAATAGATGAAGCAGGAGCCCTGCTGGTTGACAAACTGGAGCAAGTTGAGAAAGAGATCCTTGCTAAGACTGAGGAAGTAGCTAATAGAATGGAGGTGGTTGCTAAGAGGAGTTATGCTGACGTATTAGGAGGGCCACGGGGGGGGTGGGCGGAGAGTAATGCAGAATCAGTACAGGTTCTACAGCAGATTGGGACTCTGAAAAAGTGTGTCGAAGAAATGAAAATTAACGCACCTACTGTTAGGGGAGAGGAGGAACACCAGGAACGGCTCCAGCGCAGGAACAATGTAATAGTTTTTGGAGTCCCAGAGAGCCAGGCAGAGGGAACTGTGAGTAAGGAAACACATGACAAGGTGCTGTTTCAAAATATTTGCACAGAGGTTCTGAAGATTCCAGCAACCCCTCAGGATGTGAGGAGACTGGGACAAAAGCAGGGGGCTAAGCCTCGCCCCCTCAGGATCACACTAGGGAGTGAGGAGGAGAAATGGCAAGTTATTCGGCAGGCAAAAAACTTAGCAAGGAGCGAGGCATTTCGGGATGTATTTATTCACCCAGACCGCACGGTAATGCAGAGGGAACAGCACAAGAAGCTCCTGCAGGACTTGAAGCAGAAGAGGGAGGAGTCGAGGAGGAACGGGGACAGGTGCACATGGGTTATACTCAGGGGGAGGGTAGTGGAAACAAGTGTGCCGACACAGGGCCAGGGGGCAGCAGTGCACCCTCCACCCACTCAACCCCCCACCCGGGAGGCGGCACCAGCTCAGCCTACCGGACAGGAGGGAACGAGCGCCGTGTAAACAATGACATTTTTAACCACACCCTGCAAAATACAGTGTACTTAGCAAATGCTGCAGCTTCTGAGAATGTGGGTGGAGCGGGTTTATTACTAAGAGCAGAGACGTTACCGAGAACAAATTCTGGCTTGAATGTCATGTACACTAATACTGACACGTTCCTTGATAAGAGGGAGGAGTTTGAAACACTACTAAGAGTACACCAACCAGATATTGTAGGAGTTGTAGAACTGTTGTACAAGAACAGGAGAATCGACCCAGAGGAATGTGAGTTCAGTATTGCTGGATATGACTCATTTACGAACCTAACTCAAGAATCCTGCAGGAGGGGTGTGGTTATCTACGCTAGGCAAGACCTTAGAGCCAGCCAGGCGAGGGTACAGGGAGAGGATGTTTTTGAAGAGTCCAAGTGGTGTAAAATTAAATTAAAGGGAGGGGACTTACTTATCGTCGGGTGTATCTACAGATCCCCGAACTGTGGCCCACTAAATCAAAGGAACTTAAGAACCTTAATAAACAATGCGGCGATGCTCAACCCCAGCCACCTCCTTATCATGGGGGACTTTAACTATTGCGACATCGACTGGAGAAACGAGTCCACCCCGAATGACTTGAATAATCCTGCTACTCTTTTTGTAGAAACTCTGAGAGATAATTTTCTGTTCCAACATGTGAGAGACCCGACACATTACAGAGGGGAGCAAACACCCAAGCCACTTGACCTCATCATAACAAACGAGGAGGGTATGGTGGCCAAACTGGAACACCTTGCCCCAGTTGGCACCAGTCACCATACAGTGTTGTCATTCAGATTTAACTGTTACCTAGTTCAAGATAAGGCCAGGCCAAGGTGCAAATATTACAAGGGAAATTACAATGGGATGAGGGAAGAGATGAGGGGTATCAACTGGCCTGACTTATTAAGGTACAAGAACGCAGACACTACGCTGAATATCATAACTAGTAAAATGACCCATTTGATCGATAAATATATACCCAAGACCAAACCCAGTGCTTCTAGGAATACGAGGGGATCCCTACACATGAACCATGCGGCGGTCGACAAAATTAAGAAGAAAACCCAGAAATTCAAGACGTGGGTTGGGTCAAACGATGAGCAAGACAGGAGGATGTATGCAAGAGCCAGAAACCAAGCAAAGATAGAGTGTAGGAGGGCTGAAAAGGAGTTCCAAAGGCTGGTTGCACGCGAGGTCAAGTCAAACCCAAAGGCGTTTTACCGCTATGCAAAGTCGAAATTGAAAACGCGAGTAGGAGTATCAGACCTGAGGCTTGAAGATGGTAGTTACGCAGATTCTGACCAGGATAAAGCTGAGGCATTGAACAGCTTCTTTTCCTCAGTGTTCACAAGAGAGGATGCAACTAACCTTCCTGCGTTTGAGGACAGACGGTTCGACACAGCACTGACCCACATTGTGTTCACAGAAGAGGGTATTAGAAATAAACTGTCCAGGCTAAAGGTCCATAAGAGTCCTGGACCTGACATGGTGCATCCTAGAGTGCTAAGGGAGCTGTGCAACGAGTTTGCAGAGCCCCTGAAGATTCTGTTTTGTAAATGCCTGGATGAACAAATGGTCCCCAGTGAATGGAAAGTGGCTTATGTGAGTCCTATCTTCAAGAAGGGTGATAGTCACTCCACGAACAACTATAGACCGGTGAGCCTGACCAGCATAATATGTAAAGTACTTGAGAGTATTATCAGAGATGCAGCGATGGAACATCTACTACGAAACAACCTTGTAAAAGATTGCCAACACGGTTTTATGCCGGGGCGCTCTTGCTTGACACAATTGCTCAAGGTATTGGATATTTGGACCCATATTCTAGAACGGGGTGGTAATATCGACAATATTTACCTAGATTTTGCCAAGGCTTTCGACAGTGTACCCCACGAAAGGCTGAAAATCAAACTGGAAGGGTACGGAATTCGGGGATATGTCCTAGCGTGGATAGAAGACTTTCTACATGACCGCAAGCAATGTGTGGTGATTAATGGCACGAAATCGTCATCTGTACCTGTAACAAGTGGGGTACCACAGGGTAGTGGATTGGGCCCGCTGTTGTTTGTTTGTTTCATAAATGATATGCCTGACGTACACTCCTCCATACAAATGTTTGCCGATGATGGCAAGTTATTTCGGGAAATTTAGAACCAAGCGGACTGTGAAGAGCTGCAGAAGGACCTCTGTGGGCTCCAGGAATGGTCGAAGGAATGGCTGCTGAGATTCAATGTCACGAAGTGTAAGAGGATGCACCTGGGGCGTACCAACGGTAAGGAGGCGTACCATATGTCCCAACGGGATGAAGAAAATGTACTAGTTGAGACTGTGTGTGAGAAGGACCTAGGTGTGTATGTTGACAATGAGCTGAAGTTCTCGGGCCATTGTGAGAAGAAGGTAAATCAGGCAAATAAATTATTGGGTCTTATAAGAAGGTCGTTCAGATATCTAGACGGTCCGTCCCTCGTGACGATCTTCAGGAGTGAAGTGCTTCCCCATCTGGAGTACTGTCACCCCATCTGGTCCCCGAGATATGCTAGGGACTGTCAGTTGGTTGAAAATGTTCAAAGGAGGGCCACCAAACTGGTGCCTGCACTTCGGCACCTCAGCTACCCTGAGAGATTGGAGCGCCTGAACTTGCCTAGCTTATACTACAGACGGGCAAGGGGGGACCTAGTTGAGGTTTATAAGCATCTCAGGGGGCACTACTCAGTTGAGTGTCCTTACTTGGAGCTGGCGGACGCTCGCCCCACAAGGGGTCACAGCTCAAGATTGAAGAAGCCGCAAGTCCAGAAAACCGTGAGGGCAAACTTTTTCGGAGTGAGGGTTGTAAACTCTTGGAACAATCTACCAGAGAGTGTTGTGACGGCACCGAGTGTGAGCTCTTTCAAGAGAAGACTTGACCAACACTGGAGCGGGTTCAGGTACATTCAGGAGCCGGTGCATGCCCAGTATTTGCCGACAGAGACGTGACCGATCGCCCGGGCGGCTAACAAGCCGATCAGTGGCGAAGAGGATAAAAGTAAAAGTAAGATACTTCTTTTAGCTACTGTACAATCAAGTACCTGTATATTGTAATAAATAAAATAAACTTCTGTACTGTATACACCATACTGTACTCGCCAGTAGATGCTGTCGTCTTGAGTTTGCGATGCAGGCAGGCCAAACGGTGATATGATACAGGTTGACCTGCCTTTGTCCTGTACCATCTACTAGCAGGTGTTGCTCATTGTCACTTATCTCTCCCTCCATAAAGGAGGGATTCTATATGCACTGTATACTGTACATACACCCTCTACACACCAGCCTACAGTTGACATGCACTGTTCACTTTGCTATGTATACAGTACTACAGTGCATACGTACGGTACTTTCGCACTTACTAAATACTTTAACAGTACATTATAACACAGATTTTATGTGAAAAAAGCATGAGCAAGCAAACAAGCTTGTACAATGGCAGTAGATAATGAACTAAGTGTCATGATGCTAGAGTTTGAGGAGATAAGCTGTGAAATACATCAGCCAATCATAGGTATCCCAAGCGGTCACATGACAGTAGTATCCAATTATAACTCATGAGCACTCTCAGCCCACCCACTCTCATGGTTGGCATTTGTCGGTGCATGACGCAATTTCTTGGAAATTCGTTTGAATACCTGTGAGAAATTTTCTCATTAAAAAAAAAAAATAAAAAAATATATATATATATATATATATATATATATATATATATATATATATATATATATATATATATATATATATATATATATATATATATATATATATATATATATATATATATATATATATATATATATATATATATATATATATATATATATATATATATATATATATATATATATATATATATATATATATATATATATATATATATATATATATATATATATATATATATATATATATATATATATATATATATATATATATATATATATATATATATATATATATATATATATATATATATATATATATATATATATATATATAGAAGTCCGCGTGCTTTATTGGGCTAATGAAATATATATGGATCTTCGTGTTTCGAAGCCGGATTTGGTAAAACGTTACTCTGACCACCTACGTGATACGGGTGGTCCCCAATAGAGGTTCACGGCGCCATAAGTTCGTTGAACCGGCTTTGTGTGAAATATAACAAAGTCTAGGACTGCTTTTAGTATCCTGGTGGTCCAGCGGTTAGCGTTCCCCGGTCACAGTCATAGGATTGTGGGCCGTGGGTTCGAATCCTGGCGGGTTGAGGTGTTGATTGTATGTAGAAGTCCGCGTGCTTTATTGGGTTAATGAAATATATATATATATATATTATATATATATATATATATATATATATATATATATATATATATATATATATATATATATATATATATATATATATATATATATATATATATATATATATATATATATATATATATATATATATATATATATATATTTATTTATTTATTTATATTTATATTATTTATTTTCCTGGTTATGAAGAGTTCTCGTGGTCGAAGATTCCAGCATAAGGAGAGATTACTACATCAGTTATTCACAATAACTTTGCTGAATACATTTGTTCCTATTGTGTTTGATAGTGCATAACGTTGCTTTAATTCTTACTGTGTATCGTATTGATGTCTTTCAAAATAAATTATTTAAAAAAAATTTGAATTGTATTTTTCCCAAAAGGGTAAATAATGAGTGCACACGCTACACTGGAGCTTTGATCGGCCTTGGGTATGATGAGGAAAATGGCCGGGCCATATATCCAGATGAGGATATTGAATTAGAATTTGACGTTAACTTCACCCAAAATGATTTGATCACGGTGAGTACATTGTCTTCTCTCGGTATTGACCAGTACGCTCATTGTTTGTTATATCATCAAGCTGTGTTATGTTGTAGATTTTTGGTGTGTGTGTGTGCTAGACTAATAAGTTTTTTTAGTTATTTACTTTTTTAATATAATATATATATATATATATATATATATATATATATATATATATATATATATATATATATATATATATATATATATATATATATATATATATATATATATATATATATATATATATATTATTTTTTCTGACCGTCAGATCAACATGGTAAGATACCTAATGGATGCCGCCCTTCAGGAGAAAGATGAGATCTCAAGCCATATGCTCATTAGCATAAGGAAGAAATTGAGGAAGCTAATTATCTCGTAAGTTATTTTTTTACCCTTCTCATGACGTGTTGTTTGATTTCTTACGTTTTCAGGTTTTTAGCTTTTTATGCTCTCCACCCATTTCAGGTTTCCACTCAGTAACTTTCCAAAGACAAAATGAGGTTAATATCAGTTTTATAATGATATTGTAATTTGATGAATTTTTTATTGAGAAAGTTGAAGATGTTACTCTGGATGGGCTGCCATATAAGATGCACCCCCCATTTTAGCAGGGAGTATATAGGAAAAACTTTTGTGTGTATTTTCCTCTTATAGCCATAGTTTTCTTAAAACAATATATATTGTCCTGGTCAGAATCTGCGTAACTACCATCTTCAAGCCTCAGGTCCGATACTCCTACTCGCATTTTTAATTTCAACTTTGCATAACGGTAAAATTCCTTTGGGTTTGACTTGACCTCACTTGCAATCAGCCTCCAGAACTCCTTCTCAGCCCTTCTACACTCTGACTTTGCTTGGTTCTTGCATACAACCTCCTGTCCTGCTCATCGTTTGTCCCAACCCACATCTTCAATTTTGGGGTTTTCTTCTTAAACTTTGTCGACTGCTGCATGGTTCATGTGTAGCAGTTTCCTTGTATTCCTGGAGGCACTGTGTTTGGTCTTGGGTATAAATTTTTCAATGAAATGGTTCACTTTACTGGCTATGATATTCAGTGTAGTGTCTGTGTTCTTATACCTTAGTGAGGCAGGCCAGTGGATACCCCTCGTCTCCTCCCTCATCCTGTCATAATTTCCATTGTAATATAATAATCTTCACCTGGTTTTGTTGTGAACCAAGTAACAGTTAAATCTGAAGGACAACGTTATGTGGTGACTGGTGCTAACGAGGGCAAGGTGTTCCAGCTTGGCCACCATACCCTCCTCGTTTGTTTTGATGAGGTCCAGTGGCTTGGATCTTTGCTCCCCTCTGTAATGAATCACACAGGAGAAAATATGTGTGATAAGGTCCTGGACACATTGAATGAATTGGACATAGATATTCAAAATTGTCGTGGACAATCGTACGATAATGCCGAGTAGTTTTACCGCTTGTTGGTTTCAGATAAAATACAAAATCTTCTGGAACAGTATAACAAATTGTAACCCATTTATCATGAATCACAAAATCTGTCAATTTTTCTGCATGTGGTATTGAGTGTGAATGGCTCCCAGACCACCTCATTGTTCACAAGTACTGTACACCCCATTTATTACCAAGTGCCTCTGGAGATAAAGAGAATTGAGAAACTGTATAATAATGACTTAAATAACATTTCAGGTTGTTGGAGGAAGGGAGAGCATACAAGGATCCTGAACCCCACCAACAACTGTACCGCTGGAACATGGTAAGTTACAGTTGGCAGTTTTCTCCTCTTGTTGCATCAAAGTTTCGTGTATTTACTGTAGCTATAATTTTCTATTGAGTGAATCTTCTGAACACAGAAATTTGTCGAAGATTATAGAATATTCTGTATACTCTAAAGGTATTTGACAATTTCTGGATACTCTTCAGTGTTAAGTGAATTTTCTGATCAAAGACAAATTAATTTTTCTGTGATTTTACAAAGACAAATAACTTGAATAGTCATCAACAACTAATGAATAGGTTATGAACTTTTTAGATTTTGAAATGTACTAAAATGTCCAATTTTTGTGGTTATAAGTTGCCTTTTATGAAACTTTTTTAAGGTTTTTACTTACCTTATACTTTTATCCTTTTCGCCATGAATCAGCTCCTTAGCTGCTTGGGAAGTCAGTCAGGTCTCTTTTAAGCACGGTTGATAAATACTGAGCATGTACTGGCTTCAAAATGTATCTGTACATGTGCCAGTGTTGGTCAAGTCTGGTCTTGAAAGAGCTCACACTCAAAGCCGTCACAACACACTAGTATTTTTTTTCCGTGTGTTCACAATTCTCTACAAAAAAGTTAGCACTCACAATTTTCTGGACTTGTGGCTTCAACTTTGAGCTGTGACCCTTTGTGGGGCAGGTCTCCACTAGTTTCAGGTATGGACACTCGACTGAAATATTATAAACTTCACTTAAGTTACCCCTTGCCCGTCTATAGTATAAGCTAGGTAGTTGCAGGTATTCTAATCTCTGGGTAACTGAGGTGCCGTCGTGCAGGTACCAGTCTAGTGGACCTCCTTTGGACATTTTCAATCAACTGAGTCTCTAGCATATCTCGGGGACCAGACGGGGAAGCACCTCGCTCTTGAAGAGCGTTTTGAGGGACAGACCGTTTAGATATCTGAACGACCATCTTATAAGACCGACTAGCTTCATTGCTTGATTCACCTTCTTCCCACAATGGCCTGAGAGCTTCAGTTCATTGTCAACATACACACCCAGGTCCTTTTCACATACAGTCTTATTAATCCAGTTTCTTCATCCCTTTGGGACATGTGATACACTTCCCTACTTTTTTTTTTTTTATCCTCTTCGCCACTGATCGGCTTGTTAGCCGCTTGGGCGATCGGTCACGTCTCTTTTCCTTTATATTCTTCACCAAAAGGTCGGCTCGCTAGCCGCCCGGGCGATCGGTCACGTCTCTGTCACGCACTGTTGGCAAATACTGGGCATGCACCAGCTCCTGAATGTACCTGAACCCGCTCCAGTGTTGGTCAAGTCTTCTCTTGAAAGAGCTCACACTCGGTGCCGTCACAACACTCTCTGGTAGATTGTTCCAAGAGTTTACAATGGTATGATCTGGGTACATCCTCTTGCACTTTGTGACATTGAATCTTCGCAGCCATTTCTTTGACCTCTCTTAAAGTTGACAGATATTTCTGTAGCTCTTCACAGTCTGTTTGCTTTTTAACCCGTTGAGCGCTAATCCCGTACTTATATGGGATGGGTGACCAGCCGCGACCAGCGCTTATCTCGTAAAAGTACGTGGCTAGATTTAGCATTGTCCTGAACTCATATTTGTGGTAGTAGCAAGATGCGCATAAAGCTACATTATCACCCCCTCCTTGCCTACTGGTATACTGCTTCCCGGGCCACGTGGCTCTACGCTCTGGAAGCCTCAGCAGCGACAGTGTTCATCACTCAGTGAGTCACACTCACGCCAGCCATGCATGAACATGTCACACCGCTCTCGCTCCAGGCTGACTGAGGAGGAATACTCGCGTCTCGTTGTCGAGTATGAGCCTACATCAGAGCTTACCCTAGATGATTTTTCTGAGTCGGATAATGACCCACTCTATGATCAGAATACTTCATCTTCTTGTTGAAGTGGTGAGGGAGATGTTTCAGGTGTACTGGCAAGAACGACATGTAACACCTCGTAATCCAACTCTTGACACACCAAGGAAAAAATTTGAACCTCCGCCTTGTCCTGATCTGAATCTGCATAACTACCATCTTCAAGCCTCAGATCCAATATGCCTACATGTGGTTTTTAGTTTTGATTTTGTGTAATGGTAGAAAGCCTTTGGGTTTGACTTGACATTGCTTGTAATCAGCCTCTGGAACTCTTTTTCAACCCTTCTATTTGTCCTTTCCCATGTCTTGAATTTCTGAGATTTTTCTTAACTTTGTCTAATGCCACATGGTTCATTTGTAACAGTCTCCTTGTATTCCTGGAGCCAGTAGGTTTGGTCTTGGGTATATATTTATCAAGTAGTTCACTTTACTGGCTATGATGTTCGGTGTAATGTCTGTATTCTTGTATCTCAGCGAGACAGGCCAGTGAATACCCCTTCTCCTCCCTCATCCCATCATAATCGCCCATTGCTTTGTCAAATTAAGGATTTGAAGTTACTTTGGTTTAATAAGCTACAATTACACCCTACAATGAGTAAGTCTCTCCCCTTATATTTAATTTTTTACCACTTTGATTCTTCAAAAACATCCTCCCCCTGCACCCTCACATGGCTGGTTCTAAGGTCTTGCCTAGCATAGATAACCACACCCCTCTAGTAAGTTGCTCAAGAAAGGTTCATAAATGAGTTAATCCATCTATATTGAACTCAGTCCTCCAGGTCAATTCTCCTGTTCTTGAACAGCAGTTCTACAACACCTAGTATATTGAGTTGAAGTACCTTGAGTAATGTTTCACACTCCACTCTCTTATCAAGGAACATGTCAGTATTAGTTTATACGACTTTAAAGCTGGAAATAGTCCTCGGTAACATCTTTGATCTTTTTAGTGGGCCTCCCTCCATTCTCAGCAGCTGCCTCGTTTACTAAACTCACCATATTTTGTGAGGTCTGGTCACAGATAACATTGTTTGCATAATGCTTGCCTCCTCCTGGGTGGGAGGTTGAGGGGTGTCCCGCTTTCCCCTGGTTATGTACTGGTGCACTTGAATCCACTATTCTACCCTTGTATATAACCCATCCACATCCATCCTTGAGTTTCATCGATTCTTCCATCTTCTGTTTCAAGCAGCTCAGGAGTTCTTTGTACTGTTCCCTCTGCATTACTGTGCAATCCGGGTTTATGAATGTCCCAAAATGCTTCGTTCCTTGTTAAGTTTTTTGCCTGCCAAATAACTTCATATTTTCTTTCCTCATCCTCTAGTGTGCTCCTGAGAGGGTGGGGCTTATTCTCATGCCTTTGTCCTAGCCTCCTCACTTCATAAGGGGTAGATGACAGGTGTAGAACCTCTGCACAAATACAGTAGTCTGAAACGCCATCTTATCCTGTGTTTTCCTACTTTCACTTCCTCCGGCTGACTCTCAGCGACTCCAAACACAGATGTAATGTTCCTGCACTTGATTCATTCCCGGTGTTCCTCCTCTCCCATATCAGTAAGCCTACTAGTTAGCAACTTTTCAACACACTTCTGTGGAGTTTCTAGCTGCTGCAGGACTTGTAAAAAAACCCACATTACTCCCCATCATCTTCTGTGATCCTGCTGCAACCTGAGCATAGCTCTTATTCACTACTCCCTCTATTCTATCAGCTACTTCCTCATTCTTAGTGAGGATACTCTTTCCCAACTTGGTATAGTTTGGCAACCAACAAGGATCTATTTTTATCTCTATGAATCTCTCTTCCTTATTATCTGCAATAGCCACGTTTACTTTGGTTATACAGTCAGGGTTAACCTTTTGGCTGTGGGAGGTTACTTTAAGCTGAATAAAATTGTTTGGCAATAGCCAGAATAAAATGGTAAGTGCAGGAATTGCAGCAAAAGGGTTAAGTGCCCAAATATAAACACTTGATAATGATGCCGATAGATAAACATTTTAACCTTTCTTCTGACTCCAGCTTACTTATTGCTAAAGTTACTGTGCAACTTATAGAATAAAAAGAATTGACAATGAATACATAAATAGGTGCCCAAGGAAGATGTGTTGCCTCCTATAGCAGTTGAACTTGCTGATGAAGCTGGGGGGTTGGTGTTCCCACTCCACTGTGGCATCGTCCTTCGTCCTGAGAACTGCCCCGAGAAGCTCCGTAATAAGCTGTCTGAGCTAAAGAATCTTCAAGCCAGGTTTGTCACTATTCATGTGCTGTGTACAGTATATGCTTTTGTCCCTCCTGGACAGGGCCTTGTTCAGTATTTATGGCTACCCAGTCTTGAGTCAGTGAATTGGATATTAACTTGTATTCAACTTAACATTTTGAATCGTGTACAATGTTAATACTTTGTTCTTTCTGGTGTTGTTAAAAACTGCTTGTATTTCTTTTACATATCTTCAGATTAGCAGCAGAAGAAAGTACACCATATACAGAAGTGAATAGGACTTGTCCACTATGCCTTGTTCCCCTCAAATCCTTGTTGAACCTTGAACTACACATGGCCAGCACTGCACACATGTATGAAGAACGTAGACTTGAAAAATCCAGCTCCTCAATGGTACAAGATGATGAAGTCTGAACAGTGGGGTCAGGTATTATATTAATTAGTTAGGATGACCTTTTTTATTCAGTTTTCCAAGATTCACAATAGCTTTATGCTTTGTTTGCTTACTTATTTAGCAGTTTCAGATGCCAGAACCTTTTTTTGCTGTGTAATTGATTTTTTTTTTATAATTTTAAGTATACTGCAATTATTAAATCACTTGGAGGCTACTTGCTCTCCAGTATTGTTTCTAAATGAAAAAAAAAGTAATTTATAAGATTTACTTAATTATTTGATTCAGGCTACAAAGAGAGGAAATAAATTAGAAAAAAATGCATAAACACTAGGAAATCAGAATTCTGTTGTACATGGGTAGGTATGTGTTGAGTGATAACTCTAGTAATACTGACTACTTACTAGGGATTCCAGGTTCTCAAACGACCTATTATGTCAGCCAGGGTTGATCTGTTAGTCCATTTTATATTGCCTAATCTCTTCCCTCCCACCTCAAATGAAGGAGATTTGATACTTCTGTTGCCCTCTGGAGGTTGGAGATCCTATTACAGCCATGCCTGTCTGGTCATGACACATATCATAACAAGTCTACTATCCACATTCTTAGCCAATCTACCAATTTGTATTTATTCCCTTACTGACCAACAGAAAACTGCCTGTGTAATGGTTCTGGGGAGTTAGTCTTTGTTTATTTTTATGGAATACAGTATTTTTAGTTTTTATTAATTTTTTATTACTATTATTTTGGCCCCCAGGCCCTGATGTGGGTCATTGACCTGTGCCCTGATGGGCTAATCCAGTAAAAAAAAAATTGAGCTAGCCCTTCCTCGCAATATATTATTCACCTATATACAGTAGTGTGATACAGGTTCTGGTACTGTTCATCCCTGGGGTCTATAATTGTGTACATATACAATTGATATGGAAACCTTATGCTTTAATATTGCAAACATTTCAGAATGTTCATAATACTGTATTTACACTTATTGGAATCATCTGAGATTTTAGGATCAATCCTTATATGTAGTTTAACCAAGACATTATTTTATTTTATTTAGTGTTATTTTATGCCCTTTGCCTAAAGTTCAATATGGAAGAAAACTTGGTCAAGGGCACTTGGATGTCAATCACCAGAATGCTGTCACTAATAAGGATAAACCCACCAGAATCTTCTTTGAGTTTGTACATTGAGTATCAGTGGCATTTGGCTCTTAAGTGATTATCATGCCATTTCATAGGAAGGGTGTGAAGATATGCTCAAACAGTCACTATTACAACAAGTCTAGGTTATGAAAATGATGACCGTACCCACAATGTGGTATGAAAGCAGGGAGTGCTTTATGTCTCTTTCTCTCTAAAACTTGGGTATTGTGCTTTATGGGAAATATTAAAATGTGTGAACCACTAGTTCCTGCAGCCATACCTTGACCCTGTTAATTCCCCCAGATGTAGATGCTGTGGCCATATATGAAAAAAAAAAATCAACATGAGCATTTTTTTTCTCCTTTTAATTTTTAAAAGATAAAGTAGTCTACGTGAGGAAAGTTTCCCAGTGTGACTTGTTTTCTTTACTACCAGCAATGAAGTTTAAATTTTGTTCATTATTTATGGCTTGCAACTAGTTGGTTTACACATAGATTTGAAGAGGCTCCATGTGTTAATTACTGTCACAATTTATAAATAAAACTCCTTGTACTGTAATCACTTTCCTTTCACTTACCGGTAGCTTTGAGTCATGTGTTACTGGGCATGGCCTTTGGGTCTGACATACTTTGGAACACATTGACACACTATTGGTGGATTCTTGGGACACATTAATTCGTGTGCTGACAGACCCTCACGGTACTGGTGGTCCAGCAGTTTTGTGCTTATCTCTCACTACTGTTTCCTGGTTTCAATCACTAGCCTGGGACAGATGTGAGGGTGTTATCCAGTATAACACTACCAATTATGGCAGGTTTCCTCCAGGTATTCCAGTTTCTTCCAGTGCTAACACTGGACAATAAAGAACTCTCATATACAAACAGACTCTCTAGAAATGTTGAACTTGAGTCCCAATCCAAGGACTACCTGTGGTCTGAATTAGTGGATTTAGTGACTCATACCTTGCACAAACTACCCTATTTAAGTTCAACTAATTTAACTTTCCTTAAAAATAGATAAATAGTTTAACAACTCGATTCTAACAACATAATGTGTGCAAACTTGTGTCTCACACCCGGAGTTTTAATCAACATCTTCCATTGAAGAAGGTCATTGTGTCGACAACTACAGTTTTAAACGCGAAGAACCCCACACTGCACCGCATGACGGAGAGAGGCAGCAGAAAAACAAACTACAGTATGGTAATAATATTGGAATTTAAAAATGTGGCTGTTAGCTGGTCTACCTTAACTTATTTGTAATTGTTTTATTGGATATTTATAGTAAATAGAATTAATGAACAAAGAAAAGCATAATGATAATTTAATAATCTTTTTTTTTTACAGTAATGTTTTTATGGCCAATATGAAATTTTCCAGAAACATGTGTTTTGTTTTACTGTCAAGTGCAAGCTCATTCAGCTGCTGGAGTCATCCCATCTTACAAATACTGGTACTAATCAGATAAGCAAATTTAATAATTTATTCAACATTTTAAAAATTTTGTGGGGTTTTGTTTGGAACATATAAAGGGGAATTTTCTAGGTTCTTAATCTTAAAATGGATAGAGCCAAATTTCACTGGCAGGACATCGTCACTAAACTTTATGCAACATATATTAATAAAGTAAGTGTGTTTAAGATAAATAAATCGACTTTTTTAGCAGTTTTGTAAGTGAGTTTTTGCCTGGAAAATATCATTCTTATCCTCGCCAATTAATGGTACTAAAAACAACTATGTTGATAATCATCCATGTACAGTCTTATATTTGGCGCCAGTGTTTGTCATCTCCGGCATGCCAACCACACGAGTAAGGCGACCCAAAATGCATCAGCGAAGGTGGACAGGCTGACCAACCCTACCTTCGACGGTCCCACACAGAGGGTAAGAGGTTCGAGCAATTAAAACAGCTTGAAGGAACGACTTCTACTTGTGGGTTTTTTGTCGAAGGGGGAAGGAGGGTGATTAAAATTCCGGGTGTAGAATTTCCCAAGAAAGATAGCTGAAAATGGGTGAAATTACTTCAAAGTCCATCAGCAAGACTGATTATTGTGTTACTTTTTTATCTCAGATTCTTATTATGCCCGTTGAGTAAGGTCATATATTTTTTTAATTGGTCTGTTGAGAACAGACCAATGTGTGAAGTTTACCATCTTAAACCCACAGACTGACAGACAAAATGTTAGTTTATCCACAGGTGGTGGTTGGTAATGTGAGACATATTTGCATTACAGTTTTCTAAATATAAAATAGGTTGATTAATATGGCTCATATTAAAACATTTTATTAACAAGTTACCACTATAAAAATAAATCCAGAAGCATATTAAATATGCATTATTTTCAAGTTTGGTGCTCTTGTTTAAAAATTTGTTTGTTTCAATAAATGTATTGAAATGCTGGTAATCAATGAAAAGTGTAAGTGGGTCCCACTGACAGTAAACTGATTACAAAGCCTTGAGTACACAAGGATGCAGTGATTGGTATCCTCACTTATCAAACTATAAAGTTAGATACCCATCCACAGGTGGGTGACCTGTGGGTGCTCAGACATGAACCAGCAACACTCCACCTTGATAATCACAACTTTAAAAGTATTTGATGTTTGTATTTCTGAGTGAGCTGATCAATTGTAAGTCCAGTGTTGAACAGCCTTGACACCATTATAAAGTAGGTGAGGGCAGAAACACGAGCCACAGTGGTTAATAATATTAATACAAACTGCAAGTTATTTAAAGGATAGGAAAGTTTGCCTCTGAGCTACAATTTTCCTTTGTATTTCATAAATAATCTACAAGCAGCAGAACCACCTGGAAATCTTGTATAACATCAATGCCAGTGCTTTATTTATTTTTCCATTATAAAAGAAAATGAGTAGGATCATTCAAGATTCATCCAGATCCTGAAATGGAAAAAAACTTAGTCTGAAAGAACTGAAGTGATCAACCTCTTCTATCCGTCACTCCATTACAGCCTGAGTAGATTTTGAAAGTAATGACTATACATTGTACACCTTACTATACCTTACTTTCCTAACAAATTATGAATGAGGAACACTAGTAATTCACTTCTTCACTTTGGGTTTGCGTGGCATCTTGACAGGTCTGAGGTAGGGGTTGTCCAACTCGGCATCTTGTGTTTCGTTCATTCTGTCCTTCTCCTGAAAACAATTATTTGAGATTAAATAATGATTGAGGAATACTTCTGTATGAAAACAAAATATCATGACAAACTGTTTCTTCATGAAAGTATAACAGAACATAAATTAGGCCTAGTAGCATTTTCAAGATAAAGATTCACAACTATCATGGAGTGGCATAGTACCAGCTAATAGAAATAAAAAATATATTTCAAACAAAAATAAGTTTGTTTGCATTTTGGTCCAAGGAAATATTCAAATCAAGTGCCCCTGGGGCAGCCACATCCCCTGGCCCTCACTCTACCAGGTTGAGTGAGGTGTTAATTATGTTCTGGTTATATTTCAACTCCCATGTGCAAAAATAAAAGAAATAATTATCATAAGGTCACAAACATGAAGGGAATAAACATTTCTTTGTACGGGGGAGCAGAGTGTGGGAGCCCCATTGCTGAGGGTCGGCAGAGGCAGTGTACCAGTTGGGCTGCATGGCAAGGCTTGAGGCCACCCAGCCAGCATCTATGCAAATGGCAGTTGTGTAGATAATGAGTCATAGCAAGCTTGATATTTGAGATAAAAGAGTGGGATTTGCTGCATTAGCATTTTAAATAAATTATCTACAGTTTTATATGAGTAATCATGATAAAATAATCATTTCTATACTGTATGTAAGAGTGAGTAAAACAAAAAAAATTTTTACACAATAAAAATGTTTATACACCACTTTATACCTTCTTTATTTCATGTGATTACAATATGAAATTAATTGTTATGAGAAATGTACATTAAAAAACAAAACAAAAAAATAGTTATAGGGGAAAAGTTGCGTAAAAGTTAATATTTCACTGTGCACTTCACTCTTAACGTCATTGTCTCTCTATCACTCGCAATTGTTCAATCATAATCGTCAAGTACTCTCATCATTAGTTCTGGGACATTTCCCAGCTTCACAGTGCTGTACTTAGCATGAACAAGGCGATTGAATCTAGTTTTAGTGGGGGTACGGGTAGTGCACACTTGTGAGGATGGTGAGTAAGCCACCCTGGGATGGCTGAGATGCCACATGAACCAATTTGTGGCCAAACAGATACTGGCCATCTCTGGCAGACAAGTAGGGAATGACCTTCCTATTAAACTATACAGCTGCAACACCACAAGATGTGGTACATGTATTATATAAGAGAAAAGCCTTTTATTGATTCTCACGTGATTTGGGTCCCCTTCTTCATGAACCATTCTTCTCTTCTTTGTTCTTGTTCTCTCCTCCTCCTCTTCAAACACTTGGTCCCTGGGCATAAGAGCATCCAAGTATGACTTGGAGTTGGGTGTCACACCTACAACTGAAGGTGGAGGAAAGTTTAATTTAGTCAAAACAATCATGCAGGATATTCAGACACATTAATGATAATGTACAGTATACCTGTACTGGCATTACACAAATTAATTTTAATCAATTGAAGATTCTATTGTGCTTGAGAATATTAATATCGGTACCATAAAAGACAGGTAAATCTAAAATACTTCTTATGAATAGATTAACCCTCTTGTACGCAAAATAAGTTTTAATGGCACAATTAGCGCCACCAATGCTACCCAAAGTTCTTGAGGGGGTTAAGCAACAATATTTTATTACCTGTTAGAAATTACTGTACAGGTGCTCCTCTACTTACGAACGAGATAAATTCCCGAGGCTTGTTTGTAAGTCCAACTTTACTCTTGTAGATACCAAACATATTGTAAAAAAATGAAAAGACTGGATATTTAGTACAGCTATGCCCTTTAATACAGCCTTAAAACCGAGCTCACTCTTCTCTTAGGTAATATTTGTTCTATTTGGAATTTCCTTCAAAATAATCCAGTCTGATCCACATTAAACACCTGTTCTGGCAGGTAACCCCCCCCTCAGTGATGATGTTTGTATCTCTGAAAGTTTGTAAGTTGAACGTTCTTGAGTACTGTAGAAGAGCAACTAGATACAGTTGTACTGTTTATTATCTGGTTATCTATCTATTTTCATGATTTTTTCTTTTCCCCACTTTTAGTAATGGGTGTTGCTGGCTAGTGTACTGTATATGTCAGGGTAAACAAACCAGATTTGGAGCCTTGTGGGGGGGATACTTAGTCAGATATGTCTCATAAACTTGTAAGTGGTATAGGTTGATCCAGCCTAACATGAGAAGTAATAACTTGAGCAATAAAACAATGTACTGTACATCTTTTCAAGAAGTTGAAAGGAGACAGAGATCAAGAAAGAAATACACACACACAGATTGTCAACATTATACTCAATACATCAACATGTAGCTTCTATATAGTGGCTTCATATCCTATACTTGAAGAGCTACAAAGAGATTTTGTGAAGAAGGAATGACATGCAGCAAGTGTTCAACTGTAGCAAGGTATGTGATTAACCCTTACACAACAGCTATTGTCACTGGAAGCTGGCTATCATCAATGAAAGTTGGTTGTAAGGAGGTGGCTATCAATGAAAGTTGGTTGTAAGGAGGTGGCTATCAGTGAAAGTTGGTTGTAAGGAGGTGGCTATCAGTGAAAGTTGGTTGTAAGGAGGTGGCTATCAGTGAAAGTTGGTTGTAAGGAGGTGGCTATCGGTGAAAGTTGGTTGTAAGGAGGTGGCTATCGCTATCAGTGAAAGTTGGTTGTAAGGAGGTGGCTATCAGTGAAAGTTGGTTGTAAGGAGGTGGCTATCAGTGAAAGTTGGTTGTAAGGAGGTGGCTATCAGTGAAAGTTGGTTGTAAGGAGGTGGCTATCAGTGAAAGTTGGTTGTAAGGTGGCTATCAGTGAAAGTTGGTTGTAAGGAGGTGGCTATCAGTGAAAGTTGGTTGTGGAGTTAGTTGGAGAGATGGCGGTCATCCTCGGCAGATGCTTCATGCTGCTTGTGTTTTGTTTTTATGCATATAGGGGAATCCAGGATAGAAGATGAGGAAGATGTAGTGTGTATTGTTTTGTATTTTGATATATATTTGGAGCACAGTATAATACTAACGCATAAATTCCTTATCATCAGTGAAGAAAAGGTTCTGTGTATCGCTGGTTTTGGCGGCAAATTTGGTTAATGCTCTCTCTATGTCTCTCTTCTGAGCAGCGGCCTTTTCTCGGATAGCCTCATATTCTGTCACTGGCTGCTTGTACGTGTGCGAAAAACTGAAAACGAGGAAAAAATAATATCAATCATATTAAGAAGACTACGTACTACTTAATTTTCTACCTACAGTATATAACATTTTGAGTTTCTAATACAAAAGTAAAAGTCAGCAGTTTTTTGCTGGTTTTCAACTAATGTGACCAAGTTTAAGTAAATAGTCCATGACTTTGAGGTTTATTGAAATCCTCCAGCACAATGAAAAAAAATTTATAAAAATAAACTGTTCACATTGGCTACTTCGGTTGCCTGTGACTTAATTTCTGGAAATTAAAGGAAAAGTTTTCAGACAATTTTCAGATATCTATATTGGCTTCTGAAAAATTAAAAAGTTATTCAAACCATTAATTTCTGTGTGTACAGTTCAGGTACAACACACCTTTATCTTTGCAAAAATTTTTTTTTTTTTTTTTTTTTTAAATCCTAATTTAGACATCTGTGGCTATTTCCCCATAATGAGGAAAATTTTAAGAGGACTAATGATGCTTATTCTTTGGAGACCATCTCCTTGATAGTGGAAATTATGAAAGACTGACAAAACACCCAAGCCAGAAACCCCTTCATGTGTGCACAGTACTACAGGAAATGTGACATACTGTACCAGTAAGTGTGAGTATCAGGAAATGGAGGAAGATGATCAGGAATGTGTTGTGGATGAGACTTCTTATCACCAACTTGTAGTACATTGTGTTGCTTCAGGTCCACTTGTTGGGCCGGAGCAGCGATAACGACTCTGTTCTGGCGAAGTCTGAAGGCCTGTGTATAAAAATATTTAATAAATTACAATAAAAAATTATTTATTAATTTATCTATAACCTTGTCCTACTACCCTATACTACCAACTGAAGGACTAAAATAGAAGTTCCAATTTATGATCTGAGAAGGAATAAGTGACATGTAAGATGTAAACCACAGATACACACTGACTTACCAGAGAGCCTCAACATATTTCACACCAAGGTACATTATTAAGACATAAAGACCTACTCCAAGCAGCCTTCCCACCCAATGGATTCAAGATGTAAGATTCAATTCTGTTTGTTTAAAAAAAGTCTAAACTGCAACATGGTGCCAAATGGATCCATGAATAACCGGAAACTATTTTGTTAAGGGATAGCTTGGTGTGTGTGTCCAGTAACCATACAAGTCAACCCTCAGTGTGTATTAAGGTCACATTCCTAAAAAATGTTGTGGCTATGGAATCTGGAGAAAGCCTAAAATATAAGCCTGGCATAATTTAGTATTAGTTTAACCAGGTGGTGAAGCCCAGGAGAAAGTGGCCTTACAAGTTGGTCAAAAGTTAGTAGAATATGAAGGAAACATCAACACTCACTTGTAATCCTTCAATACTAATGCCCATATCTATTAGAGCCATAACCACATCACCAACGACTGGCTCCGTCCGATACGCCTGTTCACAAAATGCTTTACTGCTACGACCAATTTCACTGATTACTGAAAGAAAAATTAATTAAATTCACAAACAATATTTGAGTAATGTAATGAGAAAATATATATATATATATATATATATATATATATATATATATATATATATATATATATATATATATATATATATATATATATATATATATATATATATATATATATATATATATATATATATATATATATATATATATATATATATGTACGTCTGAAGCAAATTATTATGATGCTAGGTTTTACAACAAGATACCTGTAGCATCCTCCACAAGCTTCTTGCTGCGAGTCTTATGTCTGAAGTATTACCCGTAAATTATCCTACCATGCCTGACCTAAAATAAAATGATATACTTCTATCCTATAATAGGTTTGATTGGTTTATCTTATCTGTGTGTCGACTTAGATTAGCATTCTAGATGGAAAGGTTGACCAATTAATTATAAAAACTATTAAATCCTCTTGAGGTAGAAGGAAGTTATCGTGGATAATCTATAAAGATTTTCCAACCCAGCTTATTTCACTTGAAGATTAACCACCCTAATGCTAACTTAATCTCATCCCCCCCCCACCCCCCAAACAGTGTTATGGTGGTAAATCTTTAGGTGAAATAAGCTGGGTTGGAAAATCTTCTGGTGATCCATTAACTTCAATAGAAATAATTCACTTAAGTTGCTGGTTGACCCGGTCGCTTGTTCTAAAGTATTACCGAATATTGATTACTTTACTCACAGCTCTGCAGCATCTCCGTGAGTGTGCCCATGGCAGCCTTTTCAGCATAGAGGAAGCCAGACTCCTGTACGATGCCTCCCACGGCCGAAGCTAAAGTCTTCCTCCGCGGGTTAACAGTTGCTGGTATTTCAACTACACCCGTGGGTAATGCTGCCATAGTCTGCATTTGTGATTTAAATTTGAACACAGCCCACAAAAAACGATAATGAATGGTTGTTGCTCAGAGTCTGACACAAATACGTCCACCTTGCCCTTCTCAACTTAAGTGATCCTGGATATAATTGTTTATTAAGTCGATAGTTTACTAACTGGTATATATTAATTTTAGATAATAATAGATGCAATTATATTCATATATTCGAATGGATTATTCGTGAATTATGAAATGTCTGATATACTGATAAAGTTAGTTGTAATGTCAACTTAATGGTTATCGTTTAAACGAATAAATTCTAATATTAATGAATATTATCCTACATTTAATTAAATAACAAGATTTTATTAATATCTGAATTATGTGGAGATCAATGAACTACTGTCATGAGAAAAAACCTTTGGCCTCTGGAGCGAAGGCAGAATATGATACGGCAGAACAAAAAGCTACAATGGAAGGAAGATAATCCCATAAGTTTCTGAACATTATCGTTAAGAGTTATTTACGATATATTGTGGGATAATTTACTAATTACATAGATATGATCCCTCACATAAACATATCTGCTACTAAACCGTTTGTTCTCCAGCCTCACTTAACGAACAGAGACGACCAACCACATACACACAACATTAATCTTACTTTCTTTTAATTATCTCACCATATATCAGCTAACTAGCTGTTCGGCCGATTAAACTATTCTTTGTTACTTTATTACACGTGAAACAAATTTGCTTAAAATGCAGCGACAATACAGCGTAACGTGTTTATCCCACTACTATATCATGGGTTCGAGTGTGGCCGAGACGCACTCGGTGCCGTCATAAAGTCTGAAGATTGTTCCAAGAGTTCATAACTCATACTCCAAAAACATTGCCCTAACAATTTTGTCAACTTGTGGCTTCTTCAAACTGAAGGTGTGACATCAAGTGAAGCTTTTAAGGATTGTATATCAGCATCGATAAATATATACCCAAGACCAAACCCAGTGCTTCTAGGAATACGAGGGGATCCCTACACATGAACCATGCGGCGGTCGACAAAATTAAGAAGAAAACCCAGAAATTCAAGACGTGGGTTGGGTCAAACGATGAGCAAGACAGGAGGATGTATGCAAGAGCCAGAAACCAAGCAAAGATAGAGTGTAGGAGGGCTGAAAAGGAGTTCCAGAGGCTGGTTGCACGCGAGGTCAAGTCAAACCCAAAGGCGTTTTACCGCTATGCAAAGTCGAAATTGAAAACGCGAGTAGGAGTATCAGACCTGAGGCTTGAAGATGGTAGTTACGCAGATTCTGACCAGGATAAAGCTGAGGCATTGAACAGCTTCTTTTCCTCAGTGTTCACAAGAGAGGATGCAACTAACCTTCCTGCGTTTGAGGACAGACGGTTCGACACAGCACTGACCCACATTGTGTTCACAGAAGAGGGTATTAGAAATAAACTGTCCAGGCTAAAGGTCCATAAGAGTCCCGGACCTGACATGGCGCATCCTAGAGTGCTAAGAGAGTTGTGCAACGAGCTTGCAGAGCCCCTGAAGATTCTGTTTTGTAAATGCCTGGATGAACAAATGGTCCCCAGTGAATGGAAAGTGGCTTATGTGAGTCCTATCTTCAAGAAGGGCGATAGTCACTCCACGAACAACTATAGACCGGTGAGCCTGACCAGCATAATATGTAAAGTACTGGAGAGTATTATCAGAGATGCCGTGATGGAACATCTACTACGAAACAACCTTGTTAAAGATTGCCAACACGGTTCTATGCCGGGACGCTCTTGCTTAACACAATTGCTCAAGGTATTGGATATTTGGACCCATATTCTAGAACGGGGTGGTAATATCGACAATATTTACCTAGATTTTGCCAAGGCTTTCGACAGTGTACCCCACGAAAGGCTGAAAATCAAACTGGAAGGGTACGGAATTCGGGGAAATGTCCTAGCGTGGATAGAAGATTTTCTACATGACCGCAAGCAGTGTGTGGTGATTAATGGCACGAAATCGTCATCTGTACCTGTAACAAGTGTGGTGATTAATACATCTGTACCAGTGGGGGCAGTGTATTGGGCCCGCTGTTGTTTGTTTGTTTCATAAATGACATGCCTGACGTTGTACACTCCTCCATACAAATGTTTGCCGATGATGGCAAGTTATTTCGGGAAATTAAGAACCAAGCGGACTGTGAAGAGCTGCAGAAGGACCTCTGTGGGCTCCAGGAATGGTCGAAGAAATGGCTGCTGAGATTCAATGTCACGAAGTGTAAGAGGATGCACCTGGGGCGTACCAACGGTAAGGAGGCGTATCATATGTCCCAACGGGATGAAGAAAATGCACTAGTTGAGACTGTGTGTGAGAAGGACCTAGGTGTGTATGTTGACAATGAGCTGAAGTTCTCGGGCCATTGTGAGAAGAAGGTAAATCAGGCAAATAAATTATTGGGTCTTATAAGAAGGTCGTTCAGATATCTAGACGGTCCGTCCCTCGTGACGATCTTCAGGAGTGAAGTGCTTCCCCATCTGGAGTACTGTCACCCCATCTGGTCCCCGAGATATGCTAGGGACTGTCAGTTGGTTGAAAATGTTCAAAGGAGGGCCACCAGACTGGTGCCTGCACTTCGGCACCTCAGCTACCCTGAGAGATTGGAGCGCCTGAACTTGCCTCGCTTATACTACAGACGGGCAAGGGGGGACCTAGTTGAGGTGTATAAGCATCTCAGGGGGCACTACTCAGTTGAGTGTCCTTACTTGGAGCTGGCGGACGCTCGCCCCACAAGGGGTCACAGCTCAAGATTGAAGAAGCCGCAAGTCCAGAAAACCGTGAGGGCAAACTTCTTCGGAGTGAGGGTTGTAAACTCTTGGAACACTCTACCAGAAAGTGTTGTGACGGCACCGAGTGTGAGCTCTTTCAAGACCAGACTTGACCAACACTGGAGCGGGTTCAGGTACATTCAGGAGCCGGTGCATGCCCAGTACTTGCCAACAGTGCGTGACAGAGACGTGACCGATCGCCCAAGCGGCTAACGAGCCGACCAGTGGCGAAGAGGATAAAAGAAAAAAAAAATCGATATATTTTATATCGTGAATCAATGTGAAATTGCATAAGGATTTTACTGATATAATTTTTATTTATACTGTATATAGTATAGTGGGTGTTGAGAGTGAGCGCTGCAAGTGTTCACTGCTAGTGCTGCTGTAAACAAACTGCTGAGGGAAGATGTCCTGGGCTCCCTGGTCGAATATTCTTAAATCGTGAACAATCTACTACTTTACTAAACCTGTCATCTGTATGGGATAATTAACCCTTATGTTAGTGTAAGTGTGTGCAGTAGTCAAGATATATTGGTGATAATACCTTAGTATTATCTACGTTGGAATACCTGTATTTTATACATCACGGGTATACCAGCCATACAGTATTTTATTATTGCTTTAATTTATTATTTACCTGCCTTAGTTTTGGTAACCATGGAGCAGACGGCGAACACCAGAACACATTGTTCGATTTCGTTTACTTTTTGGGTTTTATTTTGCTTTTAATTGCCCCACAATTCTTTCAAGACCAGAGTTGATAAGCACTGTGGCCAGAAAACTGTGAGGGTAAACTTTTTCGCAGTGACGGCACCGAGTGTGAGCTCTTTCAAGACCAGACTTATAATATCCGAGCAGGTTAGGACTCGTAGCAAAGGATTTAAGTTGGATAAGTTTAGGTTTAGGAGGGAGATAGGAAGGAACTGGTTCACAAATAGGGTGGTGGACGAATGGATCAAGCTTAGCAACTTTGTAGTAAGTGCTGGAACGCTGGAAAGTTTTAAAAGGAGGCTAGATAGATTCATGGATGATAGAGAGTGGTAGTAACTCTCGACAGGAGCTGCCATGCACAGGCCAACCGGCCTATTGTAGACTCCTTATGGTCTTATGTAACACTGGAGCAGGTTCAGGTACATTCAGGAGCCGGTGCATGCCCAGTACTTGCCAACAGTGTGTAATAGAGACGTGACTGATCCCCCAAGTGGCTAACAAGCCGGTGAAGAGGATAAAAGTAAAATTTAATTTACCTATTAGGTTAGGTTAGCTTGAGTGGGGCAATTACAAGCAAATTTACCACTTTTTTCCAGACCTAACCAACCAAAGAAACCTACTGAACCTTACCCAACTTCCTAGCCTGGGAGAGGACCCCCCCCCCCTCCATATTAAACAGAAAGTACTTACTTACTTTTAAGAGAATAAGGTTAATGAAATGAAATAATGGACTAAACTGATTTTTAGAATGTGATAAAAGAGCTCCAGAATGTTGAGGACTCCTCTGGTGGCTGAGACTCCCGATTTGTGTAGTAGCCATTTGTTTTTTGGTTATATTTTGTAATACATTTATATTATGTTGGTTTTTCAGTTAAGACATGTCTCTGTACGATGACATCGATACTGACAAAGCCTCGGGTGCTTCAGGATGGGCATCTGGCATCAAGCTCATGCATAATCAGCTGGCATTTAAAAAAGCGACCATCACAACAGTACGTATGAGATACCTTGAGTAACATCTTATGTCTGAAATTATAACATATAAGTTTTCGAGATAATACGTGTGACCGCAGAATATTTCACCTGATGATTAAACACCTTACTGCTAACCTAATCTAATCAAACCCCTCCAGGTAACATTAGGACATTTAGTCACATGAAATAAGCTGAGGTGTCTAATCTTCAGGTGATTCAATGGTTATGGTAGATATTTTAGAATAGAATAAAATAGTATTGTATCAGGCAACATTACAACTCACAATTATTCAGAAAATGCATAAAACTGGTCGATATTCCCAGGTATATATAAATAATACTTAAAACGTGAATTTCTCTCGAGCGATTTATCATTCTTCATGCAGCCAAAGCGGGACCAGACGCGTCGAGTATCTGGCACCAAACTACCACCAGTGATTGACCTGAAATCTCGACGGGAAGACGATGAAAACACTCCGCCTCTTCTCTTTCCGGGCCAGAAGGTTAGTCAGTCACCTGTGAGTCTGTTATATCCTGAAGCTTATTAGTCAGTCACCTGTGAGGCTGTTATATCCTGAAGCTTATTATTAAATTTTTAAGCTTATTAGTCAGTCATCTGTGTCTGTTATATCTTGAGTTTATTATTATATTTTTAAGCTTATTAGTCAGTCATCTGTGAGTCTGTTATATCCTGAAGCTTATTATTATATTTTTAAGCTTATTAGTCAGTCATCTGTAAGTCTGTTATATTCTGAAGCTTATTATTATATTTTTAAGCTTATTAGTCAGTCATCTGTAAGTCTGTTATATTCTGAAGCTTATTACTATAGTTTTAAGCTTATTAGTCAGTCATCTGTGAGTGTTATATTCTGAAAGTTATTAGTCAGTTATCTATGAGTCTGTTATTATATTCTTAGGCTTAATTTTTAGTCATTTGTCGTGAGTCTGTCATATTCACTGTTAGGTTTGTCCAACAACAGTACAGTATTATTGAGGAAGAGAACAAGACATTAGACAAAAACCCCAGTTTACTATTTAATTTTTTATTGAGGTTTTTGATGATTTGTGTCTGAATTGTAAAAATAAAAACGTATGGATGGTTGAATAGTTTAGTAAATACAGGCAGTCCCTGACTTACGACGGGGTTAGGGACCCAAATCCAGGTTGTAAGTCGAATTGGTCGTAAGTCGAAAATGCGAAAATAATACATAGAAAATCTAAAATGGGTGTCTCGTTTTCTTCTCAGCACCACAAAACTCTCACTTTTAAGCTTGCCAGCCATTTCAAAGGGAATTACAAACGAAAATTTTGTCAGTACACAGCGCAATCACTAACGTCGGGACTCGAAAATACGTAATTTGAAAAAATTTCGTACGACTGGGGCGGTTGTATGTCCTGGTGGTCGTAAGTCGAGTAGGTCGTAAGTCGAGGAGTGGCTGTAATAACTATTTCTTCTTTCTTGTAGCAAGAGTTTGGGAGAGCCACATCGGTGAATCCCTCATACGTCGGTTCCAGCGATCCAGAGTGGAAGTTTATCAATGAGTACGACCCGTTATGGCCCAATGACTACGAGAAGGTTGTCAAAGGTAGTGCCGAGTGAATCTGTTATTATGTCTGTCTTTCCATACTGTCTAGGGTCCCATCTGTGCACAAAACACTTGGAGAAATTTGTTTTGTCTTGATATTAATGGTGAGGTAAATAGTAATATAGAGCTTTGTTGAGGATACACATGATTTAGAAGTGTTAGTGTAATTTATCACAGTTAATGAATTATATGGATTATATGAAGATTAGACACCCCAGCTTATTTTGCTGTAAGACTAACTACCCAAGTGCAAATCTAACATAACCTAATCTAACTGAATCTAATCTAACAATCTTAGATAACCTATTCTATCCTAATTTCATCTAATCTAACCTAACAGTCTAATTCAACCTAACCTCTCCCCCCTTCCCATATATCCAGGTAGCATTAGGGTGTTAAATCATCAGGTGGAATAAGCTGGAAACCTAACCTTCATGTGATCCCCATAATGATAAAATGGGACCTAAATTCACCACCACAGCTTTTAATTTTTGTTCTTCAGAGTCAGAATGAGTAGTTAACAGCATATTCCGAGGTACTCTTTGACAGTAGAGGAAAAACAAAAGTGAGTGGATTTATTTACATATTAATTAGGAGGTCATGGTGTATATTTTGGTGATTCAAGTCCTCAGAGATATTTGGAGTGTGTGTGTTCGCATGTACTGTATTGCATTTTGACTTATGTGTACAATACGATAATATCAATTGCTTTCAGAAATGAGAGAAAAGAGAGATCGAGAGGAAGAGGAGACAAGAATTAAGGAGAGAGAGGAAAGAGAAAGGAAAAGAAGAGAAAGGTAAGGCCATATGTTTATTTATTTATTATTATTTATTTTGTTCAACCTTTGATCGAGATGCTTAATAAAACCTCATGTTAGCCAGAATAAAGTAGCTAAATATGACACTACTCATTAAAGAGTTATTAGTCTTGTTAAAAATATATCTTAGAACTCTTAAAACTGTGTGCGGGTTTACATGAACGATAACTTGGGAGTTATCTGGTCAAGCAAATACTACATTGTGTATTTTGCGTGATTTAGTCTCTCTTCTCTTCTTTTTATCTTTGTAAGATCTCATCTGTAAGAGAGTTTTTTAGTATTAAAACTAGATTTGTTATAAGTATTAAGAGATGAAGATGCCCAACCTATTTTAACCTTAACTCTATCTAGACTGTACATTCATTATCATTATCCCAGAAGACTTGAGATTTTTATAATTCAAGTCCATGCTGGCTACACCTTGTTCCCAGGATTGCTATTGAGTAACTGATGACTTGAAAACACTGGGGAATTTATTTGAGATGATAATGTCTGGCAAATTTCCATGGCTCATACACTATTCGTCCATTTAAAACTTTGGCACGAATTACAAGATGTTTATGCTGCTTCACGAACCCAAGATTCAGACTCATGAATCCAAAGCATTTACAAAATAATACATCAATGTCTACTGTACCGGGTTCATGAGGCTGAATCTCTGGGTTCATACAGCAGCAGAAGAAGCCCTCGACAGGACTTTTATTTGCGACTGTACATCATAATGTAAAAGGCCCTGGCATGAGAAGTTTATTATAGTCTACATAGGGTTAAATGGTGGTCATTAATAGTGGTAATTTAATATCCCTTGCTTTCCATTTATGAGCATATGATGAGGAAATGGGGAAACCTTATCTGTTAGTTTACTGTTTGGTTTGGTTATGTTAGATTAGGTTTTCTTACTGTAGAGATGTACAATGATAATTACAATTCATTAAGTAAATTCTAACACGCCCAGAGTGAAAATATGACGGAAGACTTTAAAATGATCACAGCATTTTAAACTTATCCTCTCAACAGGAATATTAATAATTGTATTCAGAATTTATCAATACTGTAACCAAATTAAGACAACCTAACATTTTTAAGTACACTTTGTCCTATACAGGTGCTCCCCGATTTACGATGGGGTTAGGGACCCAAATCCAGGTCGTAAGTCCGAATGGTCGTAAGTCCGACATAGATAAAAAAAAAATCAATTTTTTTTTTTAAATTACAATGAAATACAGTACAGTAAAAGTAATAAATAATGAGGAATGGATTCAGTGTGACTGAGCACTTACCTTTAATGTAATCAGCTGAATGCACATGGGGCCCCCATAATTTTCTAATTATACATGGAGACTACACTAAATGGAAACGTTTCGGTATAGAAAATGCGTACGTCATTTGAAAAAATAAATGGTCACAACTGCGGCGGTTGTAAGTCCCAACGGTCGTAAGTCCAAGCAGTCGTAAGTCGGGGACTACCTGCATGTATATACAGCACTATGCATAATCACTCTCAGGCAGTGAATGACCAAAACTCCATATTTTGGGGGGAATGTACTACAGTAATGATTTATTGTATAGAGAGAATTTACCAAAAGTGATTATTAACTCATTTTAAAGTGTTGGGATTTTATAATTTTTTGTTGTTGGGGTTTTATAATTTTTTGTTGTTGGGGTTTTATAATTTTTTGTTGTTGGGGTTTAATAATTTTTGTTGTTGGGGTTTTATAATTTTTTGCTGTTGGGGTTTTGTAATTTTTTGTTGTTGGGGTTTTATAATTTTGTCCTTACTGTCTTGATATCAGAGGAGGATCAGAAGAGGCGACAGGTTTTGCCCGGCTTAGAGAACCAGAGGAGGAAGAAGAGGAAGAGGAGCGACCGAGAAGAGGTAAAAAATTAAGTACTGTACTAAGCATTAAACTGAGAAACAAAAGGGATCATTAAGCTGGGACACAAAAGAGGTTATTAAGCTGGGAAACAAAAGGGATCATTAAGCTGGGAAACAAAAGAAAGACATTAGGGAAACAAAAGAAGACATTTAGATGGGAAACAACAAAAAAGGGGCATTAACCTGGGAAAAAAGGACATTAGGGAAACAAAAGAAGACATTTAGATGGGAAACAAAAAAGGGACATTAAGCTGGGAAACAAAAGAGTAGTGTTGGTAATATTTACACCCATTGAGACAGCTTAACATTATATATGTCTGGTGATATAAAGTATAGCATTGTTTTTAACGTGAAATTTTATGTGGTTGAGAATTTGGGTAAAGAACAAGATCAATGTGAGGAAGAATTTTAACACCATTCAGAAATTTAGTTGGTAGGTGTAACTAGATGTTGTTGAGATAAATAAATAGTTGGTTGAGTTTGACCTGTGTATCCCCCCCCCAGGTTGATTAAATATACCTCATTTCAGTGTTTTTTGTGTAGTCTAAAAATTTTATATGTACTGTACTTATATTCCAAGGTATGTGTACTATAAAACAATTACTACTTGTACACTCTTGATAATCTATCTGTCTCCTGTTTTTTATCTTTACTTTAGAGGTATTATTTGGTTTATATCTGGTGTGAGCTGGTGTGTATCTGTAGTGTATCCATACCTTCTCTGACTTGTCATTAAAACCCTGTTGGTTCACAAATATCCAACAATAATGTGGAGATAAACTTGCCTTATTTCACCCAGTCTGGATATGTGATGTTGGGGCCACATGGTAGACATATCACATTAACTCATTAGCTAAGCATTTGAGTGACCTGTTTCCTGCATTTAACTACAATTATTTCAGCTACGATTGTGTATATTTTTTATTTAACAGGTGCAGGTGCTGCCATTGCACCCCCTCCATCACTGGGAGCAGATGATGGAGCTCTTGCTGGGGTTCCCTCAAATAAAGGACCAAACTTTAGTGGTATTGGGAGTACAATTGCTGCAAAAATTATGGCAAAATACGGTTTTAAGGTAAGTTATGTTGTAATGCATGATGTACAGAAGCTAAAACAACTATCTGTGCAGGTGGGGGTCGATATGCTCCGAAATTTAGCATGTGACTAGTGACAGCCCTCATATACCAAAATTTATCTCCCATGGTCTCATATTGTTTCCCACAAAGTATACTCAGATAGTTGTTTTAGCTGCTGTACATCTGGAATGAATACCAATACATGTAGTTACAATATATTTAAAGTGCTTTATTAGATAAACTTCATCAATGGGAATAAATAATAATATGAATTGCTGTGTAACCTACAGATTGTTGAACACTGTGAAGTGGAGAAAATTATACTTAAACAACACCATCTTATGTACAGTGGTGAGTGAGAATTGAATGCTAACTGTCTTCTCCGTTGTCCATCTTTTAGGAGGGTCAAGGACTTGGTAAGAGTGAGCAGGGTATTGTCCGAGCCCTGGAGGTAGAAAAAACGAGCAAGCGGGGCGGTCGGATTGTTTTGGAACGTGAAGATTCCCCCGGACCACCCACCATGCCTCCTCCAGTTGCCCTGCCACCCCCACGTACACCACAGTCCGACAAGCCCGAGGCAAAGATGGCGCATATATTACGTAATCCATCCAAGGTGGCGCTTCTCAGGGTAAGTTAATATATCAACCACACCGAGGATAATTTAACTAGCCACACATCTCGTCTAAATTAAATATCCCCCCCATGTCTATTTAATGAACATGTTTGAGGCTGTGGGATCAATGGAAAATTTAATATATCTGCTCAGTATTTTCACAGTATCTATATTTTCTCCCTCATGGTATCAAAGCTAGTTCCTGTGTGACCCCTCAGGACAATATCCCATACATTCCTCAAACTCTTCCTTTACTCTTGTTCACAATTTTATCATCATTGGGTGAATTGTAATGTCTGTAAAAGAAAAGAATTTGTCTCTCTAAATCTGTTAAATTTCCCGTACTTTTCACATACCATCTTGTTGTTTTATTGTTTCTTTGCAGCCATATTAGTGGATGGTAAATTGAGGATGTTTGACTGAATGTAAAGGGAATTAACATTGTTTGTGTTAGTATTGGTTGCTTGGTGAGGCTGTGTTGTGTCTCTACAGGTATCAGTATTAAGCAGTGTGGTAATATTTTGTTTTTTGTATGTTAGTCACTGTCATTTGTATTATGTTCCAATAGATTTTCATTAAGCTCTGCCTCTCTGCTTGTATATCTCATGTCTGTCTTCCTATCAAAATGCAATAGCCAAACCTAACCAAATAAGACCTATATAGTCTTCACAGACCTAACTTAACCTACTTAACCATGAATGAGCTAAAATAATGTAACCCCTATCACTTAACATAATGCACCTAACCTATCCCAACTAAGGTGGCACAAGTGGACACAGAAAAGCCATTAATCGGGATCTCTTACATCTCCAGAATATGGTCGGGCCGGGTGAGGTGGACGATGAGTTAGAGCCGGAGGTCCGCGAGGAATGCAATGGCAAATACGGGGCTGTCGTTCAAGTGGTCATCTTCGAGATCCCACGAGCCGTACCTGAGGAAGCCGTGCGCATTTTTGTCGAGTTCCAGAGAGTTGAATCAGCCATTAAGGGTGAGCAAAGGATTATTATTTCTGTATGATTATTTTGTCATTTATGATGGTAGTGAAAAGAAAAGCAAAATATAGCACTGTATAGGAGGTGTTTCTGTTTGATATTTTTGGCTATTCCTGTTATTTCTCAGGCTTTTCTTTCATCAGTCTCCTCTATTATTTAACCTTCTTCATCGCCTTTACATTTCCATAATTTAGCCAAGTGTTTATACTGTACTGTATATGTAAGCTTTTTAAGGCTGTTATAATTGTTTACCTTCATATTTCAGCTGTTATTGATTTGAATGGGCGATTCTTTGGTGGGCGTCAAGTTAAGGCTGGCTTCTATGACCACGAAGACTTCAAGGCGTACAAACTCAATGAACGTTGTGACTAACCGACACACATCAGTCCAAGCACAACATAACATTTTTCCACATGGGTTGCCTCTCTGTTGTCGTTGTTGCTTTGGATTTGCTGGTTGTCAACACCTGGGTCGTTACGTCCTTAGCAAATTTGAATTTTGGGCAGTGAGGTCATTTCTACTTCAGTGTTTGAAAGTCAAGCTACAAAGAGAAAAAATTTTGTAATACTGACAATTAGATACCATTGTCTAAGTACTTTTTATGTCTGAAGTATATTTTTTCCTTTCTGAAATGTCTTGTCAGACATATAAATAAACAGAAAGTGTTATATCATATTGTTTCCTTTATCCGGTTTATGAAGGTGGATATAGTGAAGTGACAGTAATTGTAGTGTCTGTAAAAAAAGTATTATACCATATCAGGACTTCACAAACTGCACTGACTATTTCAAGAGTTGCACAGAATTCTGAAAACACATACAACAGTTTTATAAGCAGGACACTTGTTGGCACTGGACACACATAAGGTCTTGTGTCAATGTTACTGGGGTTAGGTTTGGACAGTGGATGTTCTAGCTAATCAAAGATGTAAGAACCTAGCTAGCTACCTAACCCCTGCTTATTTCACCTCATAATTAAACACCCGAATGTGAAATGAGGGGTTAGGTTAGCTTAGCATTAGGGTGTTTATTCATCAGGTTGTACCAACATTAAGGAGGCATATGACATGTCCTAGCGGGATGAAAAAACGGCATAAACAGAGACTGAATGTGAAAAGGACCTGTGTGTGTATGTTGACAACGAAATGAAGTAATCGGGCCATTGTGAGAAGAAGGTGAATCAAGCAACTAAGCTAAGGTCATTCAGATATCTAGATGGTCCGTCCCTCATAAAGCTCTTCAAGAGTGAGGTGCTTTCCCGTCTGGTCCCCGAGATATGCTGAGACTCAGTTGATTAGGTGCAAAGGATGAGCACCAGATTGGTGCCTACACTACGGCACCTCGGTTACCCAGAAGGATTAGAACACCTGCAGTTGCCTAGCTTATACTATAGACAGGCAAGGAGTGACTTAATAGAAGTTTATAAACCTTTCAGGATGTTCTTACCTGGAGCTGGCGGATGCCCGCTCCACTAGGGGTCGCATATCTAGATGGTCCATCTACAAGTACATATCTGAACGACTTTCTTATAAGACCTACTAGTTTAATTGCTTGATTCACCTTCCTCACGCAATGACCCGAGAACTTCAGTTCATTGTCAACATACACACCCAGGTCCTTTTCGTATTCGGTCTTTATTCATGCAGTTTCTTCGTCCCGTTGAGGCATATGATATGCTTCCTTGCCATTGGTACAACCCAGGTGCATCCTCTTACACCTTGTGACACTGAATCTTGGCAGCCATTCCTGAAGCTTAGAGAGATCTTTCTGCAGCTCTTCACAGTTTGTTTGGTTCTTAATTTCCATAAATAACTAGGCATCATCCACAAACATTTGTATGGAGGAGTATATAGCTTCTGGCATGTCATTTATGAAACAAACAAAAAACAACGGGCCCAATATTCTGCTCTGTTTTACCTCACTTGTCACGGGAACATATGACGATTTCGTACCATTAATCACCACTCACTGTTTGCGATCATGCAGAAAGTCTCAGATCCACGCTAGGACACTTCCTTGAATCCCGTACCCTTCCAGTTTAATTCTCAGCCTTTCATGGGGAACACTGTCAAAAGCCTTAGCAAAATCTAGGTATACAGGTACTGTATACAGTATTGTCGATATTGCTGTTCTGTTCCAGAATTTGGGTCCACACATCCACTACCTTGAGTAAGTGTGTTAAGCAGAAGCATCCCAGCCAGTGTTGCAGTGCCAATTATTAAGGTGCCGGAGCTGTCAAAATAATTTCCGTTTCCTAAACCGTTTCTAGTGTGTGTGTGTAATAATAATAATAATAATAATAATAATAATAATAATAATAATAATAAACGGTTTATTAATAGAGTTGCAGCCGGTGGCTGAAAATATACAGACTTACAGTTGATTTAGACATAATGATATAATATGCATTGAATACATTTACAGGGCTGTACAGTACATAAATCAGGAGTTGTTTATTATTTTAACAATAGATAGGATGGTGCTGTTCTTATATCTATCGGTGCGGGCTCTTATGGGCTGAATTCTGTTGTAGTGACGGACTGCGCGAGTTGGGTGGGGGGCTGCAGGTGGCAGGAGATGGCGATGGCGAGGGTGGTGCAGTAGTCCACGGCCAAACCTTTCCAGTGCTTGTTGGTGGAGGTCACTGAGGGATGGCATTTCCAGGGTGGAGAGAGCGTTGGTGTAGCCGGAGTATTCTGCGCCGAGCATGATTCTGCAGGCCCTTTTCTGTACCTTCTCTAGGTGACGTTGTTGGGTGGAGTTGAGAGAAGACGACCAGGCTGGTGACGCATACGTTAGTTTGGGGAGAATAAAGGCATTGTAGATGGTCCTCAGCTCTGGCGTGGGTGTCCCAAGTGACCTAAGTCTTCGTAGCATGTAGAGACGGTACGAGGCTGCCTTGACTGTGTTATTTACATGGGCCTTCCAGTCAAGTTTGTTGTCTATAGTTACACCCAGGAGTTTGGCAGACTGCACCAGCTGGAGAGGATGGGCACCCACTGTGACTGCTGGGGCTTGCACTGGAGTGGTGGCTGTATTGATGTGCATGACTACGGTTTTGGTGTGGTTGATGGTGACCTTGTTCTCCGTAGTCCATGCCTGTAGCCTGTCCAGGGTGCCTTGGAGCGATGAGTAGTCTGGTGCGGTGTTGTCCACTGAAACCCCCACAGTGCAGTCATCCACGTACTTCCACCTGTGAGGAGTGTCCGATAGAGCGTCGTTGATCAGGATGAGGAAGCACAGTGGTCCCATCTTGGTCCCCTGGGGAACACCGCAGGTGAGGTGTTGGAATGTAGAGACCAAGCCCTGATACCTCACTGCTTGGCGACGTCCACTCAAGAAATCAGTGAGCCATGAGACCAGGTTGGTGGGCAGCCCTAGTGCAATAGCCTTGTTGATAACAGTGCAGTGATCAACAAGGTCAAAGGCCTTCCTGAAGTCCACAAGGGCAACGGCCAGTGATGTCTTACGTTTCTGCAAGTTTTTGTGTAGAAAATCCAGAAAGCTCACCAAGCAGTGTGATGTAGAGGAGGTCCTCATATTGCCAAATTGCTGTGAATCAATTGACTGATAGATACTGGCAAATGCCCACTCAAAAACAAAGTCCTCGCAAAGTAGACTGGGTATGGGGGTAATGGCAACTGGCCTGAGGTCGTTAGGGGACTGTGGGGTGGTGACCTTGGGGATGGGGGTGACAAATGCGGTTTTCCATTCATTAGGGCATTTGCTTTGTCTGAGGGATGCATTAATAATAGAACAGAGCGGGGTGGTAAGCTCGACTGCAAACTCCTTGTATATTTTAATTGGAAGGTCAATTGGGGTCGTGGAGCGTTTGGATTTAAATTTCAGGAGTTTGTTGGCGATTTCATATGGTTGGACACTGGGAGGGGGGGAGGGGGAAGGTAAGTGTGTGTGTGTGTGCGCACGCGTGTGTGTGCGTGCATGTGTGTGCGCGTGTGTGTGTGTGCACGTGTGTGTGTGTGTTCTAGTAGTAGTCTAATATGCTTATCCTTTCCATATTGGTCACATATCTATAGCTCTTATGAGAGGAAATACATACCCACTTTTGAAAAAGTACTGTTTTTAAGTGTTTAGAAGTGCACCTGTTATCAAAGTCTTTCTACAATATTGATAAGTCATAAAATGTAAGCTGATCTGAAGGAGAGATTAATTATATGAGGATATATTCGGTTTTGTATTTGTATTATTAATGCAAAATAAAGTTGATTGCTTGATTGATATAGATTTATAGTATCATGTAGAGCTTACTATAACTTCATGTGTGAAGTGTGGTGTGGCGGAGTGGATGAAATCAGGCAAATAAATTATTGGGTCTTATAAGAAGGTCGTTCAGATATCTAGACGGTCCGTCCCTCATAACGATCTCCAAGAGTGAAGTGCTTCCCATCTGGAGTACTGTCACCCCATCTGGTCTCCGAGATATGCTAGGGACTGTCAGTTGGTTGAAAATGTTCAAAGGAGGGCCACCAGACTGGTGCCTGCACTTCGGCACCTCAGCTACCCTGAGAGATTGTAGCGCCTGAACTTGCCTAGCTTATACTACAGACAGGCAAGGGGAGACCTTGTGGCGTTTCGTGATGTTGAATCGCACATAGGATGGAGGTGAGAAGGGAAACTCAGCTATGGTGGTTTTCTTATGTAAATATATTATATACAAAACAGTCTGGTGCTGGGAAGTTGCTGCGTGGTAGAGGAGCTGCTGTGGTAGAGGAGTTGCTATGGTGGAGGAGTTGCTGTGATAGGAGCTTCTTTGGAGGAGGTGTTGTGTGTTGCAGACCTCTAGGTTGAATGTCTACTTCACGGCGAGACTGGGAGCTTATATACACGTCCAGTTGATGTAGAACGGAAGTAAGCGTCGCCGGTGTTGACCCCCTAGTCTAGGCGTCTAAACTAGTCAGAGAAACTTGGCGCAACTCTAGGCGGCTAGGCTTGTCAGAGGAACTTCGTCGTGGCAGTTGTAGGGGAGAGTATCCACTACAACCTAATTGAGGTGTATAAGCATCTCAAGGGGCAATACTCAGTTGAGTGTCCTTACTTGGAGCCGGCGGGCGCTCGCCCCACAAGGGGTCACAGCTCAAGATTGAAGAAGCTGCAAGTCCAGAAAACTGTGAGGGCAAACTTTTTCGGAGTGAGGGTTGTAAACTCTTGGAACAATCTACCAGAAAGTGTTGTGACGGCACCGAGTGTGAGCTCTTTCAAGACCAGACTTGACCAACACTGGAGCAGGTTCAGGTACATTCAGGAGCCGGTGCATGCCCAATACTTGCCAACGGTGCGTGACAGAGACGTAACCGTGTAGGGTTATGAGATATTGGTTCGCACTCAGGATGGGATGGAGAAATGAAACTCACAATGTGCTCACTGAATACATATTGTATTGGATGTACAATGCAGCTTGTTGCTGGGTATGTAGCATGGTAATAAGCGTTGAGTAGAGAGAGCTGGGTGGTGAGGGTGCCCAGAGGAGGGACACGTGGCTTGAGGGACGCCAAGGTCGCTGGGGGGAGCGGCAGCCGCCAGGCTGGCGCGGAGGAGGAGGTGGTGTTGCTTGCTGGTGGCACTGTGTAGATAGAGAGGGTGGTCACAGCGGTGTCAGGCCTTATAAGGCGGGGATAGGTGTGGGTAGATAGTTGACCCCCGCTCCGTGGGCGGCGCTGGAGGCGTAGGCTGGGGAATTTGAGAAGGTTCGGTGCTTGTAGGGGAGGAATCCACTGCAATACTCCCCTTCCCCTCCGGGCCAGAAAGTGTTGTGACGGCACCGAGTGTGAGCTCTTTCAAGACAAGACTTGACCAACACTGGAGCGGGTTCAGGTACATTCAGGAGCCGGTGCATGCCCAATACTTGCCAACAGTGCGTAACAGAGACGTGACCGATCGCCCAAGCGGCTAACGAGCACTAGCGTAGCTAGGGGGGGGGCGGGGGGGGCGGTCCGCCCCGGGCGGCACTTTTGGGGGGCGGCACTTTTGGGTCTGCTCATCACCCATATCTGCAGCTACAGGAGACGTTAATCCATCCCTTTGTATCGGCGGCAAGTTAATCCTCTTTACTGCTTTTGTTGCAAACTGTTTTCAGACAGAAGTAACTCAAAATTTACTTCTGAGGATGGATTCAACATATGGTGGAAACTGGATCCTTGAATGTCCGAGCACGAATCCAGTGCAGCTCACGTTCGGAATTTCACACAATGGAAGGAGTTGGAAATTAGGATTGCTCGTGGAGCAACAATTGATAAAAAAGAACAAGTTGTTGTTGAAAGCCAAGTGAAAAAGTGGAAGGAAATCCTTTCAAGATTGCTTGATATTATTAGATTCCTAGCTAAACAGAATTTGGCTTTACGAGGCCACCGAGAAGGAATGAATTATGAGAGAAACGAGACTGAAGCAACGGAAAATAGAGGAAATTTTATAGAGCTAGTTGATTTGTTGGCGAAATATGATCCAGTGCTACGTGAACATCATCTAAGAATCCAGCTGGGAAACATGTTTGCTACTTCCTATCTGTCTCCTACTATTCAGAACGAGTTTATAGAAATTTTGGGAGAAAACGTAAGAAGCAAAGTCATCAAGCAAGTAAAAGAAGCAAAGCACTTTCCCATGATATTCGACAGCACTCCTGATATTTCACATAAGGATCAAACGAGCCAAGTTTTACGCTATGTTATGATCGATGGAGATAAAGTGAAGGTTGTGGAATCATTTGTCGATTTCATTGAAACAGAAGGTAAAACCGCCGAGAATATTTCAATGATGATTTTGGAAAAATTAGAGAAAGACGGAATTGATATTCAAAATTGTAGAGGGCAAGCATATGATAATGCTGCGGTGATGGCTGGTGTTCATACTGGTGTTCAGAAACGTATCAAGGAAATTAATAAAAAAGCAGAATTTGTCGCTTGTACAAATCACTCGCTGAATTTGGCGGGTGTTCATGCAGCTTCTGTTGCTGTGAATTCTGTTACCTTTTTTGGATGTGTGGAACGTTTGTTTGTATTTTTTCTTCATCAACCCATCGCTGGGATGTTCTAACTTCAGTCACTGGTCAAAGTGTCAAGCGCATAATAGAAACTCGGTGGAGTGCGAGGGGAGAAGCTGTAAGTGTTGTAAAGAAACATTTCTCAAAAATCTTAAGTGCCCTAGAAAAGTTAACTGGCGAAGAAGAAAATACAGCTACCAGGGCAGATGCTGGTGTTCTACTTGGTGCGTTGCAATGATTTTCCTTTTTGTGCTTTCTTGGCCTGTGGGGACCCGTCCTTCTAGAAATTAACGACTCGCAGACTTACCTCCAAACCAAGGGCTTGAACATACAACAATGTGATATAAAACTCAGGGCATTAGAAACATTTCTAGTTGAAAATAGGGACAAGCTAGTGAGTAATGGAGTTAACTATGCCAAAGAAATTTGCAATGATCTGGGGATAGTCATGGAGCGTCAGCGTCGACCCAAAAAGAAGAAACAAATGTTTGGTGAAGGATCACGAGATGCTGAATTGCCATACGACATTGAATTGAGGAGAGAAATGTTTTCTTCGCTGGACAGAGTGATCCAAGAAATAACTTTGAGATTTCAACAGCTTCATGAACTTGCTGAGAAATATGCCTTCCTTACCCCATTGAATCTTTTGGATGATAAATATGAGTGTCAAATAGATCACGATCACGACGACATTGATAAAGAGGAGTTCCTCGTTGAGAGAAAAAGACTTCAGCATTTTGTTGCTGTTGCTGCTATAACTATTAAAGACAGAATACAGACGTGGAAAGAAGGCCCCCTTGAACTTTTGCAGTTTATTCAAAAGTATAACCTTGGGAACTCGGTTCCAAATATAGTAATAATGCTGAGGATTTTCCTCACAATTGCTGTTAGTGTTGCTACCTGTGAGAGGAGTTTTTCGAAACTAAAACTGATCAAGAATTACTTAAGATCTACTATGAGCACCTTGCGGTTGAGAAATCTTGCCATACTGTCTATAGAGCGACAATTGACAGATGAAATAGTTTTTGACAATGTCATTGAAGAATTTGCCAACAAAAAACAAGAAAAGTTACTTTGTAGAAAGTTGTAGTTTTCATTTCAGAAATAAAGATGGTCCTAATTTTTTACACTTTTTTACTTTTTTCCCTATCTTATATGTCGCTTTTGCTTTTTCTTTAACTGTTACTTATAAAGTTTAAGTATGTTTGGGGTGTATTTAAAGCATACTATATTTGAGTATGTGAAAGTACAGTAATATTATAATGGTACACAAACTATTTAATATATATACTGTATATATATATAAGAGTGAGTCACTGTGCAATATGTATTTTTTGTGGGGGCACGGATGGGGGGGGGGGCGGCAAACTCAAGGGCCGCCCAGGGCGGCACACACTCTAGCTACGCCACTGCTAACGAGCCGATCAGTGGTGAAGAGGATAAAAGTAAGTAAAAGTAACAAGGTGTACTAAGCTCACACCGAGGTATAAAATATATTCTCTTTGAAGCATAGTTTGTGGATCACTTCCAACACTTCACATAGGTCTGATACATTTATCCTTTTTCCAGGTCATTGCTCTCATATTTTCATCTGATATCTGTGGTACTAATCGTTCACAGACGTAAATATTATGACCTTCAGACACTGTCTACACACGGTTACACTTATCCCTTATCGTACACTAGTCCGTATCAATTGGACCTTCCCAGTCATGCTATAGATACCTTGAGTTCTCCTTAATGCTATCAATACCTACTCTTAATATTATATGGCCGTACATTGGTACAATTCTTCTAAAACAACATACAGTAGGTGAGTTATCCCTTATTAAAGTTTCTATTTTCTACAATTTTCTGTGGCTACAAGCGCGGTGGATTTGAATGTTATGTACTTTTACTTATATCATTTTCACCACTGATCGGCTCGTTAGCCGCTTGGGAGATCGGTCACGTCTCTGTCACGCACTGTTGGCAAGTACTGGGCATGCACCGGCTCCTGAATGTACCTGAACCCACTCCAGTGTTTGTCAAGTCTGGTCTTGAAAGAGCTCACACTCGGTGCCGTCACAACACTTTCTGGTAGAGTGTTCCAAGAGTAATATGAATTGAAGAGATATTAAGAATGACAATGATGTGCGCAGTACACTGTGGCAGTGACTAGGTGTGTTGTAGTTGTGGCAGTAATTCATTATTTGGACATTATGGCAGATAAAATAAATCCAAAAGTTAATACACTTCTTTTACTTTTACTTTTATCCTCTTCGCCACTGATCGGCTTGTTAGCCGCTTGGGCGATCGGTCACGTCTCTTTTCATTTATATTCTTCACCACTGATCGGCTCGCTAGCCGCCCGGGCGATCGGTCACGTCTCTGTCATGCACTGTTGGCAAATACTGGGCATGCACCGACTCCTGAATGTACCTGAACCCGCTCCAGTGTTGGTCAAGTTCTCTCTTGAAAGAGCTCACACTCGGTGCGGTCACAACACTCTCTGGTAGATTGTTCCAAGAGTTTACAACCCTCACTCCGAAAAAGTTTGCCCTCACGGTTTTCTGGACTTGCGGCTTCTTCAATCTTGAGCTGTGACCCCTTATGGGGCGAGCGTCCGCCGGCTCCAAGTAAGGACACTCAACTGAGTAGTGCCCCCTGAGATGCTTATATACCTCAACTAGGTCCCCCCTTGCCCGTCTGTAATATAAGCTAGGCAAGTTCAGGCGCTCCAATCTCTCAGGGTAGCTGAGGTGCCGAAGTGCAGGCACCAGTCTGGTGGCCCTCCTTTGAACATTTTCAACCAACTGACAGTCCCTAGCATATCTCGGGGACCAGATGGGGTGACAGTACTCCAGATAGGGAAGCACTTCACTCCTGAAGATCGTCACGAGGGACGGACCGTCTAGATATCTGAACGACCTTCTTATAAGACCCAATAATTTATTTCCCTGATTTACCTTCTTCTCACAATGGCTCGAGAACTTCAGCTCATTGTCAACATACACACCTAGGTCCTTCTCACACACAGTCTCAACTAGTGCATTTTCTTCATCCATAGAATTTATACCTGTAATTGTGATCGTAGAATATAATGCTCGAAGATGTCAGAGTGGCATCAATACATTTAAATCGGCATAAAAAGTCTCAACGATAATCGTGGGAGAAGTAAGTTATCAGGAGATGAATGTGTTTGTGTTGTGGGGGGCGGCAGCAGTCCTATCGGTATCTTATTGCCCTTTCACCGTCACTGTGCCTGGCTCCGTCTCCAGGAACACTCACTAGCCGGTATACCAGTAAGTGTGACCATAGGTGTGTATTATGTGAGATCGTCATATAAGTTTACAATTGTTTTTCGAATATATATAAACAACGCAGCTACGCAATTCAACATGCATATACACAATGCAGGTATATTTGAAAGTACCAAGACAGCGCAAGTATACAATGTACTGTACATGGATAGACACTGCAGGTATACAAACTATGATAAACATTGCCAGTTCGACCAGGGATAGTCGGAAGTCATCAGATGCTTATATTATATTCAGTAGGGTCCGCCTCCTCAATGCACGTATACAGTTCAGTATGTGAGAGTTGTGAACTCTTGGAACAATCTACCAGAAAGTGTTGTGACGGCACCGAGTGTGAGCTTTTTCAAGACAAGACTTGACCAACACTGGAGCAGGTTCAGGTACATTCAGGAGCCGGTGCATGCCCAGTACTTGCCAACAGTGCGTGACAGAGACGTGACCGATCGCCCAAGCGGCTAACGAGCCGATCAGTGGTGAAGAGGATAAAAGTAAGTAAAGTGTAAAAATAAGGGTATACCGTGTAGGTATACAATGTCCAGTGTATTAACATTGCAAGTATACAGACTATGATGATTTCTAACACTATTTTTCGGCGTCCTTGCACTCGCTCCTGTAATCTTGAGAAGAAAAAATCCCACCTGTTAACAAGTATTACACAGTATCTCGGTCTCCTTGAACTTCGATCGTTACTTAACCACATTGCTTTATTACCACGCCGATGTGGATGTGTGTGTGTGTGTATATTTTATTAAAATTGACATACAAGTTCATAGTGGTTTTAAAATGAGCGCTGCGACTCCTATTGTCTTGTTAAGTAAGCTCTTCTATACAGTACCTTGTCGGTTTGTAATGATAGTTTTCTTATCGACTGTGCATTACCCTAAAGAAGTAGTATTTTTCAATTAACATGATTTCCCATGTACCCCATCCCTTTTTTTACGTGTGCACTGTTGATGGGCTCCGCTACGTTTATGGTGGCCAATGAGCTCGATGTATCTTTACTTCATCCTCCTGTTCGCCACGGATCGGCGTGCAGACACTTGGGCGGTCGGTTAATTCTCCATTACGCACTGTTGGCAAGTACTGGGCATGTACTTTTTTTATGCTCTCAAATACATGATATGCAAATGATCCCATAGATAGATGGATACATAAGTATATTTTTTTAGAAAGTACTTGTAATTCTCCTCCATCTCTAAAGTCGACTCTCACAGTATGTAAGAAACAAAAGGTATATCTTCACTGACCTACTGTACTAACTTATAGTAACTCTTTATCTTGGCCAATCTTGTTTACCGCTGAAGGTAGTGAAGGATTTCCCCTGACTTTACTGTTTCTATCTCTTTTACCAGACCAGTTAACTGTTTGTATCATTTAACAGAATAACCTACGCCATGGTAAGTCGCGCTTGCATTCGATCCCTGTCAAAGCTTGGCAGGACCCTGGCAGTGGGAAGCCATAGCTTGACAGGGCTGAATAAGACCATGATGGGGCCCTGTTACACGTTGACTCGAAACCTCACCACCGCCACCAAGGAAACCAAAGTCGGCGTCATCGGATGTGGACAAGTTGGTATGTTTATGTTTCCTGTGAATCATCTATGTATACACACACACACACACACACATGGAGGATTTATGGTAGGGATAATGTTTATGATGTATGTACTGTATGTATGTATGTATGTATGTATGTATGTATGTAGTTTGGCACTTTCCCATAGTTAGAGGTCGTAAATAAACAAATAGCTGAAATAGCCTAATTTATGGGAAGTGTATTAGGAATAAACGACCTATGCTGTAATGTCTTCCCATGACCTCAAATGACCTCCAACAGGCGAAGCTGTGACCAACAACCTGACACGGAAAGGATACAGGGTGGTAGCAGCGTGTGACAGTGACCCCCGCCGTCTAGTAGATCTGCCTTCGTCTGTATCTCGAGTCTCCACGCCAAGGGAGGTGGTGCAGCTGTCCGATGTTATCCTAACCTGTATGTTTCTACTGTTATGTTATTAGCGTTTCACTGCTTGTTATAGGCGTTACACTGCTTGTTATAGGCGTTACACTGCTTGTTATAGGCGTTACACTGCTTGTTATAGGCGTTACACTGCTTGTTATAGGCGTTACACTGCTTGTTATAGGCGTTTCACTGCTTGTTATTAGCGTTTCACTGCTTGTTATAGGCGTTACACTGCTTGTTATAGGCGTTACACTGCTGTTTCTTGCATCATAATAAGTGTTAATAACGTTATCATACCTATTACTATTACTTTCTCGTGATACGCTAGTTATAATATTGTGACTGGCATCATAATGGTTGTCCCTCGTGTTTGAGGATGGCCTAGGTGGCTCTTGGGCCCGAGAGCCACCTAGGCGTGAAATTGTTTAAGGTGTAGAAGCTGTCGCCAACACAATAACCACACCCTGAGTTAACGAGTCGTATGACCCAGTGTCAAGGAATAGTCTGAGAAGACCGGACAACTCGCCAACTGCACTGGCTAACCATTATCCCGGATTACGATCCGCAAATCGATTAACATCCATCAGGTTCCCAATTACTGCTGGGTAGACAGAGGCAAATGGCGTAAAGAAACTTGCCCATAGTTTCACCCTGCTTTAGCAACTCTGTCACACCATTTTCTTCTCGTCACTTGTATTCCCGTCACACTATTTTCTTGACATCACACTAACCTAACTAATGTGAAACATTAGCTATCCCGACACACAAACTATGACGTTAGCCCCATCGTCACACATCTCACTACCACCGTCACTTTAGCTTCTATCATTTGACGTCACAGGCCTGCCAAAACCGCCCAATGTGAAGGCTGTAGCCGAGGGTAGTGACGGCGTGTTGACGTCACTAACCGCTGGCAAGATATGGATCGACCACTCTACAACAGAATTCGAGCAGACGCAAGTAAGTCCATATTTCTCTCTATCCCATGTTATTCTTTGTACAGTCAGCCAAAGATGCACCGACCCCACCCTGGGTCTCGTGCTCGCAATTTTACCTGGCACTACTTGGTAAAGTAAGGCTGTATGTAAAGGTGATTGTGATTGGTGGATCTGTTTTGGCTGTATCATTGTCAGGATAAAGATTAAACAAACCAAAGGTAACATTTTTATAGTAATAAACTATTCATCATTATTTTAGATCATGAGAAATTTCCAAATGTTCGTATATTTGTTTAAACAATGAAGAAAATTTGATGAGAATCTTGTGGCAGTTTTGGTTGTAGTTGAGTTGCCAATTCTTTTATATAATTTTCTTCATTATTTAAGCAAATATACGAAAATTTGCCAGGTAAAATTGCCAGTAAGAGACTCAGGGTGGGATCGCTGGATCTTTGGCTGACTGTACTTACTGTACAGTCACCCAAAAAAGTCCTGTCGCGAACCATGAACCCCGAGATTCAGACTCTTGAATCCGAAGCATTTATGGACAGAATAATGTATCAGTGTCTACTGCTTCGGGTTCACGAGTCTGAATCGTGGTTCGCGACAGGACTTTTTTGGGTGACTGTACATCCATCATCAGCATCTCATTTATTTACCCCGTTATCAAATTCCTACTTGTTCAGCACCACTATATCTTTATTTTACCCAATTATTAAGTCATCTCATCTATCTCCACCGTCAATCTACTTCATTTCCCGCCATTATCAAGTCCCATCCTCCACATCTATTCTTAAATCCTTTCTGTCTAACTCTTCTCAAACCCCCCTATGCCTCTTCCATCAACTGTTGTATTAAATTATATTATAACCTATTGTATCTTACGTCATTGTATTAAATTGGGTGTTTTGTAGTTTTGTTCTGTTGTATCAGTTAGTAAAACCCTGTTACAGTATCACAAAACATTTTACGGTTGACATTTATTTTATTTTTTGCATGATGTTGTATTTAATGGCACTATATTACATTTTGTTGTGATAAACTTTCTTCTATTGTAGTCTACTGCATTTCGTTGTATTGTATTACTGTATCGTTCTTTTTATTGTAATGTGAAACGGTGTACTTCGTTTCACTGTAATGCGCATCGGTCTCTAATTCGTTTCACTGTAATATATTGTTATGTACTGTACTTCACGTCATGTGCAGGTATACATGAAGGCAGTACATGAAGTAGGGGCGCACATGCTGGAGTCGCCCATCACGGGTGGGTTGGACGCACTCAAGAAAGGACAGATGATCGCGTATGTGGGTGGTGACAAGACCATAGTTGACGCCGTCATGCCTCTCCTAGACGTAAGTATATATATATATATATATATATATATATATATATATATATATATATATATATATATATATATATATATATATATATATATATATATATATATATATATATATATATATATATATATATATCCACAATGGAAACATGGGTAAGACAAATCTTGATCAAATCACACAGGGAAAAGGGAAACAATGGAAAACCTTAGCTTTCGTCTTTATTCAGACGGGCAAGGGACGACCTAATTGAAGTATATAAGCATCTCAAAGGGCACTACTCAGTAAAGTGTCCTTACTTGGAGCTGGCGGACGCTCGCCCCACAAGGGGTCACAGCTCAAGATCGAAGAAGCCGCAGGTCCAGAAAACTGTGAGGGCAAACTTTTTCGGAGTGAGAGTTGTGAACTCTTGGAACAATCTGCCAGAAAGTGTTGTGGCGGCACCGAGTGTGAGCTCTTTCAAGACCAGACTTGACCAACACTGGAGCAGGTTCAGGTACATTCAGGAGCCGGTGCATGCCCAGTACTTGCCAACAGTGCGTAACAGAGACGTGACCGATCGCCCAAGCGGCTAACGAGCCGATCAGTGGTGAAGAGGATAAAAGAAAAAAATTGTCTTGAATAAAGACGAAAGCTAAGGTTCTCCATTGTTTCCCTTTTCCCTGTGTGATTTTATCAAGATATATATATATATATATATATATATACAGGGGTATACAGTATATAATGGACAGACATAGATAGAGACAGAATTTATGAAAAAAAATATAATCTCCATCCAAAAATTTTGAAACTGGCATCATATTCGTGTAAGAATCTCATTATTTTTTTCTCTCTCCTCCGCCAAGCGTCGTATATCAAGGTGTTCTATGTAGGAGACACTGTAGGAGCCGCAATGGTCATCAAGGTGGTGTCTAACATGCTGTGTTGCGTTCACGTTATCGCCATGGGGGAGGCTCTTATGTTAGGTCAGTGTCTTCGAGATTATTCCAAAGTCTATATGTTAAATTTGGTTAGGTCCACGATGTGTGTGTATGAACAAACCGTAGACACTCATTTGAGATCATAATAATAACTATGAATCCACATTAATATATTGATGCATAATAATAATAATAATAATAATAATAATAATGTTTATTTACTGCCAATACTGTACCACCATCTATCACTTAAACCACAACCATTCCTATCACCCATACCCCTTACCAACTCCTCCACCACAACCACAATTCCTACCACAACATTTTACCACTCGCTCGCTCTCTTTGCTCTTGTAGGAAAGCGCGCAAACATTGATCTGAGGACCTTCTGGGATGGAATTCGTCTCAGTGTTGGCAATAGCTTCGTGTGGGAGACAGCCGCGCCAGTGGTGTTCAACGGCGGCGAATACGACCCTGGCTTCTCTCTCTCTCTTCAGAACAAGGATCTTCAACTTGGTTATGACATGGCCAGGAAGTACAAGGTAAATGGAGGAAGGTGATTGGTGGAGGCTGGAGAAAGGTGATTGGAGGAGGCAGGGTGGTAGGGAATGGTGATTGAAGGAGGCAAAGTGGTGACGGAATGAGAAATGGAGTGAAAATAAGGAGGGAGCAAGGGAAGGGATTAATAATAAATATGACTAGAGTATAACGGAAGGAGGAAGTGATATTAGGAGAGAACATAAAGAGAAAAGGGGAGAAGGAAAAAGGGAAAATATTGCAAGGAAGGAGGTTAGAGGGAAGGGGGAAAAATGGAAAGATATACTTGCTTGTTTATTCCTCCATATTTGGGCAAAGAACATCAGCTCCCTAAACACTGATCTATATCTACTGCTGTACCTGTGATTCCCTTTGTCAGGTACCAATGGACATGCACCAGATGGCTTTGAGTATCTACAGAAAAGCTGAATATCAATTCGGGGAGGAGGCCGGATGCTACATCGTCCCCAAAGCCATCGAGTTAGCTCTTGGCGAGTCTCTACAGAGTCCAGGATTCGACACATGGGAGTACGACAATGTGGTTGAGAATGGCTCACTTATTACCAAGCATGTCGGTGTTGACGTTTGACGACAGGGCGTGCTAACTTACTTTCAACCTCGAGTGTGAGGATTGTGATGCGAGAACCAATTTTGATGTCAAGTAAGAGGATATGGACACAAGAAGATCCTGATCTGACGTGAAACACAAAGTTGTTTGGCATCGAGTCAGGTGATCTTCAAACACTCCAAGTTTAATTGATGTAAGTTGCCATTTGTATATGAAAGCTAGCTGGTCTCTTTCATGCGTCAGGTGTCCGTCTATCCTTATACTTTACATCATCAAACATTGATCGTCACTATTGTTATCCAAAAAATGTAGACAATTTTCGGTTTATGGAAATTGGAAAGTATTACTATATTATGTTTCTGTTTACTGCGGACTGGAAAGTGAATAAAAAATAGTATGTGGATTTTCGCTAGCTTTACTTTTGATATAAATAAATATTTCTTATTTTATTTTATTTTTTATCGCCGCTTGGGCGATCTGTCACGTCTCTGTTACGCACTGTTGGCAAATACGCTGTGTAGCGCAGTAGTCCAAGTTCTCTTTGTGTGTGTCAATTTTCTCTTTCTTAGGGCCACATACACACGTACAATAAGGGAGATCTCGCACTCAGGATAGAGGTGAGAAAGCAGGGCTGTGGAGTCGGAGTCGGAGTCGAGGAGTCGGAGGAAATTTCGCCTTGTGGAGTCGGAGTCGGAGAAATTGTCCAGACTCCGACTCCGACTCCGACTGAAGCTATTCTGTTCCTAAGAACAAATATATGAACTCAGGCATATTCATTGCAGTGATTCCACTGATCCCACTAATTTTCTTAAATTATTAAAAGAATTTATTTCCATTTTATAAGCATTATTATGAATTTATTGTAGCAGGCACAGTATAGCACTATAATTTTGGACGATAGTCTCTTCTTTACCATTTGAAATTTTGAATTATATCAAATTTTGTTTCGTTGAAAACTGCACAGAGGCTCTCAGCTACAAAACAATTAGCTACAACCTGTTTTTGGTGAGATTAAGGCAAATTAAATTTAATAATTTAATCATGTAAGGTTTATCCATTTTCCTTAATAAGGTATTCATTTCTTTAATGTACATAAATATATAACTTTACTTTAAAAGGAATTGTAGGATCATCATTTAGATCCACATCAGATTATGAGCTTAAACAAAATTCATATGCTGAGATCGAACTTTTAGATATACATGTAAATGGTGTTTTCTAGTTAATATCTTGAATTCTTAATAAATTTATTTTTCTTTTGATTGAAACTTTGAAAGTCAAGTCTATCATCTTTTTGTAGTTCTTAAATATCGTCCAGATCATTAATAAAGCTGTAGCAGTATAGCCACGGTGTTTTACTTTTTACCTATGCAGGTTACAACATACAAATTACAATTAGGATGGTAGAAATAGTTGTTACAAATAGGCCAAGGAGTCGGAGTCGGAAGCATAAAAATTTGAGGAGTCGGAGTCGAAGGTTTTGTCTTCGACTCCACAGCCCTGTGAGAAAGGAAACTCAGAATAGCGTAACTCTACATGTATTGTATGTACAATGCAGTGCTGAGAGTTGCTGTATGGTGAGGAGCTTCATGAGCGGGGGTCTAGTCCATTTGGGAGCGTGGAGTGGAATGACCTTCACGGCGAGGCTGTGGGTATTTATACGATTCTGCCGGATTAAGGTTGGAGGTGTGAGGTGAGCGGCGCCGCTGATTGGCTGGGCGAAGACGGCAGGTGACTAATCAGCGAGTGATTCGAGGGCAGAGACTGGGGTCTGGAATTCGCTGCTGATTGGCTGAAGCGAGGGCAGGAGAGGAGTTGTAGGAAGAGTTGATCACTACAGCTGCCTCTGAAGTACGTAAGTTTCCAACGGTGCAATGTTGCTGCACTTGTAATATTTTCCCAAATGAATGAAGGTTGACGTGAGTGGGTTTGATACTTTCTACTTAATCTAGTTAACACTTCAGAGCCAATAATTAAAATGTAAGCTCCAGAAAACTGAAAATTTAAGAAAATTCAGAGTTAAACTGGACATGCAATCAATATGGCAACAACAAAACCAAAATTCAACTGAATGTCTATTCTTGTAGTTCAGGGACGCTGATGTTATAATTTTCAATTACAGCTTCAACAACTAAGGTCTTTAAGAGCGTAACTATAGGTTTGTACCCAATGAAAGGCTGAAAATTAAACTGGAAGGGTACGGGATTTGGGGAAATGTCCTGGCGTGGGTAGAGGACTTTCTACATGACTGCAAGCATTGTGTGGTGGTTAATGGTAGAAATCATCATGTGTACCCGTCAGAGGCGGGATACCACAGGGCAGTGTACTGTATTGGGCCCGCTGTTGTTTGTTTGCTTCATAAATGTCATGCCTGACGTTGTACATTCCTCCTTACAAATGTTTGCGGGTGACGCCAAGTTATTTCGGGAAATTAAGAACCAAGCGGAGTGTGAAGAGCTGCAGGAGGATCTCTGTGAGGTCTAAGAATGGTCGAAGAAATGGCTGCTGAGAGTGTCACCAAGTGTAAGAGGATGCACCTGGGGCGTACCAACGGTAAGGAAGCGTATCACGTGTCCCAACGGGACGAAGAAACTGCATTAATTGAGACTTAAGGTGAAAAGGACCTAGGCGTGTACGTTGACAATGAGCTGAAGTTATCGGGCTATTGCGAGAAGAGGGTTAATCAGGCAACTAAATTATAAGGTCTTATAAGAAGGTCGTTCAGATATCTAGACGGTCCGTCCCTCGTAACGATCTTCAGGAGTGAAGTGCTTCCCCATCTGGAGTATTGTCACCCCATCTGGTCCCCGAGATATGCTAGGGACTGTCAGTTGGTTGAAAATGTTCAAAGGAGGGCCACCAAACTGGTGCCTGCACTTCGGCACCTCAGCTACCCTGAGAGATTGGAGCGCCTGAACTTGCCTAGCTTATACTACAGACGGGCAAGGGGCGACCTAATTGAGGTGTATAAGCTCTTTCAAGACAAGACTTGACCAACACTGGAGCGGGTTCAGGTACATTCAGGAGTCGGTGCATGCCCAGTACTTGCCAACAGTGCGTGACAGAGACGTGATCGATCGCCCGGGCGGCTTGCGAGCCGTTCTTTTGGTGAAGAGGATAAATGAAAAGGAAAAGTAATCAGAGACGTGACCGATTGCCGAAGCGGCTAACGAGCCGATCAGTGAAGGGGATAAAAGTAAGTAAAAGTAACAAGGTGTACTAAGCTCACACCGAGGTATAAAATACATTCTCTTTGAGGCATAGTTTCTGGATCACTTCCAACACTTCGCATAGGTCTGATACATTTATCACAGCTCAAGATTGAAGAAGCCGCAAGTCCAGAAAACTGTGAGAGAAAAATTTTCGGGGTGAGAGTTGTGAACTCTTGGAACAATCTACCAGAAAGTGTTGTGACGGCACCAAGTGTGAGCTCTCAAGACAAGGTTCAGGTACATTCAGGAGCCGGTGCATGCCCAGTACTTGCCAACAGTGCGTAAGAGACGTGACTGATCGCTCAAGTGGCTAACGAGCCGATCTTTTGGTGAAGAGGAAAAAAGAAAAGGAAAAGTAATCAGAGACGTAACCGATCGCCCAAGCGGCTAACGAGTCGATCAGTGAAGGGGATAAAGTTAGAGAAAAAAGTAAAATCTAGGTATATATTGTCGATATCACCACCCCATTCCAGAATATGGGTCCATATATCCAGTACCTTGAGTAATTGTGTTAAGCAGGAGGCCCCGACATAAAACCGTGTTGGCAATCCTTTACATTGTAAAGTTTACAAGGTTGTTTCGTAGTAGACTTTCCATTATGGCATCTCTTATAATGCTCTCAAGTACTTTACATACTATGCTGGTCAGGCTCACCGGTCTATAGTTGTTCGTGGAGTGACGATCGCCCTTCTTACTTTTTACTTTTTACTTTTATCCTCTTCACCACCGAAGAGGGGGTTAATAAAATGAATCACCGTGTTTTTTGGTAAAATTTGAATGATTTGAGGATGAATCTAGCGCTTTTCTCTATGGCAAGTTGGCATCACTGACTCAGGAGGCTTGTTGTTGTCTTACCAAGTTCTTAATACGCAATGGAGCTTCGCGCCTGTCAGTTCAATTGATGATTCTCTGCATCCATTTAAACCAGCTATGGCGCAGGAGAGCGAGGTAAAAGATTTGTCTCTTATATCATATAGACTGTAGAGGGTACAGGTTGCTTAAATTATGCCAGTAAATGGTAAATATCTGTGATCAAATTAAGGGTAACATTAATTTGCTCATGACTCGAGAATGAAGGAATATTGCCTTTTGTGGGAATTGTTACAATATCATTGGTCCCCGTGATTATCTCCAATATGTAATATGGTAATGTATTATGCTAATTATTCCTCTAAAACCTGTACCGAGCCGATCAGTGGTGAAGAGGAAAAAAAGTAAAAGCTTTATCAAACCTTTTCTAGAGCAGTTTTTCATGCTGAATACGATAATGAAAATTTGAGGAATACTTAATTATTGAGTTATGACTTTTTTAACCTGTCCCACCAAAGTTGACAAGGCTTTAAAGCAGAGGGAAAATTTGGGATTAAAAACAAAACTAAGAGAACCTTATCTTACCTAATCAGGTCATTATATACTCACTGAGTAATTATTCTGAGAACAGTGGCATACAGTTTGGGTTAATAACCTGACACTGCTACAGTGAAACCTCCATTTAATGCACCTTGATCGGTAATCCTGGAGCAAGTGGCTAACACCAGAATGTGTTGTTCGATTTCGTTCAGCAGTGGATATTTTACCGTGACCGGCTAAGTTCCTACTAACGCTATTTTATCGTGAGTGTGCTCTCAATGGCTAAGCGTCCATTACCGGCGAACAACCCGAGAACGATGTGTGACCGTAACTCTGGCGGCATATGGCATTTATTTTGCCGTGAGTTGATCGATTTTGGTAATTTTTTACACATTATCATTATAAAAGAGGTGACATTTACTAGAACCTAATAGAACCTGACGTAGCCAACCAAAGAAACCTACCTAACTTCCTAGTCGGGGGTCGGACCCCCCCCGTCAAATTAAATGGAAATACTTAGCCAATCAGAATGCACTCACAGTAAAATGGCATTAGTAGGAACTTAGGCAGTCATGACAAAATATCCACTACGATTTCGTTCATTTTTTCTCAGATGTTCTTTGGATGATGGTAAGTAATAAAAATAACATGGCAATACACAGAACTTAATAAAACCTGACTTAGCCAACCAAAAACCTACCTAACCTTACCTAACTTCCTAGCCTGGGGATTTCAATCCCCTGGACCCCCACCATATTAAACAGAAAGTACCTGTACCTACTATACTTTGATAGGTAAAATTTTACTTTCACACAACTATGGATTCTTAGGAATTTTATCATTGCAGTCATTAGTTTAGGCAATTCTAAGACACTTCTTCTATGATGTTTCCCTCGCAAATGTGAAATTCCTTAGATTCCATTGAGGTGTGATGTTGTAAAGTAAAACAGTCTTAACTTTTCTTGGAAATTTTGTCTAGGATTTTAAAAATTAAATAACATTATTATTCATTTGCAACAGAAATGTATAGAACGAAGGTTACTCAGAATGATGAGATACGGTATAACTATCGCATGTGTTAAAAATCTCTGAGTCTTTGGTTGTATGAAACTAAAATAATACCCTTTGATATCTGGTACCAATGAAAGCAACTTTCTTGAAGTGGCATGGTATAATTTTGTTTTGTTTTTGACATGAGAGTATGCTGTGACCGAGCGGGTCAACTGTAAATAAACAAAGCAGACGACAGCACCTGCCCAGACAGCAGATTTTTCGGAGGAATTTAAGTTTTCCGTTTCTGTGGTGGAGCGATGGTTCGTTTCATATTTTTAAAGATGCAGTTACATTCTATAATTCATTGTTCATAAATTGGAAGAAACTAACCTAAAGAACCTGACAGAATACAGCTCCTCCCCGACTGACGACCTACTCGACTAATGACCACCCGGACATACGACTGCCTCGGTCGTACCAAAATTTTGTCAAATTACGTATTTTCGAGTCACAACGTCAGTGATTGCACTGTGTACTGACAAAACTTTCGTTTGTATTTCACTTTAAAATGGCTGGCAAGCTTAAAACGGAGAGTTTTGTGGTGCTGAGAAGAAAAAGAGACACCCATTTCAGATTTTCTATGTATTACTGTATTTAAGCATTTTCGACTTACGGCCTGGATTTGGGTCCCTAACCCCGTCATAAGTCGGGGAGGAGCTGTACTACAGTTGTCATTATTTGATTAATCTAAAATGAAATTACTAGATACTTTTACACTCAGGAAATTTTTGTTCATGAAATGAAGAAAACTAAAATACCAGACCTAGCCATACCTAACCTTAAATACTAGTTGGTTTCCATTTTATTCTAAAATTAAATAAACTTCCTATCTGAAGGGAATCATTTGTACAGATTTCACATGTAAAATGTGATATTGCACAAAACACATACCTCGTGTACTGTCTGTCTATTTCTTTAGATGAGAATGCTTTTTATTTTTTATGGAGAAATTCCGTGAAGTCAGAGCTAAGGCTGGACCACTCTCTTCTAAGTACAGTATTACCAAATACAGTATATGTTTAGTTAAGTTGGTTTGTTTCATTATCATTATTTAGACCTAATGATTTTGCAATACAGGGAGGTATTTGTTTAGTTATGTTTAGTGTACAGTACAGGTAGTTAGGTTGGTTCCTATTACCAAGTCTCATCATTAATTGTGTAGCTAGTATCTAGAAGTTGTATTACCTGTACAGTAGCATTTACCTTATACAGTAAGCCATACATCAATACAGTTAGAAGATGATGGTACAGTACAGTACTGTGGAGGATGGCCCTCACTGGACCTTTAGGGAGACAAGTTACTCTAGTTATGTCTGTTAGAGCAATTTTTTTTATATAATTTCACCACTTGCCAGCTTAATATTTTAGCCATTTGGGTGGTTGGTCTGTCCAGTGTTAATATTTATTTAAGAAATACAAAAACAAATCTGTCAATACTATACTGTACAGTATTTTACTTTAGTATTGTATAGTGCAATTATGAAAAAAAAATGGCAGGGAGGCAGTGCAAGCTGTGCCTCCCTCATAATTAAAAGAAAAAATCAACTTCTGGTGTGGAAAGAAAATCACAGAGTTTTAATCTCCTCGTCTCTTACCCTCCCATACACCAGCTCCCTCCCTCGCTATCTGCCAAATTCTTTTTTTTTCCACAACTAACAGGTATACATGTTGGCGTGTGAGATCCGAGTGGATTCAGTGCTTGTCTCCTGTCTCAAAGATCACTAAAGTTCAACCCAGCTGTAACTGGGAACCTAATTTTACAATTAGGGAAGTTAAGGTAGTCATATCCAGTGCTGGCCAAACTTCCTCCTTGTGTATTAAAGTCTTGGTAGCTACACGGTGTGCTGTATCCACACTGTCCATAATGGGCAGTCATGCCTATTGGATCTGTTCTCTTAGTACTTGTACGTATAATATGTTACGGAAAAATAACAAATACAGGTGCTCCTCTACTTAAGAACGTTCAACTTACAAACTTTCAGAGATACAAACATCATCACTGAGGGGGTTTACCTGCCAGAACAAGTGTTTAATGTGGATGAGACTGGATTATTTTGAAGAAAATTCCAGATAGAACAAACATTACCTTAAAGGAGAAGAGTGAGCCAGGTTTTAAGGCTGTATTAAAGGGTATAGCTGTACTAAATATCCATAATCTTTTCATTTTTTAAAATGTTTGATATCTACAAGAGTAAAGTTGGACTTACAAACAAGCCTCACAAACGTAACTCGTTCGTAAGTAGAGGAGCACCTGTAGTTAGCTTGAATTGATAGTTTTATTGCATGTACTGTACTGTATTTTTTTCTCAACAGGATAACTTTGGAGTTTGCATGAAAGCTCCTCTCTACTACTTCTTCAGAAATGGTTGTGTGCCAACTCTTGTTCATCTTATTATACAAGAATTTAGAAATGCTCAATTTGTCAGGTTCTGTCTTGATAATCCAAATATTCTTCAAAGACCTGAACACAGGTGTATTGGGAGTATGAATATGTATGAATTTTTAAAAATTGTTCATCAAAAAGGCAAAAGAGAAGAACAAAAGAGAAAAAAGGAAGAACAAAAGAAAGGAAACGATTCACTTAACACATCCAGAACGTTACATCTGAACAACTTGACCAATTTTGAAGTGTCATTAAGGAAGGTGTGTGTGTCCGATCTCTTGGAGACAACCGGTTACCAGGAGGCATTTGAAAACTTAAGAGACGTAGATGTAACCTTTCTCCTTAATCTCCTGACTAATGACATTCTACAGTACCAGTTGGATGATAATATTCTGAAAACTATCAGTCTCTTAAAAGAAATTAGAAATGATATCCACCACCCAGGCCGTAGCCACAGGTATGCTGAAATGAAGAAGCAGCTGGAGGTACTTTGTGAGAATACAAAGTTGATATATGTTAATCTCAAAAAATCTCCTGACGAAATTGAAAGGATAAAATGGGAATCTCTAAATGAATTTCATAAGAGGCCCCAAATTCTCGGTAAGTTCACTTAGAACTTGTTCAATTTTGGGCTTACTCTATGATTCTTGAATAGTTAAAGACAGCAGTAACTAATTGGTCATTTTAATGATGCATATAATGTACACATAAGTAGCCAATTTTCCATCTATTTCATGCCAGCTATCTTGAAATTTGGGTGGGACACACACTATTCAATTTTCATGTAAAGCAGACAGTTGTTCTCTATCATTTGCATTCACTAGGGGTAGACTCTCTAAGGGTGTGACTAGCTAGCTGTCGGCATTACCCAACACTCCCATTCATATTTACACCAATAATTCTCAAAATGATATGAACAATGTTTGAAATACTTTTACTGTTCACAGGTGTATAGTGTACAGTAGTTGTTGCTTGATTATATTGACAGTAAGAATGTATGAAAAGAATAATCTGTTGAAGAAAATTGAAAAGGTAGGACTCAGGCAGAACTGAAGATCTAAGATCTAGTACAATTTAGGTGATTAGTAAAGCTTTAAAGTAGAAAGTGAGAGTGTGGAAATGGGCTGCTTAGCAGTTTGTTCTCAGTAAAGCGAATGTATCCATAGAAGACAGTCATCAACATTGGGTAAAAATAAACATAGCTAATTAGGGTAGATGAGTTATTGTCATTATTTGTTTTATCTTTTAGCATTTTATTCTCTAGCTTGAAACAGGAACATTTTCTCCTGCTTATAGTGCACATGTGGGGTTTCTCTCTTGTGGGAAAAAAAAATAATATGCTGTATACTGTAGACAAGAACAGAATGAGAGAGAGAGAGGTGATGATAATGATATAATTCAAAGTCTTCAGTTAAGCATGGTTTCCATTTAAATTATATGAGAACATCTCATTTATCCCTTCATTATAGGGATGCAACTTTTGCTATTTTATTTTACTAATGACAGGAAATTTTATTCATCAGAGAGAGATCCCCATACACAAGGAGCTAATGGAGTCAGGTATTCAGTCAATATGGGTATTATTTATACGCCTATACGTACTGTACTGTATGCTTATTCTTGTATGTACTGAACATGGTTTATTATGATTCTTGAGTATTTATATTCTTACAGAGGACCTTCAGCATGAAGCTCTTAGGAGGTGCCCAGCCCAGGAGCATTTTATTTTGCCAAACATATCTCACTCGAGGTGAGAATACGTATATGTATATAGAATAGTATTTTATTTTTTTCTCGTGCAAACAGACCTTTTCCTTCTGTTGATAGGAAGATATTAATGCAGAACATCCACCAAAGAGTTGTTCTATCACTGTCCTGTATGTATTTCTTTGCTGAATGTTCAAGATTTGTGTACAATAAGGGAACCCGGTTCTCCAGTCTGGTCAGGAATCAATCCATGAACCCTTCATTAGCAGAACAAATGCTCCACTGCTAAGCATTATAGTCATCAAATTGATTAGTGATTTTTTTATTTTTTCTCCAATTGTTTTCATTTAGGATCGATAAACCTTCAATTTCTGTGGTCTTCAAGCTTGTAAATTTAACTTGCCATATAGACTGTATTTTTATTTCCATGGGAAAAAAAATTTTGAGTACCATTATGTAATATAATGTACAGTTATTAAGGAAAGTGCAAATTACCATTGTGTTTATTTGAGACAGACACAGATACCAGAACACTAGCTCTTGCTGGCTTGAAGAACTAAGGGTGGATGCCAAACACCACCACCATAACAAGCTTACCACACTACACTTTCCCCATTAATACTAAGAATTTGGTTGAATAGTTTTGGTTTTAATAGAAAATTAATTATTGATCAAAATTTTTAAGACTGCACAGTGTTGTTGCTCCTCCCCCTTTATTTTATTGTATGGTCTTATTATCAATTACTGTATTCACTCAATCAATAAACAGACAGACCTTGAAACTCTTATTTTAGATTCTTACTGATGATGTCTTAGAGGGAATGACAACCAAGTAAAGTCATTGAGGGATGGATGTTACCGTTAAATGTTACTTAGGCTGTTCACGCTGTCCCTTATGAATGAGTCTGCATTTCTGTAACCAAACTTTTGTCTTTATTCTTGCAACTCCTGGGTTTTTTAGCTACAGCTACTGTAAACACAATACTAGCAACTAGTACTAGCAACAACTCCTCCTGGTAAGCTGTTGTACAAGCAAGTGTAAGAAAATGTGTGCACGTGTGTGTGTTGCATTTAAGTTGATCCACATCCAAGCTATCTATTCTCATTCTCATTACAGAGGACGCTGCCAATCCGAAAGAGTTATTGAGAGCCTTGAGAGATACATACTGAACTGGAAGAGTAAAGAGCAAGAGGAAACACAGCCATTCCTGGTGTGTGGCGCTCCAGGAGTTGGCAAAACTACCATTCTGAAAAATCTATCAAACTCATTTTGTCAACATCCTGAGGGATCATACTTCTCATTGGTGTTGTACTTTGACACAAATTGCAGGATCAATAACACCAATAATTTTATGAAAAGAATATTTGAGAGTATAAACGAAATTTTTAAAAATACAGTAGACAAGTATGGAATGGACATTGTGGAAGATGTTATAAAAATGTATTCTGATAAAATTCTTTTTATTGTAGACTGGAACATGACATCTCTGGGGGATATAATGCATGACATAGAGAGGGGTACCTGGATCATCACTTATCAAGGTAATCCAGAAATTGCCGAATATTATCAAATTCTGAAAGTATTACCACTCACCGAACAGCAGGTAGATCAGATTTTGAGGAGTATTAGTGATGAAGACCGAATGAATCGTATTTGTTCACTGTATCAGGATTGTAATTACAAAGGCCTCCTCAAGAGCCCAGATATGGTGAGCATATTTAAAGAAATTCAAAGCGATTCCTGTATATCATGTGACGAATTGTTACATCATTTTATTAACAGTAAGGTTCATAGCACAGCAAACTATGAAGAAGACTTGATGAAGCTTGGAGAGATTGCATTTAAGATGATTGCAAAAAATGGAAAATATTATTCAGAAGATGATCTATGTAATGTAAGTGATGGCGTGAAGAAACCATTTATTGAATATCATAAAAACTGTCCCACCTTTAAGTACAGAGTCGTGGAAGATTATCTAGCGGCTAAGTATGTTGTTGCCAGGCCAGAGGTAACGTGCATTAAATGGTTAAGTCAGGTTCCTTTATTCAAGAGAGTGTTTAGATTTGCTTGTTCATTGTGGTGTGACAATCAGCAAAATATTGATCATTGTTTGCCTTTCATTGAGTCATATCTTTCAAAATATTTAGATATTGAAAAGCCAAATGAGAAATCTAAGAAGTGGAATAAAAAGAAGAAGAAGAAGAAAAGGTTAAGGTGTCAGAACTCCTATGGTGAAAGTTCTCCAGAAAAGCCCATGGATGTTGACATTGATGACGATGTTACATCCACAACTAACTGCAGCTTCGTTGACAATGTGAGTGACTGTAGGAAAAGAGATTCTTTCACAAAGTGGTCATACTTAATTAAACTTACTGAGAATTGTCAATATCATGAAAAAGTAATGGAGAAACTGGCACAGCTGTTGTTGCACAAACAGACTTGGCAATTTAAGTGTAAAATACTTGATGAAGGTAAAATTGAGAAGATAACCAATGTGCTGAGACATGTAAAAGAAATCAAGTCCTTAATAGTTAAGCTAGAAAGTGGCTCTAATGTGAAAATATTATGTCTGGTGTGGACAATGATAAGTGAACTAAAAGAACTGGAGGGTATTCGAGTTCAAATAATGATTATTCAGAATGAGTGGAATCCAGTAAAACATCGAAGAGAGCTTATGGAACTGTCACACTTGATAACCAGAAACAACACACTGTCTATCACAAAGTACATAGGACCTTTTGTTTGCTCTGAGATACCTGAATTCTTTAAATGTTTGTGTTTTAGGAAGCTGGAAGTCTTGGATCTTTATGTGTGTGATATTGCTACCTTACGTGAGGTTATGTCTTGTACAAATTTGCCACACCTTAGAGATGTTATTGTAAGAGTTAACTTAAAGAGTGAGGAGCAGGCTCTTGAAGATAATATCAAATTGTTAGTTCCAGAATTTGGTCCATTTACCATGATAATTAAGTATTTTGATAACTTGCAAAAGTTGTTAGATAGATTTGAATCTCCACTCAACCTCACCTCTCTGAGTATACATGATGTTTACATACACAAAAAATTCAAGCTAGATTTGTCACGTTTCAAAAATTTGACTTGTCTGTTTGTGAGGTTTGTGAAGGGAACAAAGACTGCCTATGTTTTACCTATCTCTCCAGCTGATCAAGAGCCAATGGAAATAGAGGATAACAAAGAGACTAGTTCAGCTAAAGTATCATTAGAGCAGTGGGTATTCAACCTTTCTATGAATCTTATCATTCCTAAAGGATTAGAAAGGCTGTTGCTAAGGAATATGGATTTCTGCAATAACTCAAATAGCTTCTTGTTGCTAAAGTACTGGAAGACCTGTCATATTCAGAGGCTGATCATAGAGGATTCATCTCTCTCCTTAGCAGGGGTGAGAAAAATTCTGAAGAGTCATACTGAGAGTTTGGACGACAAAGGTTTGGAACAAGCCATGAAAAAGATCAAATTGGAGAAGAAGATTTCAACCCAGGTGAGGGAGTTGCTTCAAAAAACACCACGGCTTGCAAAAGAAAAACGTGAAGAAAGGAGACAGAATAAACCTGATGGCAAGGAATTAATAATAACAAGTAATTTTGACCTGTGTAAAGTTTGCAAAAAGTTTCCTTGCACCTGTGGGCATCAGGGAAAAGGTGACACTAGGGAAGATATTGAGGATCTCATTTACCTTATAGAAGATACTTACTCCTATGAGATTCTCAGTTTTAGCTTCTCCTGTAATATCATAACTGTCAGGAAGGATTTATGTGGAGACTTAAGGGTGCACTGCCCTCTCTCTGGTCTCAAGGATGACAGTTTGTATAATTTGGAAAATGATGATAACATGGACAATCTTGAAAATGAAGCCCCAATGCCAAGTACGAGATCGCATGTGCGTCATTTGTTTCAAACGCTGACGCTTGCACAGTGCATCTGTTTGAGTTATACAGACCTCACTTATAGAGGTGCAATGCAAGTTATTAAAATTCTGAAACAGGGGAAGCGGGAATATAGTGGCCAAGGTTGTGTAGAGCCATTTTCTCTCACTATTATGTCCACTCACCATCCAAACTCCAAGGATGAAATTGAAAATAGTTCTTTCTTGAATTTCTTACAGGTTGAAGATTGTTTAGTACAGTTTAATTTTTGTTGTTGTTGTAGGGAGCGATGTCACCGTATCAACATGACTCGAGCAGGTAGGTTTTATGTTAATGGTGAAATATATAACTTGTAACTGCTATGTACTGTACTGAGGAAAAGTGCATGAGGTGAATCCAGCCTTGAATTTATTTGGCATTAGTCTGATTATGGGTTACATGATGTGGTAGCTGAATGAACACAGCATTCACCTCCCTAAGAGTCGCTGGTTTGAGTCCTACGAGACTCATACTAGTATTAATTTGAAGCCTAATAAGCATTTTCAGAGAGCTCAATATGTATGTTTGAAATACATAACTGTATTGCGGTATTATGAAATATCAGTCATTGTGATGGCTGCATATACATGTTACTCTCAGTGATGTTTTTCGCTAACAGCAGAATACAGTACAGTAATGTCTCCATTAGCCGGAACTCTCCAATAAACGGAATTGAAATGTGCATGAAAATTTTCGGGAAGATGTGTTTCAATTCTGGTTTGGGAACAATTAACTACAACTGAAAATCAGGCGCTCTTCTGGAAAAATACGAGAAAATTTCTAGAGAATCCAAGTTTTTTTCTGGGTCTGGGAAGAAATTTTGCAGGATGAAAATTGGGCACATTTTCTGAAAATTCCTCAAATTCTGCACAAACTTTTTTTTTTACAGGTACGGGAGCAAATTCCGAGGATGAAATACAGAGTAGTGCACAATTTCTGGAAAATTCGGAGAAACTTTTCCCGGTACCCAGAAAAATTCTGGGGATGGGGGATTTTTTCTGGGTTTGAGAGAGTTGTCTCGTTACCTGGAAATTTCTCATTCCTGGAAGTGCTCTGCACCAATTGTTCAGTGAGGATATCACTGTTTACTGTACAGGGTGATTCTCAAATACTGTATGTGCTGTAAATTACAGGGTGTATTCCGGGGATAATTTTAAGGCACAATTTCATTATGACAAAATGTTGGAATCCACAGTTTCCTAGAGACTGTACAACTCTTGAAAGAGGTCGAGGTAATGATAGGGAGACTGGGTGAAACGGCCTTAGATTTTTGTGTAACTATATGCACATAACTCTCATTTGTAAATACAGTATGTATAGTTTGTGTTATGCATAGCTTCCCTTTCATATCATCATCACCATCATCTCATGTCCTTGTAATTTGGTCTGTCTGCCTTATGGGAAGAATTATATAGATAAGTCCTTGGGTTTGCTTTTAAACCTTTTCAGTAGTGTGGTCCACTTGGCAACACACTGGAGCCCCGTACACACGAGCAAGGTTCAGGTAGGGATGGTGATGGGTGCTTATCTGACCACCATCCATCTCAGTGCCCAGGGCTTAGCTAACTCTTCTCATCAATGGCAGAAAATATTTTAGCTTTAGCTTTTATTGTATTCATGATGATCCAGTTACCACGTTGTTTTATCACTCTTATCCACCAAAGTTTTAAGTTCATCGGATGTAGAAATATATTTACTTTCAACTGTACATTCTCTCCTTCGGTCATAATGCACATGTGAAAATATAAGATAAATGTTATTTTAGTCTTAAGTATTTTTTTTTATTCTTTCTGTAAGTGGATCCATGTTAGATCTTTTTGTAAACAACATTGTTTTTCTCGATGTTATTGACTTTATAGGACAGTCTAACTGATTGTTTATGCTGACATCTTTTTAAACATTTGAGTTAATTTAGTACAGGTGTATACTACTGTACTGGACTAAAGAATTGCTCTATAATGTTTGTTTGTTTTGTGAATTGAAATTGTATTGTTTACCTTAAAAATTCAATAGTAATTTTATGAGTTTATTTGGGGGGAAAGGATATAGAGTGTACAGTAGTTTTATAGTATTTAATGTACAGCATAGAGTATTTATATTACAAGATGCTGTAAGCATTTTGTCTGTGTTATTTAAATTGAAAACTGAATTTTGTGTGTTATTTAATATTGTTAGATCTTTATAAAATGTGTACTGTATCGTTGACACGTACAGCATGCTACTGTGTTGTACTCTGATTAAATACTGACAGGTGGATTTTGAAGATGAACTGTGTTGAATGACCTGAATGTTCTGTGCTTCAAGTTTTATATTTGTACAGAATCTTGTAAATATGATTTGTTCTTTTATCATGCACACACTGTACAAGGCTTTACCTGCTATGATGCAAACTACACTAGTGCTGATCTCCAGATTCTTTACAGATTATTTTTTTCTTGGTTATAAGGAGGTTTTATACCACTGTACAGTACTTCTTTTTATAAAATATATTTGTGAAGACATTTATCAAACAATGGCTAAAATACGTTGTTTACACCAGCTTTAATTTTATTTTGGTTTCTCTTCACTTCTTAATCCTTTGAAGGTGTAACTTTACTTCAGTATAGTATTTATATATGATCTAAGTGCCCACCATCTGTATTGTACAATATTGAATTAATGTTGACTTTCTTGTCATGCATAATACCTCAAAATATTTTTAAATATTGTATATTTTGAAGTTGTAATTCATGTTCTGTAAGTCATATGAAAAATATATACATTGAGTAAGTGATTGAAAATGTTTTCCCACAAGTTTCATACATCTGTGAGGTAAAACCTGCACTGCAGTTGGTGTACTGGGTATTGCACCAATGTGAGTTAATTTTTTTAGGGAATAATTCTTGTCCCAGATTCTGATTTAGGTCTATCAAAATTAACATTTAATTAAATAAAGCATTTTTAATGCTGATTTGGATCTGTATTGATGTGAAAATGTGGGATTTCATACATGTTTTTTATTCATCTGTAGGTGAAAGATAAGAAGTAAATAACTATACCTATCAGGAGTTTTAGAGCCATAGAGAGTTGTAGGTGAATGAGGCAGTTGCTACAACATGTTCCTATTTTCAAAGCATTATATATGAACTACCTCTCCATGTGCCTTACAAAAAGAGGTGAACCTAGTCAGCATCGTCACAGGCATTTGTCCTTTACTCCCATAAATATTCTTGTTATCCTTCTGCTTGGTGCTTAATCTCTTAACACTATGTAACACAAATACAGTTGTATCAAAAGGAATAACTATTATGTCTGTCTTTTTTGGCTCAAAGTCATAATACAGTACTTTAAACTCTCATACTTTCTAAATTTTAGGAAAGGGGTTTTCTGAACTGGTGTAAAGGTAATGTCACTGCCTAGACACACCATCATAAATAATGTTTAGTAATGTTATTCAATATATATATATACCTCTACTGTATATGTTTTATAATTGTTCCCAACAGTACTTGGTGAATGTTGTACAGGTACTGTACCTCCTTGGAAGTGTGTACTGTGTTGTACTGTACTGCATTCTGAAATCTCTGAACTTTAGTATATTTATAATTTAATTCTTTTGTTAAGCAAGGTACTGTACAGCCATTACACTATGTATAGTATTTGTCAACTGCAACACATTATTTGTAAATACAGCACACTATACAATATATGTATGGTACACTCGGTAAAAAAACTACTGTTACAATTCCTGCGCGAAACAAACTAACACTGCAAACGAAGTGTTTCAAAAAGGCCCCAGAGGCATTCCTCGCTTTGGTAGCCCTGGGTGAGTATGGGTTCGGCCACACATGCTCGAAACAAGTGATCGGCACTCTGAAACGAAACCCAGTAGTACTAGACTTTCCGGAATTATCGACCGTATGGTAAAGCGTCATTGGGCCGGGTTCCATTATGACGTCATGTGAACTGTGGAGCTATTCACATGTTTAGGAACAGCTTGGTTATATTTTACAGTACAAATAAAGAATGACATAATGTGGCATTAGCCCAAAGTGAAGTAGCAATACAAATACAGATTTGAAATTCTGTTGCCAAATAATCTTAAACCTTTACTATATCCACTAATTCTGCCAAACATATACAGTGGCCCCTCGGTTAACGAACTCAATCCGTTCCAGAAGGTCGTTCGTTAACCGAAACGTTCGTTAACCGAAACCATTGTTTCAATGGGTTTTTGGGTAATTGGTTCCAGCTCACCGAAAATTTCCTAAATTCAACAAAAATGGTAGAAAAGTTCACTTACTTTGAGGTGTGTATGTAGAAGGCTCCTGGATGATGATGATGATGATGGGATTTAGAATGGGGGTGGAGGAGAAGGAAGAAGAGAAGGCATTGGGGTGGAAGAGAAGTCACCCCATGGTGCCATTTCACCCATAAAATTTTAGCTCTCTGGTTTAATTCAAGATTATTTTCTTTAAATCAACGCTGCACTGCATTATATATTGTCAATATATAAAATATATTTCAAAATGACCAATAATTTGCTTGGAAACACAGAAAAAAAGCGTTTAGTTGAAGAGAGTCTCAAGCAAGATGTTACCTCCAGTGAAAACAGAGAGAGACTGACGCCTGTTTGCTGTGTTAAGAGGCTGGATGCCGCGCATTAAACTAGTCACTTTACCTTCAATTTTGTTCAATAATTGTTAAAATGACTAAAAAATTGAATATTAAACTTTTGAAATTATTGAATAGTATAAACTTCTTGATATTTACAAAAATAGTAAGGAATTTAAGCCCTAGAACCGATTAATGTATTGGCGGACTGATACTAAAGCTGGTTGCCCGGTCAGTGCAAGCGAAAACATGTTGAGGTCGGTTCGTAAGAAGTTCGTTAACCGAATTGAAGATCCTTATGGAAGGCAGTTCGTTAATCGAAATTACGTTAACCGAGGTGTTCGTTAAACGAGGGGTCACTGTAATGTATTCCTATATGGCAACTCATCCACTTCCATGGTTACTGTAGTCCAGGTGTGTGGAACATTTAATACAACATACAGTTTAACTTATACTGACATTCTCCAGTCATATGGTAACAAAGTAATTCAATATTGTCAAGGAAATAGCTAATTTAGGCCTACCAAATTAAGTACGAAATGTCTCGCATTCAGGCCTACCAACCCTCGTGAGATAACGGGAATGTTCAGTATGAAAATCATGGGGCCCCCACCTGTACGGTAGTTGTTTTACCGAGTGTACATTGCTATTTTATATTATCCATTTCTAAAATAGAATTTTAAGATACATTATTGAGATTGACAACCTTATCTATTGTTTATTTGTAATTTATTGAAACAAAAAGTAATATTTGTAATAAACATGAAGCATTGATAATTGAAATTTTATATAGTACAATACTGTACTACAAGTATATAGACCACATGTAAAATACATTACAGTACTGTACTGCTATTTTCAACATGTGAAACACAATTTATTAAAGTTTGGATGAGGCAGCTTAGTAGTTGAAGAAAGAATAAACCGAGAGGAAATTGAAGAAATATAGAGGTAGTGGTTAGTGGGCCGACCATCTAGCTGAACTAAGTGTGTGGGTGTAAGATAATTTTTAATTTACATTTGTACTGTACATATTCAGACGTGTGGGCGTATGTTAGTACATGTTCAGGTAGTTTAAAGAGCCTGTACATACCCAGTACCTGCCAACAGGGGCTCTGTACATAGTAATACAGTAAGTCTTCGCTTAACGTCGTCCCGCTTAACGTTGTTTCGGTACTATGTTGCTGAACTTTAGAGACCCAATATTCGTTTAACGTCCCAGTGATCCGATACTACGTCATTTTGCGTCGTCACGGACTACTTTCTATGGCGCATCACCTTCTCTTGTCTGGCCGCGCTACGCTCTCTCGGCTCGGTGCGCTGCCCTCGCTCGCAGAACGTCACAGCATCCCCAAGCGACGCCAAGCCAGTCTCTGTTACGACTTCACATCATTCATGTGTACTTAAGTGCTTTTGCTCTAAAACTGTATTCCAACCATTCGAAATGGCTTCCAAGTGCCCAACAAGTGCTACTGATGCTAGTGTAGTGAAGAGGCAACGTAAGACCATTACCCTTGCTAAGAAATGGATGTATTAACCCGATTTGATAAAGGGGAATGTGCTGTGGACATAGCCGCTGTGCTTGGTCTAACCCCCACAACGGTGCGTACTATCTGGACTAACGCTGACAAGATTAAGGTTATTGCTGGAAGTGGTTCTTCTCTGAGTACTACTCAACCCCCCCCCCCCTGCCTCCTTTTCATCATAAAATTCCTTTACTGTATTTTTTCTTTAATGCAATATTGTATCAGGTGTTTTTGTATTGTAAAAAGTAATTACTATTGACCTCAAAATATCTTCTTAATATCAAGTGCACAGTAGGTAGTAGACAGCTATCAAACAGGGAGGTACTACCACTTGGGAAGATATTGGAAGCATAATGTGTTGCCTAATGGTAGACTCTGCTGCCATATGGCATCACAAAAATTTTTACCAAGTCCCAGGTTGCTGATCTGACTTTCTGCCTCATTTACACACAATTGCAGGATCTCAATTGTTTCTCTTACTTTGATAACACAACATACATATATTGTTTCTCACTGTTATTCTTTTTTGTAATTATTATTATTATTATTATTATTATTATTATTATTATTATTATTATTATTATTTTGCCCCCAGGCCCTGATGTGCGTCATTGACCTGTGCCCTGGTGGGCTATCTCGTTTAAAAAAATAATGGCCTCAAAATATCCATGATTTTGGTCAGATTTAAAAAAAAATGGTGGGGGGGGGGGCAGCTGGGTGGGCTCGCTGTGCTTGCCATGTTCCCCCCACCCACAACTTCTTGAATATTCCTGGATCCACCCCTGGATTAGTATAACACCACTCAACCATGGCAGTGATCACACCATTTGACTCCAGGTAACTTTCTAGAAAAAATTAACTTTCCCTATCTCTTATCTGGGTTGCTATTGACATCTGTTCTAATGCACTTGTAGTAAGATAGATATTAAGTAAGATCACCAAACAAGTCAGCATTGGTTCAGTATGTATAGTACAATATATACTGTAGACAATAACACCCTATTGAAATTTTGAAAAGATTTGTGGAGTTGCCATATACAGGTATAGAGGAAAGAATACTAACTTAACCCAACCTGACCTTACCCTGTGGAGGTATGGGTTTGGGTTCACACTCAGGATGGGTTGGAGAAAGGAAACTCACAATGTGCTCTCTGTATACATGTTGTATTGGATGTACAATGCAGCTTGGTGCTGGGAAGTGGCAGCGTGGTTGCAAGCGTGATGTAGAGAGAGCTGGTTGGTGAGGGTGCTCAGAGGAGGACGGCTTGTGGGTCGCCATGCTCGCCGGCGGGAGCGAGGACCGCCAGGCAGCGGCGGAGGAGGAGGTGTAGCTTGCTGCGGCTGTAACTAGAAGAGGAGAGAGGTCACCACGAGGTCAGGTCTTAAATAGCGGGGGTAGGCGTGGCTTAGTAGTTGACCTCCGTGATGTATGGCAGCGCTGGTTGACCCAGACCATGAGGCACACACTGTGGAATTCGCGGGGCTGCTACTCAGCGACACACAGCGTTTGTAGGGGAGAAATCCACTACAACCCAACGTGTGTGTGTGTGCGCTCCTGGTCTATACAGTTTTTTCTGTGGAAAAACACCATTAGAAATTTATGTACAGTACACTGTATACCGACATTGTCTATACATTACACATGCTAAACTGTATACTATACCTGTATAGTCTTAATATGTTAGTGTCGGAGAAAAAACCCTCAGACAAAGCCCTCTAGCACAAATAATAATAAGCATTTTGTATTTTTATTATACGTATACAGTTTATGAACCTAACCTAACCTATTTTGCACTGTAACGGGGGATTTTGTCCTACAGTACTTTACATTTTAACTGGGGGAGCTTTTGTCCTGACTCCCTTAATATACATGCCAAACCAATATTAAATCTTTATTATGATTTTACTTAAAAATAATTATTGTTCCTATCATTATACGTTGAAGTGTAGAGGGAAAAGGAATACTGTACTGTATAGTATACAGATTACAGTAAAAACTTATATATTGTACTAATGTCTAGGCTCACACGTATGAATATTCATCTGTTGACTCAAGGAACTATTACAGAGCTAAAGGAAGATTTTAATCATATACGTTTATGAAACATTGTTGTCTCATACGTTTTGCGACATGTTTTCAGTGTTGCCAATTGTGAGGGTAATCTAATCATCATATATTTGTGAATCCAACAGTGTTATTACCTCATGAAGTACACATATTTGTACGTCTATTAAATATACTTCTTCGATATATTGAAATATCAAGAAAGTGGATTACGTGTGCCAAAAGAATTTATTGGTTATACAAATTGTCAGAAGTGCCCGCAGTTTCCAGTTTAGCGCTTTTTTGTTTTTTGGCCTAATCTACCGCCAAAATTTCAAGTATTATAAAAGAAGATCTTAAAGTAAAATAGGAAGAAATGGTGAACGGTGTTACACAGCTCAGCTCCTCTTATGAAATGTTTTGTGACAAGAAAAACTGTCTTCTAATATCTTAGAGCATATCCTTTCTTTTATCCTCTTCACCACTGATCAGCTCGTAGCCGCTTGGGCGATCGGTCACGTCTCTCACGCACTGTTGGCAAGTACTAGTTGAACTTCAGCGTGTAAATAAGCAACTTGAAACTGAATTACCGGATCCAACCAAATTGCTAAGTGACCTTGTTCATCTTGTTGAAAGAAAGGAGATTTAGTACATAACTAAAATCCACATCCGTACCTAGGACACGAGTTTGAAAAGCAGATGTCACAGTGCAAGTTTCCGGATGAAATCACACGCATTGAGTTCCATTTTTTTTAGAAGCTTCATCACGTATTATGGAAACAAAACAGACAGGGATGCAACAGAAGAAAATTCCTTAAGTGACCTCTCTTGAATTAGCTTTGACAGTGGTCCATTCCAGCGCTGATGTGGAAGGCATCTTTAGTCATGAGTATTGTCGAGTCAAAACTTCAAAACAGTACTTTGCATCAAGTTTAAATACAATGCTATCAAGTGTAGACTAAGAAGGCATGGAAGTTGTTGTTAATTTTTATGATTATTAACTGCCGATCAGTGGTGAAAAAAATAAAAGTAAAGACATATGAGTCATCACAACCACAACAGGATCCTCGCATGAACTGCAACAAGCTGAAAGTGACCTAGGACAAGATAAAGACATCGAGGAGGAGATGCAGATTGGGATCAAGCAGATGTGGAATACTGATGAGTAGTATCACATCATTTGAATCAGTAATATTTGTATAATTTACCACAACTACAGTAATTCCTGGCACTTTTATTAGCTTCATTTATAAGTTTAGCGCTTTTTGAAAGGAATCTAGCGCCATGTGAAATTTTCAGTTGGCAACTATGAGTAGCTTTCGTTGGACTTGGAAACACTGGAGAAATTGGTCAATAAAGGCGCATAATTTGATCAACGAAGAACAAACACGCAAAGGAAAAAGAGAAGGAACACGTGACTGGTGCTGGTCATGTGGCACAAGGCACTGTAAGTTATGGAGACGAAGAAGATATGAGTGAAAATTAAGCCCGAAGAACAAGAAACGCAGTTCCTCCCGAGCCCTGACACATGGGTGCTGACGCTGGCCATCATCACTGCTATTACTTTGGCGTAACGAAAGACAAGTATTACTGGTTCCTGAACTAGTGTCTTAAGATCCAGTGATTTTGTCAGGTATTATGTTGAGACCCCGATGACAGGTTCTTCACGACCGACCCATGGATGTGGAGGTCGACCCGAGGATGGAGGTCGACCAGAGGATGGAGGTTGACTGCATACAGGAGGTAGGTAAATTATCCTACAATGACCCACTTAGTACAGTTCTCGGTTTAATATTCCGTGTGGTGGAACCCCTCAGCTAGGAAGTAAGGTTAGGTAGGTTTCTTGGTTAGGTTGGTGAGGTCTATTAACAATGCTTCTGCTGCTTGTTTTTCTTATCAACTAAGGTTAAGTTTGGTTTGTTTTAGAAATAACTACTTTTTAACACATTTGCACAAACTACGAAAGTGTCCACTATAAAACACACTGAAATTATAGTGTTTTTAAAATTATTTTCTATGAGAAATGGGTGGTGGGTCAGTTATCAATTATTATCTTTGCAAATCCTTGTAATATCTTCAAATTGCCTGTATAGTACTTGCCAACGGTGCGTGCGTAACAGCGACGTGACCGACCGCCCAAGTGGCTAACAAGCTGATCGGTGGTGAAGAGAATAAAAGTAAATGCCCTATCTATGAATAGAGGTTAAGGAAGGTAATTTTACCCACAGTTGATTATAGGAAATGAAAAGAGGAAAAGATTAAGGCATAATATTTTATGAGATACAGTACTGTACAGTATATGACAATGAGGCATGTGAGGGCATGGACCAACTGAATAATTATTTGTAGTAGAGTATTATACTGTACAGTAGTTGATACTGTAACTGAAGCAATTTACCTGAGTACAGTACAGTACAGTACAGTATGTTATACACTCTGAATCTGTGGAAAGGTTTGAAAAAATGTACATATAAACAGTAGAGCACACAAGACCAGAAATTTTATTTATAAAGCTCATAAAAAGTGTAACCACTAAGATGTTGCAGCTGAACCCAAAGTGATCATGGAACTCAGGAGCTGGAAACACAGGGTAATTAAGCTTATTCTAGAATGTCATCTGTCAGGATCTGTGAAAATAATGCAAAATTAAGTAGGAAAGTTTGTTTATTATAATTTAAAAAACAAAATTCTGAAGCTGTTGGTTGTTTGTTTATATGGAACATTTTGAAACGAAATGCTCAGAATGTACTGAAGGTGACATCATCAGGAGGTAGCACATAGACATACCTGTTCTGTACTGTATTAGTGTTGGGAGAAAACATGCAAAAATAGTACAGGGTACTGCATAAATTGAAAATCATAATCTGCATACTGTAGTTGGAAATCCATAACCCAAGTCATCTTCAACCTGGGGAGTGTCATGTGTTTTAATGATCAATCTGTCAGTCAGTCACTAATTCCCTGTTAAGGCAAGAAGTGAATTCAAACTTTGCTTAACCTTTAATGTTATAAAGTTTGGTACTTTGTTAGCCAGACTATTTGGCTGATGTTTTGTTAACTCTGACTCTTGGGTAAAATTTACCCCCTTGTAGTGGTGAGGACCTTGTTCCACTCTGAGCCTTGTGTGAGTATTTATGTGGCCTGTTCTTTTTTCCTACTCAGTGCCTCAGTTATAAGATCAGTTACCTTTCTTCCTGCTGCAGCTGGCCAAACTGGAGACGAACAGAAAGTAACTAAAGGCTTTACTTGCTTTGGCAGTACCTGTATAAGATCCATTTGATTGTGTGACAAAAATACAGTATACAGTACAGAAGGCTCAAGTGACAGTGCTTTTTTAATTGACTTTCATTGCTACAGTTGTGAAACTATACTTAATGTATCTGTGTTTGCTTTTTTCTTTAATCTTTTTTTGCATATTGAGTATTATTATTATTTTACAGTATTTGTTCATTAATTATTATTATTATTAATTTTTTTTTTAAATAAACTAACTATTGGTACAGTATTACTGTTATTCCTGTGATTAATGTACTAAATTGAACAATCAGAGACAGGGTTTTTGAATAGATATTGATATATTTGTGCTTTCTTACAGGGAGATAAGGGGCTGAGACGTTTACTTCCTCTCTACCAATTTCTGCAGAGCTCTTGCTTGAAAGCTGCTGTTGACATCTTTGTACGTGGTTTCAAAAGTGCCCAGTATGTTCAAGACAATCTGAATACACAAGTTATGCCTGATATGAGACTTATGGATCTATTTCATCAGATGAATAATAAAACTAAAACTAATGACAAAAAGAAAGGAAAGAACAAGGGTGGAAAAGATCCTCAACCACAGCAGCCTCATATACAGATGAGGAAATCAAAACAGTTCACCAATATTAGAGAGAATGGTGACATCCTATCGCAGGTTACAGTGAAGGATTTACTGGTGCCCAACCATGAAAAGTGCAAAATCCTCCATGAGTTGGATCTGATTTTCATTTTGAATGTGATAATCAATGAAATGTTACAGTATAAGCTCAGTGATTCTTTGCTGGAATCCCTAATCCAGATAAAAGACACTAGGACTGTCCTCTTTCATCCACGATATAATTTCAGTACGAAAAATTTTGATGAATGTCTGGAGAAATTAAATAAAGCAATGAAAGTCTTATATAATCATCTGGATTACTCAAAAGAACAACTTGAAATTGACGTGCTTCATTGCCGCCAGGAAGCACAAATGGACGATCAGATAGTCGACAATATTGTAGGTATGTATTGGATAAACTTTTATGTAAGCTGCAGGTTAATAGTCATTTAAGAGTAAAGCCATGAAAATTAATGCAGTTTATGCTGGAAGCTGACTGTGTTTTGTCCCTCTTGTGCATTGTATTCTTTTTTAATCCTCTGTTGCTCATTGTGGGCAGTTACTCTCACCCTCTCATTGAGGGGGGGGGGGGATTACAGTGCAGGTTCATTACTGTATTGGTAATAAAATATAGATGAGAAGTCAAATACAGGTATATTGCTTATTTAATATACCTGTCAGCACTGTACTAATAAAAGTTGTAACCAGATTTTGCATAAAATTTTCGCCATTTAATTAATTTTGCCACCCTCTGAAATTTATCTTGCAGACATCCATGCCTGATCAGTAAAGGTGAGGGGAATATAGACTCGGTATTTGTTCACCTAACTTGAGTTCATAATTAAGAAATATTACATACCCAGTACAGTAAGTCCTCTTTTAACGTTATGGTTCCGTTCCGGAAACAATGTTAACGGAATCAATTTTTCCCATAAGAAATAGATAAATTATGGGAGTTACGTTTCCCAGCCTCCCACTACCCCATAAAACACATTACGTATACAGAAGTTCAATGTCATTTTTATAGAAAATGGTATACAGTATATATAAATAAACTAAATCATTTTGTATTGTACTCAGTGATGGACGGAGGTGTCTGGTGGGTAGTGGAGAGGAGGAGGAGGAGGGTGGCTCCTCCTTCCGGTTTAAAACCTCCATTTTAGTAGCAAGGCTAATGGTCTTACGTTGCTTCTTCACAACACTGGCGTCAGTAGCACTTGATGGGCGTTTGGAAGCCATTTCGATGGTTATAGTACAGTTATAAGAGTAAAAACACACGCACGAACGCTGTGGTAACCTAACAAAGACTGGGGACGCCGTCTGCGGGTGAGAGTGTAGCGCGTCAAGATGTGATGCGTCGTACAAAGTAGCCCTTGATGGCTTTATACTGAATCGGCGGGATGTTATGCAAATCATGAGTATCTAAAGAATAGCGACGTTATAACGAAAGAACGTTATCAGGGGCAACGTTAAGTGAGGACGTACTGTAGGATATAGATAATTGCATCTTGTATTTTCTTGAAATTAGATTTTTACTTTGTCCTAATTTTCTTTTTCTTTATTTTATTTATTTACTTTTTACAGAGAAGCTCCGTTTTGAAATCCACAAGAAGTATGCACCGCCTCAGAACTACATTGTCCCCAATATTTCTCGGATACAGTAAGTTAATTTAAGTTTACTTTCCTTGTTTGAGTTTTTTAGGGTTGAAAATAATCTTTATTAGACTTACATTCACTCTTATTGCTGCAACATAGATTCTCTCTTTATTCACTGTCATATATTCACTCTTACTGCTGCAACATAGATTCTCTCTGTATTCACTGTCATACATTCACTCTTACTGCTGCAACATAGATTCTCTCTGTATTCACTGTCATACATTCACTCTTACTGCTGCAACATAGATTCTCTCTTTATTCACTGTCATACATTCACTCTTATTGCTGCAACATAGATTCTCTCTTTATTCACTGTCATACATTCACTCTTACTGCTGCAACATAGATTCTCTCTGTATTCACTGTCATACATTCACTCTTACTGCTGCAACATAGATTCTCTCTTTATTCACTGTCATACTTTCACTCTTACTGCTGCAACATAGATTCTCTCTGTATTCACTGTCATACATTCACTCTTACTGCTGCAACATAGATTCTCTCTGTATTCACTCTCATACATTCACTCTTACTGCTGCAACATAGATTCTCTCTGTATTCATTCTCATACATTCACTCTTACTGCTGCAACATAGATTCTCTCTGTATTCAGTCATACATTCACTCTTACTGCTGCAACATAGATTCTCTCTGTATTCACTGTCATACATTCACTCTTACTGCTGCAACATAGATTCTCTCTGTATTCACTCTCATACATTCACTCTTACTGCTGCAACATAGATTCTCTCTGTATTCAGTCATACATTCACTCTTATTGCTGCAACATACTCTCATTTTATTCAGTCATACATTTATTGCTGCACTGTGCTGTTCCTTCAGACACAAGTCACCTTGAATCTGTACAACTGTAGTCTAGACAGTAGTTATTTAGGGAAGGAGAGTTACAGTTTGTGAAGAAAGTGTTTTGAAATGATGGAATTATTGTTGAAGTGAGAAAAAAATAATGTCTTAAGAACTATTTAGTATACCCTCTTCACCCCTGGTCAGCTTACTAACTGTATCATACTGTTTCCTCTTTCCCTTTAGTGTCCGAATATTAAATATATCTTAAATGTTTTATTTTTTAGAGAAACCTTAAATATTTTCAGTATTTTACACTAAATATGTTTTTAAGTTTAATGATAAAAGAAGAAAGTGTTGAAGTGAGAGAAGTACTGTAGTATCTTCAGGGAGTATTTAGTGGGCAACAGTCCTGTACCCTCTTGCACATTCTTTCTTTCCTCCCAACATGTAACTTTTATCTTTTACTCGTTCAGCACAAATTTGCGCAGCACAAACTTCATAGGAATATATCTTTTGTGTTAAGTAGGGATTATCTGTACAGTGTAATGTAACATAAGCATAAAATAAATGGAATAGAACCCCCCCCCCCCCTCCCGGAAAAAAACAAAAAACAAAACAATAAACACAAAGACATGCACTACATCCACAAGTGCACAAGGTTTAGGATAAATGAGAATTATGTTCTCCTCCCTTACACATATGAGCTTGTGTCAAAGAACAAACATTCAGTGGAAAGTTATTGTTCAATCAAGTATTTGCATGAAAACTTTTTAGGGTATAAAAGCTTCATATACTGTATGTACAGAGTTCAGGATCTTTTCCTGAAGAAGAGCGTGCTAACTGAATTGGCCCTAAAGGGGTCATTATTCCATATATACAGTATGAGAATTTGTTTCTAAAGTCACTTATATATGATTGACATGAATGTTTCATTTGGTACAATATTGGTAAACACATTGTTGAAGTTTTTAAGTATTTATTTAACTAAATGAATGAGAAGTAAACATATGGCTCAACTCTGGGTGAAGTGAATCCTCTCTTCATCATGGAAAGAATAGGAAAGGCAGCCTGTAATGATGGTGGTGATGGATGAGATGGTAATAAGAGGTGAGGGAGGCGGTGGTAACTGGCTGTTGCTCTGCCGGGCGTTGGTGTCTACAGCCTCAAATTTGTTGTCATCAATTGTTGTCTTTATCTATGATGATGATTTAATATAGCTCTACAACAGGATGTTATGATAAAGATGTTTTAACAACAAAAACATACAAGAAAACTGAGGGGTTAGTGCCTGCCAGCACCCCACACACACACACACACACACAAAGACTGGTGGATAAATATGAGGTTTGGCAAGTAAGCTGGCTGATAGATCTGTCAGTATAAAGTGGACCTTGTCATTAAACATACAGTACAGTGTCTAATTTCAATAAAAATATCAAAAAATTTTATGGTGACAATGTTTACTTTTTCAGTAAACTTTCAAACCTTAATGCCTTTCTTAGGCAACTCATTTGTAGTCAACAGGTCCATGGGTTGAAAACTTAAGGTTTCCAAGATCTAGACACATAGTTAGAACTAAGAGAGCTCAGGCTCTCAATTGGCTCAGCCATGTCAAAATGTAGTTAATATTTTTGACTTCATATCTGTATTTTTCGGGTTAAATAAACTGTTTCAATATCAATGTCAATAATTTGAAAGTAAGTTAATATTTTGTCACCATATCCTGGTTTCTATATACAAAGGGATAGAACATTTATGATTACACTACAGGCTGAAAGCATTTTAAGTCTCACTTGCACCAGCACCAGTGTTCTTCTCTAAAATCATCATGATATAAAAAGCACTATTTCATGATCAACTTCTGTTACACCTCACCTATGTAACCCTCACTATAGGAGGAGGGAAAGAACCAGAGTTGGCTGACCCACTGACCCAGGCTCATTTACAAAATGGATTTTTAGGATCAATATCCCAATTATAGCCTTTTACTGCTTGGTTTGGGTGATTCTTGTATCTAAATCCAGCTAGAAGTAAACACTAAAAGTCTCAAGTGCTTGTGCAGTTGTGTACCCCACAATATGAGCTACCAGTAAGTTCTTATTCAAGGAAATAACCTTACAAGCCCCCAAGTGCCACACAGTCGAAAGTTGTAGTGGTCTCCTCCAGAAAGCAACTCGGAAACACTTGCCAGTGCCCAAGCTCCTCCTCGAAGGATGGATATCATTCACATCCCTCTTAGGAATGACAAAGTAGATGCAACTCCATGTAAATAGTGTGCCTTAGGTACGGAGTATCATACATCCTGGTTGAATAACTTTGGTAGTCTATTCTCTTCTATTAAATGATTATGGTTTAGTGACTTCAACTTATACAGTAGATTTGAAATAAATTCCTGCTATTGTAAATGATGTGTTCATCTTAGGGAAGATGATAATGCCTCCAACAAACAGAGTGAATGGTGAAGGCCATCCTCCAGCTTCCAAGTCTGGAAACAAATTCCCAGTGACCCAAAGCTGGGAGTCTTACTTTTAGAGTGAAACTTATTACATGATCTGAGACGAGCCCAAGATATTGCCTGCCATAAAGATATAAAATTATCAAAACTTGGAGCTCAGACAAATGTTTCCCTTAGGCAAGAGCTAGGAGGAAAGTGGCTTGTATTGTAACCATCTCCATCCTCACTGCCACTTAAGGCCCTACAGAATCCAGAAACCTAAGAACTGGTTCTAAATGTCAAGAAACCTCCATTTTACTAGAAGGATACTTAAGGAAGGAAATGTTAGAAAGATCTGCCAATAACTTCAATGTTAGGTCTAAAGCAAAATCCTCACTTATAAGACTTAACATATTAGCTCATGAACTTGGCATTTGAAAATTCCAAACATCAAAAATTCAATATCAGAGCTGTCTCAAAAGGTAACTTTCATTATCTTCATTATTATTGGAAATGATTGCAAGTAGGTTTGATTACAGTATACCGTACTGCATCAGTACATTCAGTCTTTAGTGGTACTGTAGGTGCTGTATCCATAATGGTCTCTTATAGAAACTTGAATCTGAAGGAAAGCATAAACTAGCTTTTGTACTGTTCCAGTCACATGTTAGGTCCTAGGAGCCTTGGGTTTACAACCCACAGACTAGTTTACTATGCATTGTAGTACATGGGTCACCCAATCCAAGCTTAGCTATAATATAGTATTGCAAGATGAGTCTCCATAGTTTTCAGATACAGTTTTATTTTAACTGTTCTCCATTTTATATGGTATATTGATTTGCAACTCCTCAACCATCCATTTGTGCTTCTGTTTCATCCAAGTTTGCTTGTAGAATTAAGCTAAAAATATACAGTATACTGTACAGTGATGCAATTTTTTAGGCATCTTTAATTGTGTGCTGATAAGGTTTTCAAGATGCTGGGTTGAAATTTGCTCCATTGGAGCATATTAGGTCTGAGTCACAACCTCAACTAGTTTTCTCATGTTTTCCTCAGAGAGCTGTCTGAGTTTGTGATTGAAGATCTGGTGAAATTTATTAATGACCAGCGATATGCTGTGCCTGTTGAAAAGTCCCCCATACTGTTGTGTGGTAATCGAGGCACGGGAAAGTCTCTACTACTCCAGAGCTTAGCTGCTTCATTCAGCAGGGAACCGTCATCAGAGTTCTTGCTAATACTACACTTAGATGAATGGAGCAGACAGCGGTTGTCTCATCAAAGTAGTTGGACCAGGGATGCCAAAACAGAATTCTGGGACCAAATATTCAGGTGTGTTAAAAGCCTAGCTCCAGAATTGGTGAGTATCTATGGCATGGATTCAATAAAAGCAGTAATACAGATGCATATGAATCAGGTTCTTTTTCTTATTAACTGGGACATTGATATTGTGGGTCCAATATGTAAAGAGATGAGTTATGGAACATGGGTAGTGAAGTACCACGGCCTCCACTCTCCATCAGTAGATTGGCAAGTGCTTAAAGTGGAACCGTATGGAGAAGTACAAGTGAGGGCAGCACTAAAGAGTTTAAACCTTAAAGACAGTAAAATTGTCCTTCGTTTGTATGAAGACTGTGAGTACAAGGAAATCCTTACTACTTTTGACATGATCAAGATTTTTAGTGAGATGAGAAGCACTGTTACTCATGGGACACATTTTGAGATTGCAGAATTATATGTGAAAAAAAAGTTGAACAGTTGTGGTGATGTAGAATGTATAACAAAATTAGGAGAGATTGCTTTCAATGCTATTTGTAAGAATAAACTTGTACTGAAAGAAAGTGATCTCTGTAATATTTCAAGTGAAATTAAGGAAAAATTTTTGGAACATCATGAAGAGAAGGGCACAACATTCATTCATCTTATTGCCCGGGACTTTATGGCAGCAAAGTATGTCATCTCCCAGCCCACAAAGGCTTGTCAGGAATGGCTTTGTAATGTTCATGTCTTCAAAGGAGTTTTCAAATTTGTTTGTTCAATGTGGTGTAAAGACCTTCATTGTTTGAAAGGCAATATCCATTACATAAAAACCTATCTGATTAAACTGCTTGATGTCAAGAGTCTTGCTGGAGAAGCAGCTAACAAAGAAATTGGCAGTAAAAAGGGAAAACAAAAACCTAAAAAGAATTTTCCTGTTTTTGTCAATCCATTGAAAGATCCATTCACAAAATGGGGATTCATCTTACACCTTGATGATGCATGTCATGGGCGCAGACAAATTTTAGAGCTGGTGGCCCATCTCCTCTCCCATATTCGCTGTTGGCTAATTAAGACTGAAAAATGTTGGGACGATGGAAAATTAAGAAGATTTGAGAAAATTCTGAACAATGTGGAATTGAGGGAAGATGATCCAGTTACTATTAAGCTTGAGAGTAGTACAGACACAAACATGCTTATTAAAATTTGGAATAAGATTAAAAACATTAAGAAATTGTTTCACTGCTGCCATGTTAAATTGATTTTGAAGTACAATAAAACTGTCCCATTAGTAGATCAGGATAATGTTGTAAAGCTTTTTGATGCCATCTCCAATGCTAAAAGTCCGGTGTACATCACTCATTACACCGGCCCTTTTCTCTGTTCAGATATCCCAGACATTCTGAAATGCTTTTGCTTGAGAAAACTAGTGAGGGTGAATGTAAGTGTTTATGATGTAGCTTCTCTCACTGAGATTATGTCTTGTAAAGGATTGGGCACTCTCAGAGACATGTCAGTAAGAGTTGAGTTAAAGCTCTGTGAACAGCTAAAGCTCTCTGAAGAAGCTGTCCTGCCCTCACACCGCATAGAAATACCGGATCATGTCGACCTGGACCTCACCATTAAATATTTTGTCAATTTTCAGAAATTGCTCGATAGATTTAAATTCCGTCACCGCCTCTTTTCACTGAGCATTCATGATGTATTTGTTTGGAACGGATTTAAATTAAACTTGTCAGCCTTCAAAAACCTAAAAAATTTAAATATAAGGTTTGAACCAAATATGGGAGAAGAAATTGAACAAGAGAGAAAAAAGTGTGATGTTAGAGTGGGAATTATGGAAACAGAGGAGCTTGACAAGGTATCTACCAAACTACAGATACTTCCGAGGTGCTCTTGGATGTTTAACCTTGTTGTGTCACTGTCCCTGCCTTCCAGGTTAGAAAGACTCCTGTTGAGAAATGTGGAATTCTACAATAACTCCAATAATTATCTGTTGCTAAATTTCTTTGGAAATTATAAAATAGACAGACTAGTGATATTAGATTCTCTGCTTTCCTTGAAAGGAGTCAAACAAGTCATCAGTACTCATACTGAAATTATTGATGATGACTTAGCAACAATGACAAAAAAGTTGAGAGTAGACAGATCAAGTAGTTGTGAAGTTCGGGAACTAATTGCCAAGAAACCGAGGCTCACGAAAGAAGAGCGTGCCGAACGAAGGAGTAATAAACCCCCTGGGAAAGAAATTATAATAACATCGGAGTTGTCTTTATGTACAAATTGTGAAAGTTTCCCCTGTTTGTGTACTGGAGTTGGCAGTGGAGACACCTTTGAAGATCTGATTTATGTCATTGAAGATATTTATTTATATGATATCCTGAGCTTCACCTACACAAGTAATATTGTCACTGTCAGGAAGGATATATGTGGAGATTTAAGAGTCCACTGTATCATATCTCAGCTGGATGATTCCACAGCAAGTGAGATACACTCTTCCAATACTTGGCTAAGTAAGCTATTCTTGACATTGACTCTAGCACAGTGTATCTGCTTTGACTGTACTAATCTGTCCTACAAAGGCGCCATGGCAATGGTTCATCATTTCAAGAACATTAAAAGGGATCATAGCTCTGACGGAGTGGTTGAGCCCTTTTCTTTAACGATAGAATCCATCTGCCACTCTACGACCCATGATCAATTCTTATGCCTCATTGACTTCATCAAAAGAGAGGAATGTCTTGCAGTTTTCAACTTCAGGTGTATGTGCATAAACAAATGCTTTAAAGTGAAGAAAACCTGTAGTGGTATGATATATCTGAATGATGTTGATAAAACTGACAGATAGATAACAGTACAGTATAGAAAATGAGAATTCTTACTTCTTTATTTTGTACATCACTTTAGTGTTGACATACTGTACATCTTACCCATAGTTATGTCACTGTGTTAGATGGTCTGATTTAATGCACTCTCTTAATCTTTAAAGAAGAAGATTTGTTGTGGAGTATAAGAATACCATTTTTTCTTCTGAGTTCAAGATTTTTAAGTCATGGTAGTGTTTTGAAAATAATTGGTTTTTTCAATATTTCAGATGATGGTGTCATAACTTAAACTTTTACCATCCTCCTTCAGTAATGATCTTGCTATCAGTGTAGCCAAGATACACAGAGTGAAAGTGGGCTCCATAAGAATGGCTTAAATCCCTCATTATTTTCACTCTTTCTTTTTACTCCGAGGGTTTTTGGGAGTCAGGTCTTGTAGCATATGTCCTCTGTATTACTGTTTGTGTGTTGTTAGTTTGAGGTGATGAAAAAGGTGGCCATTATACTGACAGCTTCTTGATGTTGTACTCTTGTTCTGCAACACTTTAGATTTAATTCAAAATTTATATAATATATATATATATATATATATATATATATATATATATATATATATATATATATATATATATATATATATATATATATATATATATATATATATATATATATATATATATATATATATAGTGATTATTTTTTTAATAACTATGATGTACAGTATATAATATACAGCTTTCAATTTTGTTGTGATGTTAATATGGTATTTAAGTACTGTAAAGTCACCCACAAAAGTTCTGTCACCTCTCCTACTGTTCCCTGAAGCAGTAGACATTTCTGTCCAGAAATGATTTGAATTCACAAATTTGAATTTTGGGGTTTGTGGCTCCTGAGGAGAGGCAACAGGCTATTTGTTGGTGACTGTACCTGTATATATTGTCACATTATGTAAATTATTTGTGAGGGTCAGTCAACTTTGATACATATAGCTAGTGGAGGGCTTTTAATCATCAGTTAAAACTTCCATTAATTTAATTGGACCAAATAAAGATTTTTCTCTTAAAAGTAGAATTGTGGAGATGTGACTTACCATGGAATGTTAAGTTATGAGCTTCTCACATCTTAGTCACAGATTATTGGTGTTGCAGGAGATGTTAATTTATCTTTATGATTGTTATGAATTAACCCAAGTCAACTGTTAACTACTCCTGTACCAATAGAATGTTTAGACTATGAGTGCTGTACTGTACCTGTATCAATGATTTTTTAAGAAGATGGTTGGCAACAGGTTCTGAGAGCACAGTTACCATACCAAACCTGTAATATATATTTTATAACTTTTTCTGTGTATTTTTTTATTATCACCTCAATAATTTTTTTTTAAGCATTGAAAAGAAGTTTGTTGTTTTTGTGTGATGTTTGGAAAGAATCTCGGTACAGTGCAGTGAAACCTTCATCTAATGGACTTTTGGGTCTAATGGTCCTCATTCTAACATACAGTACTGTATGTAGCAGAATCTAACAAATTGTAAATAGCACTTAATGGATTTGGAGATCTAATGGTCCTAGATCTAATACAGGCAAACCCCGTATTCATAGCCTCGGTATTCGTAACCTCGTTTATCCGCAACCAGTTTATTGTTACCCATTTCCACTATTCGCAATGGTTGCCCCATTTATTCGCAAATTCTTACGAGCAAAAATTTTGAACCGCGCGCCTCAGCCGTAGCGTAGGACAGCGTGTGTACGTATTCCTCCGCCATAAGCTTCCGCTCGCCTCGGTCTCACATGTGCTGGCGTGTGTTTTGTGTGATCTCGCAATGCCTAAGCAACCAGCTACTAAAACTCCCAGCAATGTTGCTAAGAGATCACGTGTGGCAGTTACATTGGAGGTGAAATTGGATATCATAAAAAGACATGAACACGGAGAAGGAACGTCAGTGATTGGGCACGTGCATGGCTTGGCTTCCTCTACGGTGCATTCTATAGTTAAAAGCGCCAACAAGATCAAAGAGCTGGCCGGGTCTGCAACACCACTGACTGCTACGAAGGTGACGAGGTTCCGTGATGCTGAGATGGAGAGTATGGAGCGGATGTTGAGCACGTGGATTGACGACTAGACCCAGCGACTTAAAACACCTTTATCGCAATGCATGATTCAACAGAAGGCAGTACAAATTGACAGCAATAATGAGAGTGAGGTGGCTGACGACCCTGGCAGTGAGGTGGCTGACGACCCTGGTAGTGAGGAGAGTGAGGTGGCTGACGACCCCAGCCTCCTCACATCCCAGTAAACCTTCACCCTCTCCCCTAATGTCAATTTCAGCAAGCAAGCAACACAGCACATCAGAGGTAAATTAACAGTCTACTTTTAAAACTTACCTCACACACCTACGCTGATAAACATTTAAACACTCAAACATGTGAAGTACCCCTGTATACTATAGTACTTGTAAACAAATACGCTTAATAAACTCAAAGTGTTTGTTATTTATGTTTATTTGATGTTATGCTTTTGTTTCTTTATTTATTTTATGTTCTATGTGTGACCACTCGTATCTCCCCTATTTACATTATTTATTATGGGAGAAATTGCTCCGCTATTCTCAATTTCGATATTCTCAACAAGTTTCATGCCCGTAGCCTTTGTGATAAGTGAGGCAGTCCTGTATACAGTATATGACATCTAATGGACTTTTGGGTCTAACTTGCTAAACAACCCCCACCCCTCATATACTCCATTAGGTGGAGGTTTGACTGTACTGTTATGTGATGGTTAACTCTGGAAATTAACCTCACATCAAGGTAAACTTATTCCACATCAGTACTGGTTCGATGATCCCCGACACCTCTTATCAGTTGTTGCTCTTATCTTTACAAACCCTCAACTGAAAAGGGTGTCATTGGGTGTCATATATACCGGTATATAGATACTGTATATATCATCATCATGAGTTTCTATCTTTTAATTTGAGTTTGATCTCTAAATAATAGTTAGTGTATGAAATTGCTTGAAAACGTTGCATATCAGAGACTCAATCTTGGAGTATTTCCTGGATAACTGATGAAACTACTACATGTGTTAACTACTGTATATATGTCTACCATATTCAGAATTTGGGTCAGTGTTATGGTTACTATGTGCTAAGTGCCTTTCACAGCTCAGTATATCTCAAAGTTGTTTATATTTTATACTATACTACAGTGGTCCGTCGGTTAACGAGCGCCTCGGTTAACGAGATTTCGGTTAACGAGTTACCTTCCATAAGATTCTTAACTTCGGTTAACGAACAATCCCTCGATTAACGAGTTTCTTACGAGCTGACCTCCACATGTTTTAGCTTGCATTTGGCGGTCCACCAGCTGTAGTATTAGTCCGCCAATACAGTAATCGGTTCTAGGGCTTAAATTCCTTACCCTTTTAGTAAATATCAAGAAGTTTATACTATTCAATAATTTTAAAAGTTTAATATTAAATTTTTTAGTCATTTTTACAATTATTGAACATAATTGAAGGTAGGGTTACTAGTTTGTGGCACGCCATCCAGCCTGCCAACACAGCATACAGGCGTCAGTCTTTGTGTCTTTTCAGTGGAGGTAACATCTTGCTTGAGACTCTCTTCAACTAAACGCTTTTTTTTCTGTGTTTACAAGCAAATTATTGGTCATTTTGAAATTTATTTTACATATTGACAATATATAGTGCAGTGCAGTGTTGATTTAAAGAAAATTATCTTGAATTACACCAAGAGAACTAAAATTTTATGGGTGAAATGATGCCATGGGGTGACTTCTCTTCTACCCCAATGTCTTCTCTTCTCCCTTCTCCTCCACCCCCATTCTAATTCCCATCATCATCATCATCATCATCCAGGAGCCTTCTTCATACACACCTCAAAGTAAGTGTACTTTTCTACCTTTTTTGTTGAATTTAGGCAATTGTCGGTGAGCTTGAACCAATTACCCAAAAACCCATTGAAACAATGGTTTCGGTTAACGAGCAACCTTCTAGAACGGATTGTGCTCGTTAACCGAGGGACCACTGTACTGTATATCTCATTGGTATATAATGTGTCCAAGAAAGGCCTTATAATATATTACCACAGGAGAGATTTTGAGCAGTTGTGTGATGGTTTATGTCAGGTGTGTCAGAACTTTATATTTTTCCATGAAAATATTATTGATTTAAAGTTATAGGTGAGATGCTTGATATTCCAATTGACTTTGTTGGTTAATTCTAGCCTAAGTTGCTTTCCTTTATGTGTGACATTGTTTTAAGAGATTATTGTGCATCAGTATAATAAATGACTTAAGAATACAGTTTGTGTTGTGTATTTACAAGCTGAGGATGTAACAGATAGAGAGAGAAAGAGATATTCCACTTATCTTTCCCTTTCCTGTTCGTTTTCTAAAATTATCCTTAATTCTAAAGCACTTTAACCCTCACCCCTTGCTCAGGGTCTGGGCAGGCTGTTAAATAGTGTTAAATCAAATGACTTAATTAGTTATTCATTATGCAGGTCTTTACTGTAATATAAAATTAAGCAGGACTTTAGGGAAGTGTAAAGAAATTTGTATTGAAACCTCATGGTCCCAGTTACAAAGAAAAATCTAAAGCACAAATTTTTGAGGAATTTTGTCAAGTTTAGGAGACATAAAGTTCAGTAGGGTGGATCTTTACAACAAGTGTCCCTAGAATATCAAGAATTATTCATCTGTCTTGTGTTTATAATGAGCTAAGTAATGTGGGAGATTCCAGCAGTCCAGTGCATGAAATGACTGAGAGATTATATAACAGTTTTAACTGAGTAACTTCACCATTGTGGTGGTACTAAAGATGCCCCAAAATCTTAATGTAGGAACTACCTGATATACAGTACCGGTACTTGTAAGAATCTCGGGTAAAAACTTAAATTTTGGTAATAACTTGTCATAATGACTCAAAAACGTAATTCCTTCTTTTAATATTTTGATGTTCAGTTTTGGTTTTTCTTTTATTCTGGGTATACTGTACCGTACTGTTCTATTGTACTGAACCCCAAAAATTATCACTAAGGGAGCCTCTTTCTTTTCTGGTTAGAATTTTGAGGCCAAGTTTTGTGAATTTGGTGTTTAAAAGTACTGTACTACTACACTACAGTACAGTATGTCAGTTTCAGCCAAAATTCTTTGAAATTGACAGAAACAGTATAACAAGCTCATAGCCATAGTGGTTTTTTTTAGTGTGATTTTGGGCTTAAAGGTTCTGTATACCAAGGTTATAGTGTTGCTGTTATGCTGTGGAAAATTATTGTGGATTTGGGAGGAAAGGTAACTCAAATTACTGTATACTGTATTGTATATAGCCATGGTGTCATGTTGAGACCAAAATGAACTTAATTTTGAAGTTAAAGTACTGTATTTAACCTTGTGTCATTTTGAAGGGAAAATTCTTGTGGATATGAAAAAAAGTACACCAAGGCCGTCATGTTGAGGAAGAGTCATGTAGGGAGGAATTCAGTAAATAAAGTTTGTATGTCATATAGCTCTCTATAAGACCGTGTACAGTACTGTTTTGTAAATTTTGTATGGACCTTGTAAGGCTGGTCAGTAGTACAGGGTACAGCACATACCTGTACCTTACTGTATAAAAAGCCCACCAGTTAATAATTTATAAGTTAAATTCAACCAGTGTGAATTCATTGCACAAATGGTTATACTGTATGCACAGTATACATTTACAGTACAGTATACTGTATATATATACCTGTACAGTCGAGTCTCAATAATTCTCGAAATACAAATTTGCATTCTTAAATTTGTGGGTACGCTGTACCTATATTACTATAGTACCTCTTTTAAATTTTGCAGTCAGATATTCATAATTTGTGGCACAGTGCCAACTACTGTACATCAATCAGAGCACCTTACTCAAATCTGAGGGTTGGCAATCACAGTCCTTCACTCTAAATATTTTCAGACTGTTTTTACCAATCCTACAAGACTTTGTCTGTCTGGGGACCCTGTATTTATTTTAATCCATTCATCCCAGTCTCTGCCTTCCACTTGCCCTCCTACCCTCAACTTTGTCCATCAATATTTCTGTTATTATCCCCTCATCCCTAATTATATGACCAAAGTATTGATTTTTTTCCTGTGCATTTCAAGTATTGTTATTAAAGTTTATTCTAACCTTAGAACTTCATATGTTTTCTTGTCTGTGTAACTTACTCTTAAAATTTGTTTATAACACCACATTTCAAAAGCCTCCGACCACTTTCTGGTGTCAGCTGAAAGTGTCCAGGCTTTTGACCCATACATCAGCCAAGCTATACCATTTTTCATTATGCTCACAGCTGCCTCAACTTCTGTTCCTAAAATTGGTACAGTAGTTCTGTCTTTATATTTCCTTTTCGTTTCTCACCTCTATTCTTTCCTTTTTCTTCTACATACTCAGTCCATCTCTCGTTTATGTCGCCCTTACACAGGATGTTATTATCTTTGCCTTTAATGGTCCCACCTCATGTATTTCTTTTTTCTAGTTTATATGTGCAATTTTTCTGTACATTTTTGTAGAGTTATGGCTTCTGTTATCATCCATCTTCTTGCATTTCCTTTCTTGATCATTTTCCATTGCCTGTCTACAATCCTTTTTAATTTTTTGTTAAGTTTCTATGTAAGCCTCACTTTGTTTTATAATATTTCATCTATCTATTTTCTTTAAAATTTCATTGTCATCCACTCACTTTTAGCTTTGTTCCTCCTATGACCTATAGGTGTTTCCTCAATCTCTAGCATTATTTCTTTGTAATTATTAAGTTGTTGTCCTGGTTCTTGTTCATCCAAGTCACCCTCTAGCAATGCTGAAAATATATTTTTGGTTTCAATTTCATATTCAATCCCAGCTCCTGTTTGGAGCTTACCTAACTCCCATTTGATTTTGTCCACACTTTTTTTTCTTTTAATGTTTGAAAGTTTAGCCTCACTAAACTCATTAATGGGACTTGATCTGACCCACGATTTGCCCCTGGATAGGTCTTGGTTCAAGTAATTGAATTTGTGTCTTTTCTGAATTAAATTGTAATTTATTTTATCACTGAAAGTGTTATTTACATTGTCCTGGGGTGATATCCATGTATAGAGATGCCTAGGGTGTTGTTCAAACCATGTATTTGCAATTACTATCTTGTTTACCTTACAAAAGTCTATTAATATTTCTCCTCTTTCATTTCTGTTACCCAACCCATGTGGTCCTACTTCTGGTGCTTCTTTTTCTTTCCCAACCTTTGTGTTAAAGTCCTCCGTATAATCAGACATTCATTAAACCTCACGGTGTCTTTTGCTTTCTTTAAATCTTCATAAAGTTTTTCTAAGACATCATCATCACTATCATTTGTTGGTGCATAAACTTGTACCTGTATTTTTACCAAGACCACAGGTTTAGCATTAAAGTTGACTTACAAAACTATCTGACACTGCCCAATGTGCCTTTACACTACTGCTCAACTTTTGGTTTACAAGAATGCCAACTAATGCTATTTGAACCTGTCCATCTTACTTCACTTAATCTCAGAATGTCCCACTGCAGTCTTTTCATTTCCTTACAAACATTTGCATCCTTACCAGCCTCATATAATGTCTTCACATTCCATATTCCAATTTTTATTTTGTTCTTGTTCTTATTCTTTCTGTAATTGTTTGATCTATAAATGTTTGTTTTGCTTGGATAGTACTTGCTAACTCTCGGTGGCACACTGCCCACAAACACGGTTGGATCTTTAGGTGACGATGATCCAACAGGAACTCCCAAAAATGATTTATTGTGTCTGTCCATGATGTTTAATGTTTATTTTAGAATATTTTGGAACAGTTATATTTGCAGGTATATTTGCATTTAAATAAATTAAACCATAATTCACAATTTGATAATTCACGGTAGTATCTTTTGGTTCCTAACCCGTGAATTATCAAGACTCTATTTATATAATTATATCAGCCACTGTATTTATAAACTTAGCACTCATGATAAATGCAGAGTGAACAATAATAAACACAGGACTTGTTTGGCTGTGTGTTATAAGCTAGAACATTAAAAATATAGACATGAGTATGATAGGTAAAATATAATTCATATTTTATTATGTTATTACATATGTATATATCAATATGATATATAACCCTGGTGAGTACTGGACTGTATAATAAAAGGTAAATGTATATATGAGGGCCTTACTAAGACCACTGACCTAGGTAGACTAAGAGTATATTGTATAGCAGTGGAGCATGACACCTTCAGGAGATGAACCATATTTATCACATGTACAGCTGATCATAATAACATCTGTGTTGATTATGTATACAGATGATCACATTAAAAGCTGTTTTCATCATGTACAGCTGACCACAATAACAGCTGTGTCCACCATGTACAGCCAACCACAAGCTCTGCCGTGATCACCACATCCAGTTGACCACAACATGAGGAGTACTTAACATACTGCCAGACAACATTAAGTTACTAATCTTGCATACAATAGGTACAAACACATTGGCTGATACAGTGTTATTGTCCAACTAAACATTAAAAAAAAGGATAATTTCTCCGTCACGTATTCACAATTATTTAAGATTTTTGCAACATTATTAAATCTTAGCAATGTAAAGATAATAATGACTCATACCGACTCAACTATCACAAACACCATGAAGGCTCAATGACTCACAGATTCAACCATCACTCAATGACTCACACTGACTCAACCAACACAAACACCAAGATGACTCAGTGATCAAGAAGGTACTGTACGTTACTAACTTACTGATGACTTAATCACACAATGCATAGAATTTTACATACACAGGGAGACTATTCAAGGATTTTTGTCATAGGATAGAGATGATAGTGGAGTACTGTATTGTATCATGTTCATCCTAGGTACAGAAACATGTCTCGGTCATTTCAGCTAAGTTATGTCCGTCAAGATTCTTGGAGTTAATTACCGAACACTTTTTTTTTTTTAGTCCATTGTAGCTGTATTTTTTGTTGTTGTATATAGATAAATTAATCATAGTGGTTTACAATACAGTATTCGCACAATATATTACAGCTAAGATTTTCTGAGGAACTTGCCTAAGACAGCCACTATGGGTAAGAGAATATGGTATTGCCTGTCACATAAACTGTCATTTCTCTAAGGATTACTGTCAACAGGTCTGTTATGGTATTGCTTGTGTGACCAAATGGTTCAACACTCCCAATATTCATCACTGGTTGCATTCAGTTGTGCTTGAAAGAAAAAATTATCCTTCAAGCATAAAAATTCTCCAGGAGTTGGATCAGTGTGAGGTGGACACTGGTTGACCACACAGCCAAGACAATACATTTTAGTACTGTATTATCCTCGCTCACTGGTTACACTGCTTTGACTGTATTCTCCTGCAGCTTGATGTCATAGTGCCACCAGCTTGTTCACTGATGTCATAGTGCCACCAGCTTGATCACTGATGTCATAGTGCCACCAGCTTGATTACTAACATGTAGTGCCACCATTTTGATTACTGACATATAGTGCCATCGCTTTGATTACTGACATATAGTGCCACCACTTTGACCACTGACATGTAGTGCCATCACTTTGACCACTGACATATAGTGCCACCACTTTGATCACTGACATAAAGTGCCATCACTTTGACCACTGACATATAGTGCCACCACTCTGACCACTGACATGCAGTGCCATCACTGATTCCTGACATATAGTGCCATCACTGATTCCTGACATATAGTGCCACCACTTTGATCACTGACATAAAGTGCCATCACTTTGACCACTGACATATAGTGCCACCACTCTGACCACTGACATGCAGTGCCATCACTGATTCCTGACATATAGTGCCATCACTGATTCCTGACATATAGTGCCATCACTTTGACCACTGACATATAGTGCCATCACTTTGACCACTGACATATAGTGCCATCACTTTGACCAATGACATATAGTGCCATCACTTTGATCACTGACATATAGTGCCATCACTTTCACCACTGACATATAGTGCCATCGCTTTGATTACTGACATATAGTGCCATCACTTTGACCAATGACATATAGTGCCACCACTTTGATTACTGACATATAGTGCCATCACTTTGACCACTGACATATAGTGCCATCACTTTGACCACTGACATATAGTGCCACTTTGGACAGTTCACCACCGATCTACTCAGTGACGACACACTAGAAGCAGGAAACTATTTAGGTAGAAAGCTGCCATTGTGGTAGTGGTGTGGTCTTGGTCTGGGTATACCAAGGTCCTGGTTGAGGGTGTCGTGGTGGTCATGCCAGTAAGAGTCGTCGTGGGGTGGGATGCTCAGCCTGGTCGTGGCGTCCCTGGAGCTGACTGTAACAGCAGTCTGGTTATATCTGGGTGTGGACGGTGACCTCGGCTTCCTGTGGGGCAGTGATGATGTTAGTGATACTCTTTACACACACACACACACACATACTATGCAGCTATGTACAATTTGTGATTACAGTACAATCAAATAATTCTTCCTCCACCCCCCCCCCAGGTTACAGCGACAATTGAAGAACCTCGAAAAATCATTCTTTATTGTCTAGTGAGCTTACTAGGGGCAATGAGGATAAAGTAAAGTAAATTAAAGTTCTCCAATGTCTTTTAGAGTAATTCAAGAGGATGCTGTATTGGCCTAGTTAACTGATCAGTGCTAATTATCTATAAGTTGAACCTACCCTGGATGTTAGAATTCGTGTGACCTTATCAAACACATGTTATTGATTGGACAAAATGTAGATGTCTATCACAGAAATCCAGTACCCACTTACCTGGCCTTTTGAGTGATAAAGAATCAAATGACACTAATTATGGTATTGGTCAATCTATTCTGTATGGAACGTATATACAATCATAATACAGTTGTACCCTGATTTACGCGGTCAATTGAACCCACAGGGTACCGCGTAAAGTGAAAACCGCGTAAAGTGAACAACAGAACATATGGGATTAATTCCAATAGAGACTGGCCCGACCCCCAAACTCCACTTTTTGACGACACACAACTATGTTGTAGTAAAAATATTATCTTAACTTTATGATGGTATGCACACACAATTAATAATTAAGAGAAATATCAATAATATTAGTTTTTTTAACACTTACATTAGTAGAAAAGATGGCTGGGCACACGGGGATGGGGGATTGGTTCCGAGGCAGAGGGCAGATTATTGGCCCTCACCTGTATCACTTGTATCAATTGTATCACTATCCACCACAGAGGCTTGCAGGGCCTCTTTGTCAAACCCCTCAAAGTCCATATACTGTAAGTCCATATCCTCACTATAATTATCACTATCACTGACTTGGGCCGGTTGTGGTGGGTGGCGGGTGAAGAACTCGGTAATGTTTTGATGACTGGGCGACCTTGTGCTCATCCTGCCCGCGCCGCTTCCCGCGTATATGAGTAGATGCACCGCGGAAAGTGAAAGTTCGGTTCTGGCGAGGCACCTCGTAAATGAGAAATCGCGGAAAGTGAAACCGCGTAAAGCGGGGTAATACTGTAGTTTCCCCACATACCTAATTTGACCTTACTGTGGCCTTGGGTTGACCTGAGTACTTAATTAGTTTCAAGTGTGGAGCTGGTGAACCAATCCAGCAAGTCTGAATTAATATGACCTTCGGGTATTGATTGTTCAACATACAATACATACACACATCTACCACAGGCCCTCTCACCCACCTGGCAGACTGTGAAGATGGGGGACGATGGGACGTTGCCCGCTGATCCTGCACAGCTGTCGAGTCCCCGTAATACTGTTGAAACATATAACAGGTTGAGGTGACAGGCAAAACACAGCTCTCTCCTCCCACTGAAAAACTCTCATTTATATTTGCTTGTGCCTTTATGTTATTTATAATTGCTTGTGCTTTTGTGTGATTTATAATTGCTTCTGCTTTTATGTTATTTATAATTGCTTCTGCTTTTACCAGTATATTCAAGTGTGTGTTTTATAGAGCAAGTCTCTGAGGATGGTTGAAGTGTTTAGAGGTCTGAGGAATTGTATGGTATTTATGTAAAGAAAGAAGGACTTTTTTCAGGTATACAGTGGCAACAGATAAGGCACTCTCCACGTGTGTTCACCGACAGCCATGCTTGACATCAGCCGTGTCTATGATGCAGTTTGCTTCAGCTATAGAGCGACGACACTGAGTACAGCACTTCAGGTACATTGTGTATGAAGTTTCTAACACACTAGGTACTGCATTTCAGACATACTCTTACTGGATACAATATTTCAGAGACATTAGGTACATTGTTTTAGACATATTGAGGACAGTGTTTGAGAAACATTGGGTACAGTTCAGTATTCAAGCCAGTAGTAGCAGCAACAGCAGCGGGGGCAGGTGTTGTACACTTGAGCTAGACCTTAAAAAACATATAGAAAACAGATGCTGTACACCTCGTGGCTCACATAGAATACATTCCGGGAGGAGGGATGAAATATACACTAGCAATAAAATAACAGATTTGAGTAGATCAAGACACATAAATACTGTACAGTAGTTGGTAATACATGTTGTGTCCTGCAAGCCAAGAGTGTCAACACTAGCGTGAGGGGACATGTCGGCCGTTGGTGGTCATTGTCGCTCTAAGAAACATTAAAGAGGCTTCCAGCGGCAGGCAGCAGGGTGGCAGGCGTCTCATCTTTACCTGAGGCAGGAATATCACCATATTGGGTGTGGTGGACGTCGCCGTTGTGTCTTACTGGCGAGTAACTGGTCCGTCGCAGAGTTTCACTGCATAGTCGAGATATGTTCTGGGGACGGAAGTCTCTCTCAGATTTCTCAACCACTATTTTGTTGTGCACCCCTTGCTCATCCTGAGAGCAGTAGTGCAAAAAGATTACAGAGCAGAGGTCAAGAAGGGTCTTTGTCATGTTATTGTGGTGCTGGATATTACAAAATTGACTCACTACACTAGAGTACAGTACAGTAGTGTACTGTAGTTGTATCTTATTAATAAAAATAAGATGTTGTATTATATCTCACAGGGTTTCTTCAGACCAGTACAGTATACGTACAGTACTGGTATTAACACCAAAGTGTCCGCATACACTTTAGATCTAATTTACTGTAGTATAAACTTAATTGGTGAAGGTACTTGTAGCCAAGCCTTAGTTTAGAAGGGTGAACATTGTTTAATCTGCTGACCTTGTTACTTGTTCTTAACATTTTTGAACTTGATACACTTTATTGCGATGGTCACTAGATCTGTTAATGACAATTTTATTCTTTGACTTTCTTCATATCTGCCAGTTCTTCCCTGTTAACAGTCATTAAGGTTCTGTTCAAAATCATATTCAAAAGGCTCGGTATTTAATGCAAGTCCAGCTAAGACATACCGTACTTTGAGAGGGAATCAACAACAGATTAACTTGAATCCTTTTATGAATAATATGTGCACTCTATCTGCTCCCAGAAACAAGTGTTTTACATTCTGAACTGAGAGTACTGAGGGCAAGTTAGGTCTGTCTGTCTCTGTTGTTGTTACTTCTGTAAGGTTGACAGTATTGAGTTTAACATATTTATATACTGTGCTGGTGTAGTGGATGTCTAGTTGTTTGTTCTACAGTATGTCCATTTCTTATACCAATTATTTTGTATTTTGGTTTATTTTAGCAAATTTAGTGTATTATCAATTAAAAAAAAGTTTCATCGTACTGTAGAAACTTTTGTGAATCCAGTTCAAACTTTTGATATCTAAATACAGTAAACATTTATCACTAATGTACATATCCAACTCTCAAGTCTAGTCATTATTCTTACCAATGTTAAATTTGTTGGATCCGACTTCATGACTGCTGAGGGGTACCACTACCTTAATTATTTGTTGTATGTGGAAAAGTCTCGTTAAAGCGCAGCCAGCAAGAAAAACGTCAAAAAAATTGTTTTGTTCTAAGTTAAATACAAGAAAAAAAAAATGGTTAAAATTCCTTTCCTCTTCAATACACACTTACAGATACAGAGGTACAGTTGCCTGCACTTATACCTGGTACAATGGCTGGTGCTTTTTGTGAGATGTGGCAACTCTGTGGAATGTTTATCTAGCATCTTTAGTCTAGCTACTATTGCAAGGTTCCTTAGGGACATTTCTGGGAGTTTTAATACCATGTCAGCAGACACAGAGTTGCCACATCTCACACAATGCGCCAGCCACTGTACCAGATGTAAGTGCAGGTGACTGTACCATACATCATACTCCCGGAACACTGCTGGATTATTAAAATTAGGAAATTAGTTAGAGTATACACAGGGTACATATTTACTAAACACTGCTTGGTGGGCCTTTCAAGCATCAAATACAGTGCAAGTAGTAATCTAAGGTTCAAACTACACAAAGAAATTAGGCTACATTCTACATAGTATTTTGTTTAGGTAAATACAATAATGTTAGTATGACCTTTTTTTTTTTTTTTTTTTTTTTTTTTTTTTTTGACTAGAATACAAGATTAAATTTCAAGCAGGTAGAAGAACATTTAACACTCCTATTTGACCACAAACCACCCTGGTAACTAGGGGACATACCGATACATGGTAGGACAGACCGTACAGTACAGGACACATTAGGACATACCACCAACCCCCTCTACAACCTACCTTAATAACAGGGGGACACTTCTCACCCTTGATGGATCTGTTGACAACATTGGCCTTATGAGTGAGATTCTCTTTGTTGTAAGTGTCGGTGACGGGGCTGGTGGTGGAGACGTTGAAGTAACTCGTGTCCTCCTTGGCCGGATCTGTCAGGACGTCCGGGTAGGATTTGTGCATGACATCCACGATCATGTATGAGATCTGAGGACAGGGGCAGGTGTGTGTAATGATGGGGGACACATACACACACACACACACACACACACACTGTACTCTGAGGTAGAATAAAGGTACATGTGGTGGTTTATCTAATGGGTGTTGATATATAACTCTCTCCTCTTTCCTTCTCCTCTTTATCTCTCCTCTCTCCCTCTTTCTCTCATCTTTCCCCATTTCTCTCTCAACTCCAGGATGCTGTCAGTGCCTCATGGAACTTGAGAGAAAGAATACTTTGATCTGCACTGTCCTCCTTAAGATTCCTCAGAGTTATTCAATACGTCATTTCAGGTTTATGCTCACCTTTCAACGTCTTATCCATAACTTTATTCAGAATGCGACCCCGTGCCAAAGAAAACTCTGAAACGCGTCACCATTGGTTTTAAGATCGAATTTGAAGCCGGGGAGGATGGAGATGATGTTTAAAGGCTCAAGCTCAAACAAAAAACATTATGGTATCTGTTCTTTGACCTAGTGAGGCCTCCATTTTAATAGTCCTCGATCTAGTGGATGTAGTTTGGTAAATGGGGGTTTTATATCTAAGGGACCCTTGATGTAATGGATTTCTCTCTCCATATAGTCCATCTACCTTCTCACTACTACTTGCTACCCAGTTCCTTATCTCCACCACCTAGTTCCTTATCTCCACTACTTAGTTCCTTATCTCCACCACCTAGTACCTTCTCCCCACCACTTAGTACCTTCTCCCCACCATTCACCTCCCATCTCACCACCTACCTCATCTCCACTACCTCCTCTTCCCCACCAACCTACCTCCCCACCAACCTACCTCCCCACCAACCTACCTCCCCACCAACCTACCTCCCCACCAACCTACCTCCCCACCAACCTACCTCAAGATGGCGATCCAGGAAGTCGTTGGTGTCAAAATCATCGTCATCATCACCGAATGGGTTGAGGAGCGACTCAGCCACCTTGAGCCACCCCATGTAGAAGATGAACTGTAGGAATGTGAAGATAGGCACGTAGAAGTCGATGCTGTGGTTGTCGTAGCCTTGTTTTGGGTCCAGGAATTGTCGGCCCAAGATGGAAAATGCAAAGTAGGAGTAGGTTGCCATAGTTACCACCTGCAAACAGTACACAATGTTGTTTATTTTAGGGGGTTGTTTACTCACCACCTACACAACAAAACCATGTACAGTACAGTGCACCACCTACACAGCTACACCTTATATAGAGCACCACCTACACAGCTACACCTTATATAGAGCACCACCTACACAACTACACCTTATATAGAGCACCACCCTACACAACTACACCTTATATAGAGCACCACCCTACACAGCTACACCTTATATAGTGCACCACCTACACAGCTACACCTTATATAGACACCTACACCAACTACACCTTATATAGAGCACCACCCTACACAACTCATACCCTAGCCTTATATGAGCACCACCCTACACACTACACCTTATATAGAGCACCACCCTACACAACTACACCTTATATAGAGCACCACCCTACACAGCTACACCTTATATAGAGCACCACCTACACAACTACACCTTATATAGAGCACCACCTACACAACTACGCCTTATATAGAGCACCACCCTACACAACTACACCTTATATAGAGCACCACCTACACAACTACGCCTTATATAGAGCACCACCCTACACAACTACGCCTTATATAGAGCACCACCTACATGTAGTTGATACACATACCTACCTCTACTAACACACCCTCATTTAGCACTACATAATACCCAACACTAAAGAAACAGAGCTACAGTAGTTAAGAGAAATACATATAACTGGTGATTAATTCAACTCTGTAAGAAACGATCACCATAAGGTAAGTACATATGGTGTTGACAGTACAGTGTGATGTAGTTGGATTTATTTATAGTGTCCAGGAGAGAACTATCTTAAATTTTATTAATGTAGTAGTCATGTTTATTAAGAGAATGTTTGGTAATTTTTTGTAGAAAAGAGCATATTGGGAGATACTCACACACACACACATACACACACATACACACACACATATATATAGACAGAAAGACACACACACACACGCACACATAGAACAACACACACACACACATGCACACACAGAAAAACACACACAGACAGAAAGATACACACACACACACACACACATAAAAAGACACACACAGACATGCACACACACACAGACACAGTACCTGGGTATACACAAGGGGTACACTCATGGTGTGGTATTCTTGAAGCTTGCCACAGTTGTACCGCAAGTTGGTGATTTCTTTGATCATGGCTTTAAGACCGTAGTCGTCCGGACAGCGCCCCTCCCGCCTCGCCTGCGCCGCCACCATGCTCGCCCACACCAGAGGCATCCAGATCTTGTGGTGTCTCGTCTGTTTGTCCATCATCTCGAATATCTCCTTCTCATTTGAGGTCATGTACCCTGTAAGGTGTCGATGGTGGTGGTTACCTGTAGGTTGTGTTAGGTCAGGTCAGGTTGTGTTAGGGCAGGTTATGTTAGGTTAGGTTGTGTTAGGTTGGATATGTTAGAGCAGGTTATGTTAGGGCAGGTTGTGATAGGATAGGTTGTGTTAGGTTGGATATGTTAGAGCAGGTTATGTTAGGGCAGGTTGTGATAGGATAGGTTGTGTTAGGTTGGATATGTTAGAGCAGGTTATGTTAGGTTAGGTTGTGATAGGATAGGTTGTGTTAGGTTGGATATGTTAGAGCAGGTTATGTTAGGTTAGGTTGTGATAGGATAGGTTGTGTTAGGTTGGATATGTTAGAGCAGGTTATGTTAGGTTAGGTTGTGATAGGTTGGATATGTTAGAGCAGGTTATGTTAGGTTAGGTTATATCTGATCAGAACAAAACAGCCTTACCTCCTTCAATAAATTGGTCGTAAGTAGAAAAGCGGCGAGCGACACGGGGAGCGATCCTAGCGAAAGCGAGGGCGAAGGCCAGGTTGATGTATCGAGCGAAGGACTTCCTCAGGAGGCGACCCCGCTCATCCTGCGCCACAAATAATCATGACCCATTAACTTTGGGACCTGATCTTTTCATAGTGTGATTCAATCAAATTTACACTAACCTAACTTACCCCTAACCCAATCTAACCTAACCTACCCTTAACATAACATAATTTAACCCTGGGTGTACTAAACTACCTCCCACAACCTAAAACAGTACTCAAATGGCCCTAAAATGCACTAAATTAACCACGAATGTACTAAACTACCCCCCACAACCTAAAGATAAGTACTCAAATGACTCTACAATGTACTAAATTAGCTGAATGTACTAAACTACCCCCCACAACCCCCCAAAAGTACTCAAACGCCCCTACATTGTACTAACTTAGCCCTGAATATACTAAAATACCCCACTCATATGTTTACAACCTACATATAATATTGATGAAGACCTGCCCCAGCCTTGCCCCACCCCTAACCCAGTCTTGCCCCACCCCTAACCCAGCCCTGCCCCACCCCCACCCCACCCCACCTCTAGCCCTGCCCCAGCCCCTACCCCACCCCTGCCCCACCCCCCACCCCACCCCTGCCCCACCCCTACCCCCCCCCTGCCCCACCCCCTCCCATCCCTACCCCCCACCCCTGCCCCCATACCTACCCCCCCACCCTTACCCCACCCAAGAGGTACAGTACTTACTAAGCCCTGATGTAGTGGCGACCATGATGCAATATGGTATCTGGCCAAGGATGAGCATGTACTGAGCCCACCACCGCTGCACCACAATGGTCACGTAGAACCCCAACACAAAGGAGATGGGAAGACGTTGCGGGAAATATTCACAGGACACGGCGATTTTCTCGAAGATCCTGTAGAAGTGGGAGTGTTAGTGTGTGTGGCCCCTGTGGATAATGTATGTGGCCCTGTGGATAATGTGTGGCCCTGTGGATAATATGTATGTGGCCTCTGATAATGTGTGTGTCTGTGGATAATGTATGTGTGGCCCTGTGGATAATGTATGTGTGGCCCTGTGAGAATGTATGTGTGGCCCTGTGGATAATATGTGTGTGGCCTTGTGGATAATGTGTGTGGCCCTGTGGATAATGTGTGTGGCCCTGTGATAATATGTGTGCCCTGTGGATAATGTATGTGTGGCCCTGTGGATATTATGTGTGTGGCCTTGTGAGATATGTGTGTGTGGCCCTGTGGATAATGTGTGTGTGGGCCCTGTGGTTAATGTATGTGTGCCCTGTGATGTGTGTGGCCCCTGTGGATAATGTGTGTGTGTCCTGTGGATAATGTGTGTGTGTTGTGGGATAATGTGTGGCCCTGTGGATAATGTGTGTGGCCCTGTGGAAGTGGCCTTGTGGATAATGTGTGTGTGTGGCTCCTGTGATAATGTGTGTGTGGTTCTGTGGATAATGTGTGTGGTCTGTATAATGTGTGTGTGGCCCTGTGGATAATGTGTGTGTGGCCTTCTGGATAATGTGTGTGTGTGGCCTCTGGATAATGTGTGTGTGTGGGCTCTCTGGATAATGTGTGTGTGGTCTTCTGTGATAATGTGTGTGTGTGTGACCCTGTGATAATGTGTGTGGCCTTCTGATAATGTGTGTGTGTGGCCCCTGGATAAGTGTGTGTGTCTGTGGATAAGTGTGGGTCTGGATAATGTGTGTGTGTGGCCCTGTGGATAATGTGTGTGGCCCTGGATGTGTGTGTGTCTGTGGATAATGTGTGGCCCTGTGGATAAGTGTGTGAACCATCAATAATATAAGAGCTTTGTACCAGATGTATGAACACCCCAAGTATGTAGTATACATTTTGAACCCCAATTATGAATCTCAACATGAACCCCCTGAACCCCAACCAGAACCCCAATAAGGAACCCCAATCAAACCCAATCTAGAATCCCAAGAACCCCAACTGTGAACCCCAACTATGAACCCCAAATATGAACCCCAACTATGAACCCCAAATATGAACCCAGTGACTTACCTTTATCATTATCAGTGAGGCCGAACCTGTACATTAATGAACAGGAAAATACAGCAGGAGGTACACGAGCAAGTCTGGCCACACCAGCTTGAAGACACTACCTGCCATCTGTACAGAGTATCATCGTTACATTGTAATAATTTGGATTGTAATGGTGTACATCAGTATATGAAATATTTTGATATGTTATTGGTACTCATTTGTACAGCTTTTCCTTTCACCTGTACAGCTAGCCCCTCCTCTCTCCCGTACTGCTACCCCTCTCACCTGTACTTGCTACTCCCTCTCACCTGTACTGCTACCCTCTCACCTGTACACCTACCCCTTTCACCTGGACACCTACCTCTCACCTTACTCGCCACTCCCTCTCACCTGTACCTCACCCCTCCTCACCTGTACTGCGCCCCTCCCAACCTGCACACCCACCTCCTTCACCTGTATGCTACCCCTCTCACCTGTACACCTACTCTCCTCACTTGTATAACCACCCTCTCACCTGTACACCCACCCTCTCACTTGTATAACTACCCCTCTCACCTGTACTGCTACCCCTCTCACCTGTACTGTACCCCTCTCACCTGTACGCCTACCCCTTTCACCCTGTATACCTACCCCTTTCACCTGTACAGCTAGCCTCCTCACCTGTACTGCTGCCCTCTCACCTTACACCTACCCCTCTCACCTGTACACCTACCGCTCTCACTCATGATCTACCCCCTCACCTGCACACCTACCCCTTTCACCCCACCCCCCACAGCTGGTCCTCCTGGCTCCCTAACTTTCTCACACACACACACACACACACACACACACACACACAACACCACCAACAAACACAATAACTGCACCGTGATCTCAATATACCCCTCCTTCTGTATGAATGATGCGGGGTACTTATAGGGTCCTTCAGGTGACTTGGGAAACACATGAAAAATTGTATTAAAGTTGTTCACTGCCGCCGCCCGTCAGGTATATTTAGGTCGTATGTAAATTAGGTGGATCTTTACGGGAATATGTATCTTGATGGCAGTTTGATGGTACAGTTATGAGGGTACAGTGAAGCGGGTATAGTTATGGGGTACGGTTTTGGGGGTAGTTATGGGGGTGCAGTTATGGGGTACAGTTAAGCGGGGTATAGTTATGGGGGTATGGTTTTGGGGGTGCAGTTATGGGGTACAGTTATGGGGGTATGGTTTTGGGGGGTAAAGATAAGGGTACAGTTATGGAAGCAAAATTATGGGGGGTACAGTTATGTATAATTATAGGGTACAAAGTTATAGGCATAAGTTAGGGGTATAGTTTAGGATACAGTTATGGCGCACAGGTTTGATGGTACAGTTATAAAGGTTACAGCTACATGGATTACAGTCATAAGGGTTACAGTTACAAGACTACAGTCACTAACCTTAACAATAACTTGGAGAAGCCGCAGAAACTAGTGTTAGTAACTTTCTTGGTGTAAGTGACAGTCATGATGAGATCTGTAATAATAACAACAATAATAATAATAATGACAATAATAATAATAACAACGATAATAATAATAACCGCTAATAATAACAACAACAATAATAACAACGGTAATAATAACAACAACGATAATAACAACCGCGATAATAATAATAATAATAACAACAACCATAATAATAATAATTCAACAATAATAATAAAAACAACCACCACCACCACAAATAACAACAATGATAATGTATGTGTGGGAAGAAAGGGTTAAATAACAGTGTATGATAGAGGTTGGTGAGTAAATGTTGTATAACAGAGATAAATAGACAGAGAGAGAGAGAGACAGGTAGAGAACGTTCCCCAATACATTCTCTCTTCTGACCTTCCAAAGTTTCAAGTTCCTCAATGAATCAGTGATCACTTCCTGGTGCTGGTCTATGACACACACACACACACACATACATCTGTGAGGTAATTACTACACGTGAGGTCCCTCATAACACCATCTGCGAGGGAATTACTACACCACGTGAGGTCCCTCATAACACCATCTGTGAGGGAATTACTACACTACGAGGTCCCTCCTAATAATTCATCTGTGAGGTAATTACTACACCACGTGAGGTCCCTCATAACACCATCTGCGAGGGAATTACTACACCACGTGAGGTCCCTCATAACACCATCTGAGGGAATTACTACACCACGTGAGGCCCCTCATAACACCATCTGTGAGGGACTTACTACACCACGTGAGGCCCCTCATAACACCATCTGTGAGGGACTTACTACACCACGTGAGGTTCCTCCTAACACCATCTGGGAGGGAGTTACTACACTAAGTGTTTGCTGTTCAACACCTACATTAATCTGTATGTTCACTGTAAGTTCCTTTACCTTTCTCTAATGAAGGCTTTTGTTAAACCACCAATGTTTGTAATAAGTCATTTATGTCCCATGTATATTTTCAGCCGTCGGGCTGCAGAACTTTTTTCAATAAACCGTTAATTATTATTATTATTATTATTATTATTACTGTGCATACACACACATACATACTGTACACACACACACACACACACACACATACTGTACATACACATACATACATGCATACACACACACACGCGAGATCTGACTAGGTTTGTGTGTGTTAACTTCCATGCTAAAAAATTCAATCTCTCTCTCTCTCTCTCAACACTCCTCGCTACTTCCGGCTCCCTCATTCATGAACTATAGACGTGACATAAATCATTCATGGTAACCTTACTGTAATTACCAATGAGCCAATCAGAAGCTCTTGTTGACTACTCACATCACCCAAATGCTCGTGACGTCATTGTGGGCGTGGGCGTGTCTGTGTGTGTTTGAGGAATTTTATTAAGACACCCTAGCTTATATCACGGGGGGAGGGGTAGATTAGCCTTGGGGTGTGTAATCTTCATGTGAGATAAGCTAGAATTGGCTAAACTCCACGTAAGTCATTTTTACTTTGCATTTTGATGGTATTTGCATTGTCTAATTCCTTCATCCATATTTTTATAAACTTTCGTGTGGCTGTTATCCAAGAGGAAGTGTAACGGACGTGTAACGGTCTGTCCTTAATGCGTCCTTATGTTTCCTCAAGGGACTCTGTAAACACCAACATCAAGGGACTCTGTAAACACCAACATCAAGGGACTCTGTAAACACCAACATCAAGGGACTCTGTAAACACCAACACCAAGGGACTCTGTAAACACAAACATCAAGGGACTCTGTAAACACAAACATCAAGGGACTCTGTAAACACAAACACCAAGGGACTCTGTAAACACAAAACATCAAGGGACTCTGTAAACACAAACATCAAGGGACTCTGGGACTCTGTAAACACAAACACCAACATCAAGGACTCTGTAAACACAAACATCAAGGGACTTGTAAACACAAACATCAAGGGACTCTGTAAACACAAATCATCAAGGACTCTGTAAACACAAACATCAAGGACTCTGTAAACACAAACATCAAGGGACTCTGTAAACACAAACATCAAGGTACTCTGTAAACACAAACATCAAGGGACTCTGTAAACACAAACATCTCTGTAAACACAAACATCAAGGACTCTGTAAACACAAAACATCAAGGGACTGTAAACACAAACATCAAGGGACTCTGTAAACACAAACATCAAGGGACTCTGTAAACACAAACATCAAGGGACTCTGTAAACACAAACATCAAGGGACTCTGTCAACACAAACATCAAGGGACTCTGTAAACACAAACATCAAGGGACTCTGTAAACACAAACATCAAGGGACTCTGTAAACACAAACATCAAGGGACTCTGTAAACACAAACATCAAGGGACTCTGTCAACACAAACATCAAGGGACTCTGTAAACACAAACATCAAGGGACTCTGTAAACACAAACATCAAGGGAATCTGTAAACACAAACATCAAGGGAATCTGTAAACACAAACATCAAGGGTAAACACAAACATCAAGGGAATCTGTAAACACAAACATCAAGGGAATCTGTAAACACAAACATCAAGGGAATCTGTAAACACAAACATCAAGGGACTCTGTAAACACAAACATCAAGGGACTCTGTAAATACAAACATCAAGGGACTCTGTAAACACAAACATCAAGGGACTCTGTAAACACAAACATCAAGGGACTCTGTAAACACAAACATCAAGGGACTCTGTAAACACAAACATCAAGGGACTCTGTAAACACAAACATCAAGGGACTCTGTAAACACAAACATCAAGGGACTCTGTAAACACAAACATCAAGGGACTCTGTAAACACAAACATCAAGGGACTCTGTAAACACAAACATCAAGGGACTCTGTAAACACAAACATCAAGGGACTCTGTAAACACAAACATCAAGGGACTCTGTAAACACAAACATCAAGGGACTCTGTAAACACAGACATTAAGGGACTCTGTAAACACAAACATCAAGGGACTCTGTAAACACCAACATCAAGGGACTCTGTAAACACCAACATCAAGGGACTCTGTAAACACAAACATCAAGGAACTCTGTAAACACAAACATCAAGGGACTCTGTAAACACAAACATCAAGGGACTCTGTAAACACAAACATCAAGGGACTCTGTAAACACAAACATCAAGGGACTCAGTAAACACCAACATCAAGGGACTATGTAAACACAAACATCAAGGGACTTGTAAACACAAACACCAAGGACTTGTAAACACAAACATCAAGGACTCTCTATAAACACAAACACCAAGGGACTCTGTAAACACAAACACCAAGGGACTCTGTAAACACAAAACACCAAGGACTCTGTAAACACAAACATCAAGGACTCTGTAAACACAAACATCAAGGACTCTGTAAGCACAAACACCAAGGGGACTCTGTAAACACAAAACATCAAGGACTCTGTAAACACAAACACCAAGGACTCTCAAAACAAAACACCAAGGGACTCTGTAAACACCAACATCAAGGGACTCTGTAAACACAAAACACCAAGGACTCTGTAAACACAAACATCAAGGACTTGTAAAACACAAAACACAAGGGACTCTGTAAACACAAACACCAAGGGGACTCTGTAAACACAAACATCAAGGGACTCTGTAAACACAATCATCAAGGGACTC